CTAAGCATTATGGTTTTGTTAACCTAAAAAAAGAATTATTCAATAGTAGATTGTGCTTTAGACTATTAAATGATTAGAAAGTTATTTCTTAAAATATGTACATTTTCCTATTCGTTTTCGTGTACCATAAGACTTTGAATAAGAAGTCCACAGACTCCATTTAGCTGAAAAGAAATTGATAATTATACAAATACTATAAAAATTAAATCTTAAAAGATGGATGCTAATTCTACTTACATTGGAACACTTGTGAGACAAATACTGAAAAGTAGTAATATGGTAAAATATAAATACTGTACTAATTAGATTGTTACAATTATAAAACATTTCACACCTTGACCTAGTCACATCAATATCCTATATAAAAGTATATTTTTAAAGCAAAAAGCACTCAAGTCTTAATTTAATATTGAATAAATAATATTGTTACAACCTCCTTTCTAGCTAAATCTTAAATTGAAAAATGGCTGAATTGAAGATATGAATATCTTTTCATATTTGGAAAATTTTCCAAGTAAAATGTATCATTAACTATGTTTGTAGACTGTATATTATGTATTATTAACCTATATAACGTTTCTATTTCTTAATTAATATATAATTAGTTATAAAATACGGTAATTTTCCCATTTAAATAGCCTCATTTGCAGTTGTATGAACATATAAATTCGTCATGTCTTTCATCAACTGTATTCCATATTTGTTTCTTTTTATTTCGTTAATATAAAAATTAACCTTTATTTTCTTCTATTTTTTCAATAATAGTAATTAAATAATCAAGTCTTTCAATAACCAATGTAATACAAATACAAGTAATGAATTATATGTTATTTATTAATAATCTGTATTCTTGTTATTATCATCTTGAGTTAACAAAGAAACAAAATATAATAAAGCATACATTTCTCTTCTAATATGTTGTGTTATCGAAGAGCGTTACTTTCAAGTTTTAACTTGAATACTTCGATGAACGTGTGTAGTTCTTCTACAATCTTTTACGGTTTTTCTCAAAGGTTTTCTGTAAGTTTTGTAGAATATACCATACTCTATCAATATGAGAAATGTCTTATGAACAAGATGATCCATTCAATACATTTGGATTATTGCTTTTCGGAAAGCTTAAGCTGGAATTTTTGCTATTGGACAGGGGGGCATTGTCTTTCTCAAATATGTAGCCATTATGAAAGCTCTCGCCTAAAAAAGGGTAAGACTTTATCTTTCAACGGATCATAATACCACTTTTTATTGAAATGCTCTAAACTTTTGAAATATACAAATATCCATCGGGACAAAGAGCTCCCCATATTTTAAAGCCTTTCTCCCTCCTTTGGGGGCTTTTGATATTCCGGCACTATTCTTCAAGGTTAAATCGTCGAGTAACGAAATACAAAGATTCATCGGTGATTACTAGATCAAGTGACTTTATCGCCTCTCTCCCTTAATAGATTGATCTTTTCCCTATCTTTTTCTTTATTTTTCCCAGGTTTGCCAAACTTTCATTTTTTTCTATATGTAGAGGGCTTTTGCTATATTTGGACGACTGATTTTCTAGGATTTTCAGAGATCGATTACCTCCTCGTGACTTTTGTGCTCAATAAGCCTTTTCTGACTTTATAAGGTTCATACGTCAAGAAGTTAAAAATCAGTTCACAACTTACCAATCTATCAGAGAGTAGAGTAAATGTTTTATCTAACCTGTGAGAGGACTATTTGAGCAAAATATTGAAGATCATATTCTTTACCATCAGACTTATAAAAAATAATTCTGGAGCGAGTAACGCCATCTTCATTCAACTAGAAAAGTCTTTGTTTTTGTCAAGTGGCCAAATCATTTTGGTCGATTATCGATATCAATTAAACAAATAGGTGTTAAATATATTGTATGACAGCAATATGTTGATTTATCTCTACTTATATAATGCGTCATCTTAAAGCACTTAATTTAAAGATGTAAAAGTCAATGTTTATGTATTTTGCAATAGTGTGAAAATGGATTATATGGTTGATTTTAAAGAGGGGGAATAATATTATTATATCATTTGATCAATAATTTATATATATCCCACTATACCTGAACATTCTTGAGTATTGCATTCGTGCTGTACGTAATTGCTACCAGAACAAGAAGGACCACCGAAGGCGGGTGATGGATTAGTGCAGAATCTCTTTCTACTTTTCACGCCACCCGCACAACTGCTTGAACAAGCGCCCCAACTATTCCAATTAGACCAACCTCCAGCTATAGGACACGGTTGCACTTCACAAGCACCTTCTTGTGGAGGATTTTGTATGGAGCAGGTATTGCCACTGAAAAATTATTGTTATTTTTTGAATTCTCTCCCTTTAATTGTATTTGAATTCTTAACCTTCCAGGTACACATACTCTATGCCGGATACCTGAACCACAAGTTTCTGAACAGGGAGTCCAAGGTGACCAACTGCCTCCAGCTGAATTTGAAAAAGAAATAAACAATAATATAATCTGTCCTAAAGAAGCGCTTATCAAAACTTACTTGGTAAGAAACTAAAGCATGCTGAAGCACAGCTTAAGAGAAGAATGCAGATTAAAGTTCTTTTGTTTTCTTCCATAAGTCTCAAGGAGAGCAACTGTCTCACTTAGTACAACTATTCGTCATATACACATATCTTTTTCATATCCTTATTGGTTGATATGTACATCACTTTTTATAATTAGATTCCTAGGAAGCGATTTTTACGTAGGATGATTGTATTGCATTGCTGATGGCCTTGGCATTGTACTTGGACAATTAATCTCGATAATTGATAAAATTTTAAAGATGTTCAATATCATTCATCTAAAAGTCATGAAATAAATTAGGATCTTGCTAAATACGGTCAAATGTTGCTTCAAATAATTAGAAAGAGTTCAGCCTATCCAATTAATAATATAGCTTATACTTTTACTTAGTATCCTATTATTAGAAAAGTTTGAAATTCTCAGTGTAAGACAATAATCTAAACCTGACATAAAGTTAGTTATAGTTCTCTTCTACTTAATGCCGTTTCCTTGACTATCAGTGCAGCTAATCGACAGAAATGAACGGATTATTGTAAAATCGTAGTATTCTTAGACTGCCGCCATAAACTTGTGAATATAAAGTTGAAACTTTTTTACTGTTCACTATTTATTTAAAACAAACTAGACTAAAAGTTCTTATAAACATTGAAATGGAAAAGAGTTTAATAAAAGAATATAATGATTTTGTATAGTTTCAATATAAACCTAACTAACTGAACATATTCGTTCAAGTTGAATTAGCGTAAAATGAGCCTAAATTCTTCTTTAAAACCTGAAAAGAGAGATATTTTCATTTAATATATTCCACTATTTATTTAATTACATCTTGCTTACATTTAATCAACGTTGAATGATATTATTAGTTCAATGACTGTATTACTATTTAGTGGCCTATCAATTCTAACATAGAAAAATACTAGCTTTCCTTTAGCTGTATTAAAGATATACAGTAAATTATACTGTATATTAATATTTATATAATTAAGTTAATATTAAGAATATATACAAAATCTTTTATAAAAACTTACTATTTCCCCTCTATCCACTTATTTCTTTATTTCACATTTCTTTCTATTCAACACTGTAAACTGACTTTGTCTCTTTTCACTCTTTTTTTATGTCACGTGACATTTCTAAAAGTTTGAAGAAAAGGATTTTTATTTTCTATATATATACCATAAAAATTTTACATTTTCTCTTTTATTATTAGAACGCCATCTATCGTTTAGACAACTTCAAATCAATTAAGCAATAATTGAACAATGCAAGAATAAATATAGAAATTAAAAGTGTGTTGTAAAAAACATAAACATTAAATAGAAATCAAAAGAATTAGCCCAAAGTAAGCAAGCTATAAAAGACTAGAGGTGTGTGTATGTGTGTCTGTGTCTGAGAGAGAAGGGAGTGAGAGGTGGGAGAAAAGGAGAGAAAGAGAAAGAGAGAGAGAGAGAATAAAAAAAAGAAATAGATCATTTACTGTATAAATAAAAGATTGAATGGAAAATATATTTTTCTCCTGCTGTTGGTTGAATAATTAAAAAACAGAGAGAAAAGTAAATAAATATAAGATTTATTTGTTGAAAACGAACAAATTATTATCCTATAATTATCTATTCATATTGTATATTTGTTTAACAATAACATACAATTAAAAAAAATATCTATATATATATATTCATATAAAACAATATTTATACTTTATTTGTATTGAATACAACTAATAAAAATACAATTCGTTACTATTGGGTCAAAGGTTAAAAGAATAAAAGAGCGATTAAGTTGGCTGACATATCGGTATAATTAATATATTGACTTTTTTACAATGAATTCGATAGGAATAGTTTTGATCATAGAAAAGAAATTTTAACGAGAGCCTATTGAAGAGTGTATAAGAGAGAGAGAGAGAGAGAGAGTGAGAGAAAGGGAAATTTCTTACTTTTAATCAATTTTTTTTCAAGAAAGTATGAAAAGAAAATTGAAATATTAATAAAGAATGGAAAAGGTTATAATTGATATTCAAACGTATTAATGAATTATTGATAGTTAAAAATTTTAAGGAATAATTCTTGGTTGTTTAGTTAACAATTCAAAAAATAGAAATTCACCTATTGGCGAGTAGATATCGAGAATTTTCTATAGACTGTGTTTGAAATATGCATATAAGACTGTTTACCTTCTTTTTTAATCAACCGCCATTGAGCCATTTTTACTTTTCCCATAGGCCATTTTGCTCTCCTTACCAACTCTCTCTATTTTTGTCTCTCTCCCTCTCTCTCTCTCTTACTCCTATCCCTTTAGTCCCCTTCGTCTTATATCTAACATCTATAAGTTTAAACTTATTCAAGTTTTATGCTGCATACCTGCTCTGGCAGTTGTCTACATCTTGTCTTTCCCTTTCTCTCTGTTTCGATTTCTCATCAGTTTCAAATTGAAAATTCGTTGTTCCTACCTTTGGAAAAGATATGAATTTAAAAAAAGAGGCAATTGAGGAAATTGACGTTCTGAGAGATAGAAAGAGGAGAGAATTACGAACTATTCGTTCAGCAAGCTCTTATTCAAGTCTCCAAAAGGCCGCAATGTATCGAATGGCTGCTTTTAGACCAATAACTTGTACTTTGGGAGATAATCCTAGGTAGGTTATAGTCATATTTTATTCTAACAATAATCTTGATTAATCTTTACAAATTAATAGAGAAAGCAGCGTCACGTTAAGTGCAGTAGTCAAGGCGAAAGCACAAGCTAAAAAGTTAATACACAGAATAAGAAAAAGGGATAGACCTACTTCAAAACAAACTGAAGAACAATCTTCTAGACCAGTGACAGCCACTAGTGAGGATATTCTATATTACGATAAGGAATCGGAAGAAGAAGGTTTAAAAAATTAATTTTCTAACAAAATCTAAAAAGTTCACCTAACACTTTGTCATAATCATCTTTATATAGATGATAATAAATCAACAGTACCAGAAGAGACAGATGATCAAGCATTATATAATTTGGCATGTAAAAAATTCAAAATAAAGCCAAGTCAAAAATTTCTGAAAGGTTTAGATAGCGAAAGCATTTGCTTACGTAATCATTTTCCAAACGCAACAGTAATGAAAGCATTTTGCGTTTCTCTATTGGTAAGGTGTGTTTTCTATGTTTTTGACTGATTTTTAATCAATTAATACTTAAAAAAATATATTAGAATAATACAAAGGTAAAATCACTTGATTTTGGTTCGAATGCTCTTGATGATGTCTGCATCCGATATATATCTGAAATGATTGTCGAAAATGTATTTATTACACACTTGGTAAGGATCCTTTTCGTTATACATTGCTTTGTTATTATTGTTATTATTGTGTTAAATTTAGAATCTTTCTGGAAATAATATTGGTAACGAGGGACACCGTCACCTTAGCCGAGCGTTTATTGAAAATAGAACGATACTTAAGTTGGATATATCCGATACAAAACTTTCTGATGGTGAGGCGCGCCATCTAGCGGATTTGATAGCGGTAAAAATGAAAAAAGGCTACTTTATATATATAAATATATATAATTTAGACTGTCATCTATAATTCATTTAATTTAAAATGAACATAGCAAAAAATCGAAAATTTAACTTTCGTTTTCTGTAGAAAAATCGAAGTATTACTGATCTGAATCTTAGTAAAAATAGTCTAAAAGAAAAAGGTTGCGAAATAATTAATCCTGCTCTAAGTAAGCTGCTTTTTTTTGGTTCTTTTAAATAAAAAATTCAATATAAGATAAGAGAAACATTGAAGGATACTTGCATGTTCATTAAGCAATTCAATTTTTCTTTGTCAATAGGTTTTAACGATACCTTAGTCACTTTAAATTTGAGTTGGAATCATATTAGAAGAAAAGGAGCTGAAGCAATTTGTAGAGCATTACAGAAAAATCATTCATTGGAAACTGTTGATCTCTCATGGAACGGCTTCTATTTAGATGGGTGTAAAGCTTTAATGAGAGTATTAAGCATTAATAAAACATTAAAGGATTTAGATATAAGCTATAATAGAATTGATCTTGAATCTTTACAATATATATTAAAAGGTTTAAAGAAGAATAAAACTCTTTTTAAATTAGGAGTTAGTTTATTAAATTCCTATATGATCTATTAATTTAATGGCCTATTCATAATTTATTAGATTAAAGGTAACGTCTTTCTCTCGGAAGGAGCAACACACTTAATTAAATTAATAGATCAAGTTGAATCTATAGCTTTAGAGGAAGTGAACATTGATGTAAGGATACTTTTTCATTTAGTGCATGAATTAATCAATTTAACATTGTACTGTTATCTATTTTATTGGAAATATTGTCATTCGCTCTCCTATCCACTTTTTATTCTTCCTCTTCTTCTCCTTCTTATTCTAGGGTTTATGGGTTGAACCGCTATTTATTGAAAAGTTAGAGTCAATAAAGATGAAACGGCGTTTCGTTGTTATTCATGGTCCGATAATTAAGCAAAGGGAGGGTAATTTTAAAGAGAATGAAAATGAATTTAATCGAGATGATCCAATGACTGTTCTTATGGAATGTATGAGATTACAAAATCTAAGATTAGTAGATTTATTCACATCGTTAGATAAGGATGGTTCCGGAACGTTATCTCGGCAAGAATTCAAAGAAGGATTACTGGTATTTATAAATATTTATAATCAGTAGTCTTATTTTTAAGTCTTGTTTGCTATAAGTGCTTATTGAACAGAATATTAATATTCCTCTATCATCTGATCTTCTTGACAAACTACTGCAAAGTTTAGACAAAAATGAAGATGGTGAAGTTGACTATAAGTAATATACTATGAAATTATATTTAATATCATATATCAATATAAAAAAGTTATATTATCTAATGATAATAATAATAATGATATTAATAATATTCAGAGAGTTAACCGAAGGTCAGAAGGAACATAAAAAGAAGTTAATGACTATAGCGGCAGCGTCTAAAGATGCTAGATTTGAAGATACAGAAGTTGGTCGAGTCAGTATGAAATTGCAAAAATTAATGGCTATAAAATCTTATGCTACCGAAGCACGAAAGAGGCTTAAAGGAAAATCAATTGCTAATAGCGAAAACAAGTAACAATAGTTAGTAATGATAACAGTACAAACTTTAATATATTTATTTATTAAATGATTATAATACAGTGTTATCTTATTATTATCTTGAATCTTTTTCACTCATGCTCAGAAGTAGTACAAAACAGTCTGCTCAAGAACTTATCGATTGTACTAGATCTATAAACAATGAACATAGGGAAACTACTCGATTGTTTTATCAATACGTCTCCTTTACCGTTGTCTCTCATCGATTAGTAACAAATCTTTACCATACACTAAAAACAATTTATTAGATGAGAAACAGTTTAATATCGACAAATCCCAATCGAATAATGATGTCATATACATTCATAGAAAATCTTGAGTCGATTCTATTAAAACGGAAAAACTTTACATTACTTTTCCTGATAGCATCGTAGTCAACGTTTATAAATAAATTTGTTTATTAAACTATGAGTCGTTCATTTTTAATATTCTTTTTAATAATCATAACTTATATTTCGTCGGTAAACATGTTGAGTAAGTTAATTTATTATTCATTTTTTTTTAATAAAAAATATTCATTCAATATTGTTTTCAAGTTGCAAGAAATTGGGGTAGTTGGGGTTCATGCTCAGCTACTTGTGGAAGTTCTACTAGATATAGATCTTGTCAGACAGGGCTTGGGTATGTTGTTAATAATATTTTTGTATTTCGTTAAAGTATCTATTTTCTTTCAGCTTTGGTTCAAAGTGCTCGTCCGGAAGTACTGATAGTTCTAGCTGTTCCGTTCCATCTTGTCCAGTTAATGGAGCCTGGTCCTCTTGGGGAAGTTGGGGTGTTTGTAGTAAAACATGCGGATCTGGAATCAAAACTGCTGCTAGATCATGTAATAATCCAAGTCCAGCTCATGGTGGTTCAACTTGTAGTGGATCTTCTTCAAAGGATGCAGGCTGTACAATAACTCAATGCCCAGGTTAGTTAACATATTCGAAAAGTTCAACATAGTGAAATATAATTTGCGTTAGTGAATGGAGGCTGGTCTGCCTGGGGAAGTTGGGGTGGTTGTAGTAAAACATGCGGACTAGGAAGCAAAAGTGCTACTAGATCCTGTAATAATCCAAGTCCAGCTCATGGTGGTTCAAGTTGTAGTGGATCTGCTTCAAAAAATACAGACTGTACAGTAGTCTCGTGCCCAGGTTAGTAAAAATTTTATTTCGACTTTCTGATAAGAATTTAAAAAGGGAGACTTTTCAAATAGTGAACGGTGGTTGGTCAGTATGGGGAAGCTGGGGTGCCTGTTCAAAAAGCTGTAAGGGTGGAATTCAAAATCGGACAAGAACATGTAATAATCCTACACCAGCTCATGGAGGTGCAGAGTGCACTGGTGATATTCAGTCACAACAAGAATGTAACACTCAAAAATGTCCAGGTAATGTATATATTATAAATTTCTTAATTCATTTAAGCATAAAACCATTCTTTCATAAAATTAAACATTAAATTCAATCAACACATATCAAACAAAGACATCTTTAAATTATTAAACAGCATGTTCTTGTACTAATTGTAGGCTCAATATTTTTATATTAGCTATATGAATAATCTACAAAAAGAAAGCACTTTGAAAAACTTAAATAAAAATAAAGTGGAACTATTACATTTTTTGAGGAATTGATTGATTAAATATTTTCATGGTTTGTAGTTACAGATTAATAATGAATATATGACAAAGGCTTTGTCATTTAAATATTCGATTGGTTTGTGTCGAATGATAATATCATGAATAATAATTCATTGATTTCTGAATATTCATGTAAATGTTTTGCAACTATTCGATTTCCTGGAAAGTGTATTTGAAGAGCAGAGGAAAGAAAATCTCTATGCAATTGATACTGAATGGAATGTTATTGAGGTGATACGATAAATAATAAGGTCATTTGCAATTGTTAAATGTCCTATATAAACACATATTTGTACTATTCATATATGTGTGCAATTGCAAAGGTATTACTGATTTGCTCATTGAACAATGGATGAGCTTACTGTTAATATATATTATCTATCACATTGAAAATATCAAAGACGTCTTCTACTCTTCTAATCTTATCATTATTTTCAGTGTTAATTAAATTTTTTCTTTCATTTAAAATGAAAGAAATAGATAAAATGATATTGCAAATTAACAGAAGACGAAGAGGAAGAAGGGGAAGAAAGGAAAAAATTTCATTAATAGACTACTCAACCATTGAAATTTCAATTTATAAAATTCAGTGCTCGAATCACAATTATGATCTGTTTTGATATTCTAGATAAAGGAGCCATATTTCATTAAATTAATAAAAATATATGAAAATCTCAATGAAAGATGTAAATTACTTTATATGGACATTTTTATTTCCTTTCCCTTTAAACTATAAACCATATTAGCAGTTGATTATCTTTAAGGTGTTTATGAATGGATCTTCACTACAGGATATTCCATCTTTACTTTATCATTAATTGTTTAATGGATTATAGATTTATTAAACACCATAACTGTTTATTCTTTTTCCTCTAACTATTATTTGAATAGGAAAGATTCTCTTTTCATATCATGGATTACTAATTCAGGTTGGAAGAAAGAGAGGGCGCTTTAATAAATTATTTTATAAGATTTAAAGTAATAATTCACAGATTGTCTTTTGTTATAGTTAATAAATCTTTTCCTGCTGGATTGATATCTTTTCTTTTAAATGATAAGAACAGACTTTTCAAGACGGTCTTTCATTTGTCAAATGGTTATTTCTTTTACACGTAAACCTCTAAAATGTAATTCGTAAAGATAATACCACTACAGATGTCTGTTTTCTTGATATTTTTACTTATCATCTCTCAAAGTCACATGATCAATAAAGGTCACTATTTCTATTTAAATTGTTCTTATTGTTTTTGACGTGTGTTGTTATAAAAACATTTTTGACTTTCCTTTCAACATTAATCTTTAAGCAAAGAATAAACTATATATAATCTATAAAGTAGAGGTAAAATATAGAGCATTCGTTAAGACTGTAATTCCTATCAGTGATATTAGATATATTTATTACATGTTAATAAATCAAAGATTTCAATTCATTATCGCCAATAGAATATTTTCAAATTGTAAATATAGAAAAGAGACTCCTATGACAGTATATTATAGTAATTGACCAATTAATATTTTATAAGATTTTATTTTTCGCTTATAGTACGAAATTGCGAAGAATTTCGTATAAATTGTATTTGATGTACTCTTGGTCTCTCACACCGTTCTATTACATTCACTCCCTTTTATACCTTGCTAGCGTCACTTAACTGGGTGTTTGACTGTGCTCATCTGTGTTGCCACGTTCATGCCATGTCGTTACTTACCTGGTGACATAACGTCAACCTAGACTGTATCGGCTTTGGGCTAAGTCAAACTCCCTTCTTAAGTGACGCTCACATACTGACTCACATTCATTCATAACATGTGATTTGAACAGAACGTTAACATGTAACGTTCTGTTTAAATATCATATAAGAATTATTCGATTATACGAAATTGATTAATTTTAATTAGAAAAACGCTAATATTTGACTTATTTTATTTAAACAAGCAATAAATGAAATTTTATTATACTAATCAACCAATCTAAGCAAAGGAACAGATATGTCTAAATTGTTTACTTGTCATTTTTCACAAGATATGTTAACTTATGGAATATAATGACATTTATCCAAAAGCCATAACGTTATTTCTTTATATCTTCATACTTTATGAAGAAAAACTTGACTCCTCTGTATGCTAAATATATATATAAATAAATATATTAGTATACATATATATACATATGTGTACACTGTCTATATTATAAATGCGTAATGGTATTAATTATGAAGTAATACATAACCCTTTTTACTTTAGTTACTTTGAAGTTATTAATTGTCTTTTATGTACATTTCAATAAAAATATCAATTACTTTACAAATAAATAATCTCGCCCCTTCTAATTATTTTCATATAGGAACATACTTCCTCCCATCACCTCACTTTTTTGTAAGATGTATAAAAGGATTCTACTACGGTTAACCATCTTTAATATTCTTTTTTATGAAAGTTTAGCAGGTAAACAATCATCAAGTTTTCGCTCTTTCACTTTTTTTTATTATAGAAAGAGAATAAAGTTGAAAAACTTTTTCTTCTTAACTTAAATGTTTCATTTCCGGTAATAGCTCAATGGAGTGAATGGCAGATTGTCTCACAGTGTTCGACATCTTGCGGTCTTGGTGAAAAGGCTCAACAGCGTACCTGTCCCTCAGGAGACCAGGATGCAGGCTGTGCGGGATTGGCTATTTTAGTAGTACCTTGCAATTTAGGATCTTGTCCAGATGACGGTACTCGTAATTATTAGATATCTATACAATCAGATATACATATTTATATATATATATATATAAATTGTATATAAATGTATATATATGAAAAATTTACATTAGCCCTATCATATACACTGTACATTTCATTGGTCTCTTACAAATTGTACAAAATGCTTAGTTGACCTACTTTTTAAACAAATTTTCTTTATTAAATTAATACTTCAATACTTCCACAACAAAATTCAGCATGAACATAAATTTTCTAATAGAAAAGGTTATAATCTGTGCTGGAGATCTGTTCGAATAGAAAAACTTTTACACTGATTACTGAAGTTTCATTGTTTCCGAATGAAGCTTTTTGAAATAACTGAATATGAATATGTTGGATAAATAATCCTTTAACAAATCTTTTCAACTAATTCAAATAGAAAATACCATTGGATATCATAAAGAATTACTTAATTATGAACAATGAAGACGGCGTTTCAATGGAATGGAATAGTTTTTGTTAAAAATTAGAATATAAAGGAAATTTAAAGAGATGGTCACAGATTTCTAATTTAATTAGTGAAATTTATTCAATTCTTTTATCCTGATTAGTCCAAAAATTTTACTTTTCCCCTTGTTCAGTAGTATTTTATTTATTATATGTTAAATATCTAATCAATAAATCAATCGATATAAAAATCTTGATCACTAAATAACATTTCTATTAGTATTTATTCTAAAAGGAAGGTATACATAAAAGAATTTTCATTCAATTCTATTTTTGGCCTTCCTGTGTTTATTTTCCTTTCTTATATATTTTTTGATGAATTTTATATAAGATTTATTTATCTTCATTATAAAATTAATGTATATCCATCACTATTTTTAAAGTAACAAACATTTATAAATAGTCTCTCCGTATCAATTTGTCATTAAACCATGTTTATTTTTCCCCTCTATTCTATGTACTAGTCCAATAATTTTGTAATATTGAATACTGTTTTCATGTAGAGAAGCCAGTTTATTATTGATTTTCTAACCTAGTAACAAAAAACAATGGAAATTTTGAAAATGAACGAAAATAACAAAATAGTTTTGTTAAAGTAATAATAGGAACACTTCTTAGCAAAATTAGTTCTGTGTGTCAGTGTTCGATAAAGACACTAAAACACCGCAATTATATTATTACAATAGATCTATTAGTAACTATAAACTGATTTTAGATAAAAGTTGCCATTATTGTTATGAAATTGCCTTTAGAAGCTTGTTACAATAAACTAAAAGAACTAAACAATCGCCTTATATAAAATGAAGGTTTGACAAATATTATACAGTCTTAATGGCCAAGTAAACAGTAATCAAACATTAATCCTCTACTTAGAGTTTAACTGTACGCTGGAAGAAAGTTCTACTCAGTTTGTGCTTATGCTTTGGTGATAATATGGCAAAAACTAGCTGTTATGCTTTATACTCAACAATGCTGCTATATTTAATTTTATGCAAGTTTTTTATTTAAGTTTTCTTAAAATTTTTCAATATGTATACTGTATATTCGTCTCATATCAACAGCCCATCAAATTAGTTTTATAATTGTTACTGGATTCCAAACACCTGCTGGACCAGGACACTCTGGCGATTCACCACATACGCCACCAATACATCATGGGAATTCACCACATACACCACCAACACATCCTGGCGATTCATCAATTTTATTCACAACATCAACTGTTCAATCTAGTACGGTGGCCACTACGCAAGAATCAACTATTCAATTCAGTACAGATACCTCGACGCAAGGATTAAATGTTCAATCCAGTACAGATACCTCAGCGCAAGAATCAACTATTCAATCCGATACAGATACCTCGACGCAAGGATCAACTATTCAATCCAATACAGATACCTCGACACAAGGATCAACTATTCAATCCGATACAGATACCTCGACGCAAGGATCAACTATTCAATCCAGTACAGCTGCCTCTACGCAAGGATCAACTGGTCAAATTTCAGGTAATAAGTCCAAACCATTTGGTTTCTTTCACTTATGCTTTACTTCATCAAAAACCATAACCAATTCCTATTGACAAAAAATTTTACTACAAAACTTCAAGACGATCTTAGATGTTTATTGAAAAGAGTATTAGTTACTATATATTAATAATATAACAATAACAAGTGTAGGCAAAATGCAAGTGGAGTTTCAAGGTAATTTCTTAAAGCTATCTGAGAATAGCATAATGTCATCAATTCCTTTCATTTTATATTCATCCTTCACGGTTTTATAAAAGAATTCAGGTGCTTCCCTCTTTAACGATTGAAGAAAAATTAGCTTTTCAACTGACATCGTTGCCGAAGTGAAACTGGAAAGAATCAAACATTTAACATAAATTCGAAATTTGAATTTCAATGAATGAACATGAAATTATTTTATACGAACAATTTTTGCAGGTTATTGGAATTAATCCAGTTTTCTAAATCTTGTTTATTCCAGCTTTTTAAAGATGGCATTTGATTTGCTCTTACAACAGGAGCATTACTAATATACGGTGGAGCTGCCGTTGTTGAGGAAGAATTAATTTGCTTCATAATGTGATTTGAATTTTTCTTTAAAGAAATTTTTTATAATTAAAGATATTTAGCATTTGATTTTTACTTATTATCTTACTGTGGAAGCCTTTCCTTCATTTCCTAATTCTCTTACTAATTCTGTTGCTTTTTCATCAAAAGCATACTTTCCCGAAAAGTCATAATAGAGCCGAGTTCCAACCATAATACCAAGCCATCCGTCTGGTTGATAGCCTCTTTCCATTAGGAGTGGAATGAATCTTTTGTTTCTTCTCAATGCGTATTCGGCCTCTGAAGTTTCATTATTAACATTTTCATAAATTGAACAGTTACAGTTATACTGAAAACTTACCCATACGACAATTAGGACTCTCTTTATACTTTTCCGAAATACATAGAAGAATAATGGATGATTGTTCAACGGCCTCTGCCATGGCTTGAAGAGTAGAACCACCCATATTCTCTATATCCATCCATATTTTATAATCATGTTTCTTAAGGAAGCCGCTAAGTTGTTTTAAAACATTTTGATTACCCCATTGATAACTGATCATTATATGTCCCGTGTCCGAATTAACAATAGATGATTTCCGTTGGTCTTTTGACTTTTTACTATCCTCATATTCTTCATAGAGAAAAATGATTCCCTGAGCAGCTTTTTGATATGCTTTGTTCGATTGTGAAAGTTTTCTAATAGTATCCATTAAAGATTTATTCTTGAAAATTATCTCTTTATTTTCAGCTTCAAAAGCTAAATTCCAAATCGCCTGACAGCTGACGTTTATTTCATCATCATCGCCAATATCAATTAATTTATAGAGAGGAGGTAGTGTTCCATTCTCAACCAATAACTTTTTATTCTTATCATTTATTGCGAGTTTTGATATACCTAAATGATTGTTTAAAAGGGAAAAAATTATTGTACATAAAGCAATAAACGAAACCAACAGTCTACATAGTATAGTAGATATATTTTAAAAGAAAATAGAATAAAATATATAAACAAACCTTGCGCAAGCTCCTCAGCAGACCAGCCACCAAATCTTTTGGATTTGCTCTTTATTGTTTGAATAAAAGTAATTATTAGATATTTTATGCCAGATGTCTCTTGTTGAAATAGTTCTGATTGATTTTCATCAACAATATTAGCCAGAAATAATACTGCTAGTAGTTTCAAATCTGAATTTTTTATCTTTGTATATTTGAATAAAATATCCACACTATTATGGCATTTTAAAAGCATTTTACATTCAGTAAATCGAGCACAGTTATACAATACTGTTAAAATCTGTTCCATCTGATTACTATTCGACTATTGGAAAGATTATAAAATAAAAGATTAATATCACTATTACTATATTTAACTAACCAATATCTCCTGAGGTGATACATCAGCACATTCAACAAAAAATTTAATAGCTCCATCCACCCTGCAGAAGGCGTATGAGAATTCCATCGATCCGTCTGCCCATTCAATTAATAAAGATTCTATAGAAGAAGCCAAACTTGGCTTATCTTTGTAATACGTCTTGTATAACTTAAAAATAGTTGCCAAAATCTTTGCGTTTACTAAATCAATTGCTAACGCTTTAACTAGTTTTTTTTTCTCTTTTGGCGCTATTCGAGTAAATGTAAGCGCAGTTAAAGAATTTATAGCTTCTTCCATGTCGTGGAAGCTCTCATCTGCTATAGATCCTTCTAGCATAATTAAAGTTTCATCCATATTATTTTTTGAACTCTCATAAAGAGGTTTCGTTTTCTCCGATAGTTGTTCCACATAAAATGAGCTATCTTGTTGTATGCTACTTTCCAGTTTCTGTATCTGTTTTGCAGCGTTTAATACTGTTTTAACGCTCATATTTCGACTCGTACCAGAGCCCATAACACTGGAGATATATTAATAAGTGTCTACGCAGATAGTCATTGGGAGTTATTCAGCACAGTATCGATCTTTGGGGTTGCCAACACATTAAGATTTTGAATCAATATCTATTTAGAATGCATATAGAATACAATATAATACAATATAAGCAGTGTATGGTATTTGGATTAAAATTTATATACATATAATGCTTAAAAAGCTATAGATAACCGTTGGAAAATTGTAAATAACTTGATAAAATATTATAAAAATATATATAAATATAAATTTATGTGCTATAGTTTATCCATAGTGTACTAAGGATTAAATATTTCTGATTTTCTTACAACATCGTTATTCTCTCTCTCTCTCTCTGGTAAAAACCTAACATGGATAACTTATCTATGATATGAAGCATCACCCTTAGCAAATAAAAGCCCTCTTTCTACTAAAATGAGCTAAAGGAATAAACGAATCCTGTAGCACCTTTATGAGCCCTTTTTCTTGGCTTCAAAAGTTTTTTGCGTACCCTTTCTCATAAATGTATATTTACCCGTAGCAAGCCACTTTCGACTCTGGAATGTTTTCTTGAAAGAATCTTCTTTTTCCTGGTTGGACGTGTTAGTAAAAGTCCTAATCATCTATCTATAGAATGTCTATGTATTGTTTTCATCTTTGAATTGAAAGAGGTGATATTGATAGCCTTTTCTATGTTTAATGTACTTTACCTTTTAGTTATTCTTCCTTCAGCATAGGTCTACTACTTTCAGATTCAATCAGAAGGGAACTTATTTTTTTTGTTTTTAGCAGCGTCAGTAAACGAATTCAGTGACATGGCATACTAGATACGAACATATTCTATAAATCTTATGTTATATATCTCTTTTTGAAACAAAAAGAAAAGAAAATTCGGTAAATTGTGTCATGAATGAAGGTTGATAGAAAAATGCATAAAATTAATATACAAACATCATTTTTAGATTATTCGAGATAATCCAAGCGTCTAAATTATTTATATTTCAAAGAATAATTGTACTTTTACAATATTTAACAAACCAATATGTCTGTGATGCATTAGCACATTTAATAAAAAACTTAATAGTTTCATCCACTTGATAGAAGGCGTATGAGAATTCCTTCGATCCGTCTGCCCATTCAATCATAAAAGATTCTAAGAAAGAAGCCAAACTCTCCTTAATTTTGGAATTTGTCTTATAAAATTAAATATGGTTTCCAAAATGTTGTCGTTTACTAAATCAATTGCTAAAGCTTTAATTAATATTTTTATAGCTTTTTCTATTTTTAAAATATGGATGAACCGTCTTAAAGAATGTATGGCTTCTTCTACGTAGCTAAAGTTCTCATCTGATAAAGATCCTTCGGGCAGAATTATAATCTCATCCATATTATATTTTGTACGCTCATAAACCTGCTTTGTTTTATCCGATAGTTGTTCCACATAAAATTAACTGTTTCTGTATATGCTTTACAGTATCTTGTACTGTTTTAACGCTCATAGTTTGGCTAGCTGCGGAGCCTATATAGCAAAAACATTAAAAAGTTTGTACGTAGAGAGTTATTACAGTATTGATCTTTAGGGTTGTCAACATGTTAAGATTTTGAATCAATATCAAAAGTAATATCACTCATTACTTTAGCTTCTAAATCGTTATAAAATATATCTGTCATATGTTTAATGGCTGAGTATTTTGCTGAAAGAATTCCGATTGATTTTCAGCTATATAAATTATTCGAAAGGCAGTTGCAGAAAAACGTTAAAATTTCATTTAGTGAATAATGTGAAAATTCATCGGTAACCATTGACCAAGTAATAAAGAATGATATTAGCTTTTCAATTGTAGAACCTTCTTCTTCATATTATAATTTAAACATATATTTTATTGTCTTCACATCATTTTTGTCTGATACCGATAGTTTTGTTATAATTTCATATGTAGTTCAGTTTTGTTTACTATAGATAATCTTACTCTCATCGCTTAACTGGTTCATCTAGAAAGCGCAATCTAGTTTTTGAAGTAAATTTTCCAAATATGTTTCATATTTGTTGGTTCATTATCATGGACTTTACTATGTTTTTTGGCCAACTGAAGCGGCCACATTATTTTTATGGAAATCAATTTATTCTTAATTAGAATAGGTTTCGAATAGACAAAAGGATAATAATTGTGTGTATCCTATTAATGTAAATCATCTATGTTGACAAACAATGGAAGGTTTAAAGACCCAAACTTGAAAATTTTGAACTATACTTTTATTTCGTACAACATCAATTTTAAGTTTGTTAAATACTGTGTTTAGATTCTGTTGACAAATTTATACTCTGGAAGAGTAATAATTTTTGAAATGCTTTTCTGAATTCCTTGTTAAAGATAGTATAGATTATAGGATTAACTGCTGAGTTTACAAATACAAACCATGTAACAGCTCGGTAAAATCTCCAATTTGAGATGTAGTAAGTTCCTTTAAGAGTTCCAAATATATATCTAAATATAAAACAGTTATTTAATAAAGTATACTAATAAGTATTCAAAGTGAAATCCTTACAATACGAGACAAGGTAAAAAACAAATATCATATACTCCAATGACTATACATGTTGTTATTGTTCCTCGCCTTTCTTTAGACAATAAAAGCTTTTTCTTCTCTTCCAAGAAATTATGAGTTTGAAATGCCTGATTGGTTATTTCTGATTGAACTTTATTTGGATTGAAATCTCTCGCAGTTGTGTGGTTCATCTCATTTATAACTTTGTTATGAAGTATAGATACCAATGCCAGTGTACATTTCCCCTTTTCTTTAAATCGTTTTCGACTTGCAACAAAAATTTTCAAGTATACCAAATTCATTATAATCATAGGAATGAAAAACCCTGTTATACTAGAAAAAGTAATAAATCCAAAGTCAGTTGTATGATGGCAAAAATCAGTTGTACCGTTAAACAGATACCCGTTAGCATTCCATCCAACAACTGGTGGAACACTTATTCCGATTGATATTATCCAAACCAAACATATTATCGATAAATTTCGTTTCCGAGTCCTTTTCTGTGTGTAATTGATGGGATTGTGAATGGCAAAATAACGATCTAAAGCAATCGTACATAAGTTAAGGATACTAGCTGTACAGGCTAATAGCTCAAAGGCTAACCATATCTCGCAGAATATTTCACCGAACGCAACACGATCCATAATATAGCTTGAAATGTTGAATGGCAGAATAACAATTGCAACCAGCAGGTCGGAAACTGCCAGGGATACGATATAAAAGTTTTGAACGCTTTTCAATGGTTTGTATGTAAAAACAGCAAGAATAACGAGAATGTTACCCAAAAGAATAACACAAGCACATAGCGACGTAAGAAGTCTAAGCATCCAACTTTCAATTGTATTATAATCTATAACTGCTGGCTTTAAAATATCAGTAATGGTAGAACAACTAGGACAATCTACGGTAGGATACAAACTATCGTTGTAAAGCAATGTAGTAGTATTTAAAATCATATTATTCTTTTCTTTTTGAACAGAGGAAAAATCCAAATGCTATTCTTTGCCGATTTGGAAGGATATCTGATTGAACATATTAGTACATAATTGTGTTTGTTGCTAGAGGGAGCCTCTATTTAATAAGATGTAGCAATTAAACTATTTGTAAAAAAAATTTGAGATGGAAAATTCCTGTTGTTAAAGGAGGTAATCAAGGTAACTTTAAATATTGAACCAATTAGTACGTATCGTTTTTACCTGAATAATGGAGTTAATGATTGACTATACGGATTTTTAAAGAAAATTTAATAGTCATTTAATATTGTTTAATATTTTAATCAGTAAGAAAGTTAATGGATACTTAAAACTATGATACATTATTAAATATATTAGTTAGACTGGTTACATTTAACTCCAGAAGATGTCCTAATATATACCAAAGATTTTTAATGTAGTGGATTGGTTGTAATACAATTATTTCCTTTCTATTTCTGTAACATTTGCAAACCACTTGTTTATTGCTTTTAGTATATTACTGACCACTGTATTGGTCTCTGATTGAATTTGAATTCTTCTTTACAAATTATTTAAATTAGAAAATTCGCTCAAAGCAAATTTTATTCTTTATCATTCCCCAGACATTCTCAATAAGGTTGAAGCATTACACCTTACGAAACCAATCCAGAATTAATGTATCCTAAATAGAAATTTCCAAATCTTTATGGTCTTAATATAAACCGTACGGTATATATTAATTAACACTCAGTAAAGTTTTAACTATTTTCAAGAGATTTTATAAATCTCAAGTTTAATTAAATGACTAAATACGGATAATTAAATGAGTCAGATTTCATTTCACCTTTATTTTAATAATAAACTATAGTTATAGGATCAAGTAGTAATAGTGTTATTATGTAAAATATTTTCCATTCGACTACTTAAAGATAAAGAGAGATTATGCTAAAGATCAACAAAACCTTATTGAGTTTTATGTAAACTCCCGCTTGATCTTTTATAAGCTTTTAATAAGAAATACCTTAAGTACTAGTTTATTTCGAACAAAACCATACTATCTAATTATATACAGTAATATATACAGTAACGGTAATAAACATTCATAGCTAAATCTCTATTGTAAGTTGGATATTATAGCTTTTCAAGTTTAGTTTAATGATGCTTTAATGATAATAAAGTTTGAAAAGCTCTTCGAAATCTAATGTTGAAGAGTGTAAAAATTATCGGATTAAGTGCTGAACTTGTATATCCCAACCAGATAGTAAATTTGAATTGAATCGAATGAGCATCGTCAGGAGAAAGAGTAATACTCCTAAAAATATAATCAATATATTATTATGAACATCTATGATTAAAATTGTAATTCTTACATTAGAAAGAAGGGTAGCCAACATATTGTAAAAGCTGTCATTATTATACTCAGAGTCTTTGCCGATTGCCGTTCTTTGGAAAGGAATCTATTTTTCTTTATAAAACATTCATCGGATTTCTCATTTGAGTTGTTCATTACTGGTTGAATTTTATTTGGGCTCACTATTGAAGCAATATTCAAAAATATTCCACTATCTATTCGTACAATTGTATTCATTTGAGTGTTAACATGTGAAATGTCTCGTCTTTCTACAGATTTTACTCTAAATCTTTTTAGGTCAACGATAAATATTATTAAATATATGAGATTCATTATAATCAAAGGAATGAAAAATCCCATTAAAGTAGAATAAAGAATATATCCTTTGTCACTTGTACGTTTGCAAATAACAGTTGTATGATAGAGCGAATTCTCGCTGACGTTCCATCCAAAAACTGGTGAAACATTTATTAGAAAAGATACTATCCAAGCCAAAAATATTATAGTTAAAGTTCTCTTCCGAGTCCTTTTTGGGATATAATTGATGGAATTGTGAATGGCAAAATAACAATCAAAACCAATCGCACACAAGCTAAGGGTGCTGACTGTACATTTGAACGTATCAACCGTTAGCCAAATTTCGCAGAATATTTTACCAAACACCCAACGATCCATAATATAGCTTATAATGTTGAATGGTAGAATAATAACTGCAATTAGAAGGTCGGAAACGGCTAAGGATACAATATAGAAGTTTTGAACGCTTTTCAAAGGTCTGTATGTGAAAACAGCGAGAATAACGAGAATGTTACCCAAAAGAATAATACAAGAACATAACGACGTAAACACTCCAAATATCCAATTTTCAATTAAATTCATATTAAACCCTTCAACTGCTGGTTCTGCTGCGACAGTAATGACGAAGCAACCAGGACAATCTACGGTAGGATACGTTGATCTTTGAATAGTGGGTTTGTCAGTATAAGGAAATGTGATATTATTCAATGCCATTATTATATTTTTGGGGAGAAAAAGTAAGTTATCTAAATGGAGAGTAGTATTGAAATGTCCTTACTAATTTCGTGTTGGTTCAAAGATGTCGCTTGAGAGACATTTACTAATATTTAATTAAAATTTTCCGATGAAGGTTTGGTAAAGTGTACATTAAATTATTAGCTTTCCTTTTTTTCCTGCAGGATTACTTAAGAACGTATTATCTCTTCTAGTACTTTAACCCTGTTTATTAGAGAATTTTAAGCTAACAATTGAAGTTGTATAGTATAAATAAGACAATTATAAAGTAACTTTTAATAATTAACTAATTAATTAGGTTAAGTGCATCAATTTAATTTTCATTTTTAGACAATCGAAATTACTTTTATCTAGTTTTTGTTACATTGAATTACGAGTTTAATATTAAGATTAGTATGCTGCAATAGATGGCGTTGGGAAATTTTTGTTAAAAATAATAAAGATAAGGAGTAAGGAAAGTGAAACCATTCGCTTATAAATATTGTTGTATTTATATATATATATCTATATTTGATTGATGGTATCACTGTTACTAGATAATCAATAATTAGTAAACCTAAAAGTAAATAATACACCACTTTCAGCCTACATACTATTTTTTAAGATTACTTTTAATATTACTATCACGCTTGTAGCTACAAAGGATCAGTCCATTAATTGATATCCAACAATCTCGGTGCGAGTAAAACAAAGCAACGTATTGGACTAATATAAGTGATTTATTTAGCATCCTTTCTTCACATGAAATATCTAATCAGGTAATATAATTGTTAGAGATTAGTTATTTATGTCTCCGTTGTTATAGAACAAGCGACCTTTGGAATGAATGTATGGATTGAAGATTAAGTTTCTAGGGTAAAAAGTATCATTTAATAAGTACAAAGATATCTTATAATACATACTGAACGCCCTCTGAAGGCTCTTCTACTCTTCTTCAATGGCTAACATTCGAAGAAAGACTATTCATATTGAGGTTATCACTGATAGTACTGGACAAACAGAAACAAACTAGGAGAAAAGGAGAGAATTTAAAGAAAATAATATAACCATTAAAATTCTACCGACACAAACGTTACAATTAACTGTCTATCAATTGAAAAGGTATGTATTATGATTTTTTTTAACTGAAGAGAACATAAAGGTTTAATAAATATATGACTATTTACAATAAAAATTCAATATATAGGAGAATAACAGATTCCTTTCAAGGAACATTTTTACTCAGTAAGGGAGTTTTAATATGAACTTTTAAAAGTGGATATAAAAGAGATTATGAATAATTCCTCACTTTCTATCTCTTGTCCTTTCACCCGTTTTTTAATATTTGGATTGCCTATAACTGTTATAAATAGTATTGGAATAATATTTAATATTATGGCGGCTGTTATATGGAGCAATATGAAATCAAAATCGGCTACAGCAGTGCTGGTAATCTTTCTGGAAGTTGCTGATACCATCTTTCTTACTCATTATCTTATTATATTAGGGCTACCTTACCTTTTGGAATATGCTAATTTTAATCTATTTCAAAATTATTCAATTGTCAGAGCATACGGATTGAAATATACAAATAGTGTATCTGAATGGGCTGACGCGGCGTCTAATTGGGCAACTGTTTTAATTTCCGCTGAAAGATACGTTGCAGTTTGTAAACCATTCACTTATAAAAGTATTACCAAATTAAAGACTATATTGATTACTGGTTGCCTTTATTTTTTGCTATTTATGATATATTTCATTCAAAATTACGAATACGACGCCCAATTTAACTCTTTTAAAGGAAGTTACGAAGTTGTAGGGACGTCACTAAAAGCTAATAGATTTTATGCGATAGCTTACCGATTGGTTTTTATCGCAATATTGGCAATATTAGCACCATTTCTTATCGTACTGATAGTGACAATTCTTACATTTAAAAAGCTTAAGACTACTTTAAAAACCGCAACAGGAAATCAATTAAAAACTGCAATGAGAACCAAACAGGTTACAAAGTCCTTATTGGCAGTAAATATACTTTTCATTGGAGTATATTCCTTTGAGATTTTTCGTATCGTTATCACGGCGCTATTCGTAAAGGAAATGTTGACTTGCGGTCATTTCCTTTTTTACTATCATAGATTGGCTACTGTATTGAAAAGCATCAATTCATCAGCAAACTTTTTCCTCTTCGCACATTTAAATTCTTTTTTTAGAAGGAAAGCTAAAGAACTATTCTGCGGAAGGAGTGCATCAATTAACACAGCTCCAATACGCCTAACAGACTGAATCATACTACTGCAATTAATGCGACTATATAATTTTAATATGTTTTACAATTTTCGTTCGTAAAATATTCGTATTTCTTTCAATTCAATTATAAGATAAGAAAAGTTTGTTCAGCAAAATTCTTATATCAGTTGGAAGTTTTTCTTCGAACAGACGATCAATTCGCTGACTCTGTTCTTCGTTTAACCAATTCTTCCAGTCACCTGCTATACCTTTACGAAAAAATTGGGATATATCCTGCCGATAGGCCTTAACTTCTAGCCTATTAGTTCTCTTATTCTGTCTCATATTTTCTATGTTAGTTTTCTCAACGATACTCTTGACAACTTTATCTTCTAGGTTGATATTTAAAAATGTAGATATCTTCCCGATCATTTCAAAAGTACTTTCTAACAATTCTTCATAGGATATAATTAATATATTTTCATTATTTACCGAATTTTCTAAATATCCTTTAACGTGTTCGAACCAATCGCCATGAGGTGTCTGCCCATTCAACCATAAGTCATAGAAATCTGAAAAGGACCCCTTGAAAAGTCCATACAATTCGTTCATACGACAAAAATGATAGAATGATACCAAATTATCCTTGACATTTCTGACAATGTAGATAAGCCGAATATTTGACTGACCCGATCTTATATCACTTGGAAGACTAGTGTATGCTAAATGAGTTTTGAATACTCTTTTTTCTCCTTTCATCAAATTCTCGTCGTTATTTTCATCAATAACAGATTTGGAAATAGCGGGAGGTCCAAGTTCGAGCATTTTCGCTCGTAAATAGGTAGGTGATTCATTATCCGGTTCGATACCTCTTCTCAAAATTTCATCAACAATCTCAACAACCCAAGTTGTACCAGATTTTGGAAAAGATGAGACCAACACATCATCGGACCTAAACGAAAAATCTTTAATTGCAGTTAAGATATTAACGTTAGTATTTGGAGGATAAAGAACACCATCATAAGTAAAACTACCAGGAATATTCATGATTGACTAACAGAGTTGTGAAAAAGAATTAGAACTGCTTGAAAAGTAATTTAAATATGATAATTATTGAAATTTACCTCAATACTCACCTTTACTCGATAAGATTAGAGTTGGTTGTAATAGAAAAACTTTTATTCAATTGTTTTAAATTCGTTTATTTAAAAAGATATCATTAAATGATATCACTAAAACGTTAAAAGAATACAATAGCGCTTGTAAAACTGTATATTTTACAATTGTCTTGTTGCAGACAAGAATATATGCATGTTTTTATACTGAATATACAGTATATATGTATATATAGTATATAGCGTATTTAAATTTGCAATAGTTAAATATATCATCAAAGGTAGGAATTTGAAATATTGAGTTTTCACTGCTTTCGTTTCTTATCTATTAATAAGCTTAGATTGGACTCACAAAGACAAAGATACTTATAAAGATATTTAACAGTATGTATATTATAAATAAAATTCGATCCATAACCGCGGCTAAAAGCAACCAATTAGCCTTTCTCTTTCTTTGCTTTTTAAGCATCCTTTTATTTTCCATTTCGACTTCATTCATCATTTCTAATGGAATATCGTTATCATTACTATCACTATGAATATGTACGTAATAGTTGACCGGTACGAATAATTTTTTCCGTAATTTTAAAATAATTTTCTTAATTCTATCAGGAACTTTGGCATCTCCGTCACCTTTCAAGGCAATATTATAGACAGCGGTAGATGTAATAATGTTGCAGGCTATGATAACCGAACTTGCAACAATGAGTTCACCTACGAATTTTAAGTATTTTATGCTTAAGGATATCAGTTCAGCGTTGTTAAAAAACTTACCAACTGCTGGAACCTTTCTTCCCATAGGTATATGATCCATTACTATCATTAGTAAGACAAAATAGCTAAGGAAGATACTCAAAGCCAAATTTATCTTTTCGCTTGAATCGGGTGGAATAAATGTTGATAGAAGATTTAAAAGAACCAGTAAAAAGCATGGTAAAAACAGTACAATGGCTAAAAAGGCTGTAAATTATAATTACATGATGTATAATTCTGTTCATATTTTTGGTAAAGCGACTAAACTTACTGGCATTCCTTTTTAATTCTATTTTGAAAATCATTGCTGTAAAATTCCTATTAGAACAGCATTCAAAATCGTAATGTTCGTGATAAAAAATATCTTGGTGAACGTCGATTATTTCCCATTCATTACCAGGTTCGGGTGTAAAATAGAATTTATCATAAGGAAGATTACCTGATGTTTTCAGCCTCAGAAAAACAGCTTTGTTATGATGCATCCAGTTTACATACGAAAGTGAGCAAGTCTATTTAATAATGTATGAGTAACGCTATAATTAAATGTACCATTTTACCTGTCTCTCAAAAGGAAAATAAGTAACGTCAACGTCACATGGCGTTTTTAAAATTTCCCTAGGATTAAAAGTTACTCTTCCTGAAGATTCGACAATAACTTCTTCAATTGGATTAAAATCTGTTTTCCTACCAGTTCTATAACAAATAGAAAAGTGAATGAAATAAACATTGATGAAATATTAATTCGAAACAAACAATTCAGATATTCTAACGTTGGGTGACCATATATCTTTAATGTTCATTTCGACGAGTTTGATACCATGATAAGCGGATTCATTCCATTTTAAAAGTTCATCTATCCATTCATATTTAATTTCAATTAATGTTGTTAATTCTTGATTTTTTGGGTCTAAATCGATAAGTTTTCTTAAGAATAACGTAAAATTAAGATGAAGTGCTTTATGAATATTCTTCACTGGTCTAGCCGATCTATGTCCCCTTTCGTAATTGCTTAATAAATTTCTGATAAGTTTATGTTCAGGATTCGGATATAAATTCTCCGATTCTGCACTTGTAACACTAGAAAGAAAACAATATGGTTAAAATGATGAAAGAGCTTAGTATGGGTGAAATCGAGAAAGAAATATAGGTTCAAAGAGAGAGAATTCTTAAAAGGGCTTGATAAAATATTATCATTGCCATATAGTGTGTTGTATGTATTAATAATATTAATTACTAACCATTATATAAATCCTGTATATATATACTACATACACTCTATTAACCGTAGTAAAAAGACAATTTACTTACCCAATTACTGCAGGTAAAAGGAAAAGAGGAAGGATAACAAAAGATATATAAGTTAGGAGCTTAAGAAGGTCCATAATTTTTATTTTATAATAATTCTTAAGCTATATAAATATAGATATAAAAATGACAATTTCTCGCGGAACAGGTATGTTGAACACTCTTTACTCTCTTAAACTAAAAATTTGTATTGTGGTGAAAAATTCTGAGCCTATTACCTATCCTTTCAAACTATTTGTCATCTAAAGATTGGAATATTTAGAGCATTTAGGGTATAAAGTTAACTGAATAATGGTCTCCTGTGCTAGACGAATGAATATTCAAATCTATTCAATAAGCAATATACTGTATATGGTATGTAATAAAAATTTATTATACCCACCGATTATTACTATTATTAATGTTAAAAGACTTTAAGTTGGGTACTTTCTACTCTTATATTTTCTTAAGATATTTTTAGAATTAGCCTACGCTTTCAAGTAAAGAGAAAAGAAGAAAGTATTTTTCAGCCTATATAAAACCAAATGGAATTTATTGAGGGAAGAGTGAGAGAGTGAGAGAGAGAAAGAGACAGCGCATGTGTCCATATACGATGTAGGGCGACACAAATAAAAAAAAGAGAGACTGAATAACTGTATTGGTTCTAATTTTCGAAATATTTGTTACGCTGGATGAGAGAATATAAATGTGGCAGTAATGGCATTTAAAATTATATACAGACATAATAACATTCTATCTAAGATAGCCGCTATCAATAACCAATTGACTATCGGCTTTTTGTCTCTTTTAAGACTATTCTCATCAACTAATTCGGTTATTGCATGATCGTTGACCAAATTGACACGCGTATCTAAATGGTTTTCCTCCTCCATGTAGACCATATAATAGGCGTTTGGTATGCATAGAAATCGACCTAATTTTGATAAATTATTCTGAAATGATAAAATAATATGACATGTCGTAGGATTTTTTCGATGGAATAACAACACTAGTATTAAATATTTAAATTTCACAATTGATATTCTACCTTTAGCGATTGGTTTGCGTGAATTTGACTAACTCCTTTGAGGGCAATATTGTAAACAATGGCCGAAGTGATAATATTTAACGCAATAATACTTAAACTGGCTATGAAAAGTCTTCCTGTAGAAATATAAATATTTCTTTATAGTAGTTACTTTTAATTACTATTAAACAGAATACTCAGACTTACCGACTACTGGTAATTTACTTCCTTGGGGTATATAGTCCATAACGATAAGTAATAGAACAAAGTAGCTAAGGAAAATACTTAATGTTAGATGAATCTTCTCGGATGAACTTGGAGGCAGGAAAGCCGTTAGGAGATTTACAATCATTAGCAAAGAGCAAGGTAGAAAGAGGACAATTGATAAAAATGTTGCATTTCTCTTTAATTTTAGATGAAATCTCATTATGGTAAATTTTTCGTTAGAACAACAAGCTAAATTATAAGATATATTGTTTAAGACTTCCTGTTGAACGTTTGTTATTTCCCATTCCGCTCCTTCGTCAATTGAATAGGCAAATTTATTTGTATTATTTAAATATGAACCAAGTTGTATTTGAACTTGATCATTCGAATGAATCCAATTGCCATATTCCAAAGAACATGTCTAATTTGATTGAAAAGATCATATCAACACGATGAATATTTAGAATATAACAATTTGTTTACTTGTCTATCAAAAGGAAAAAAGGTAACGTCGACTTCGCATGGTGTTGTATATATTCCTCTGGGAACCCAAGTTATTCGGCCATTCCACTCTACAACAGCTTCAATCACCGGATTAGCTTCGTAACGTTCCTCTATACTGTTTAGAAAGAAAATATCTGTAAATTACAAGCATGACGTCAAAACCAAAGAAGCTTTACAGTTGAAATATTCTTATGGAAGGTCTCCATATATCACGAACATTAAACTGAATTCTTTGAAGTTGATTGAATAATTCCCGATCCCAACTTAAATAGTCATCTGTCCATATTAATGTCATTTCAATTAAAGAAGTTAGAGCTTGGTTTTTCGCGTTTAAATCTAAAAGTTTTTTTAAATTTAACGAAAAATCCACAACAACCGCATCCGATGAATTCTAAAAATAGAATATACAGTATTACGTTAATGAGGACCATATCTTGTTATTTTAATTATATAAATATACGTATATATATATATATATATATTGTATGCGCAATAGAAGAGAATCAACATACTTTTCTTGGTCTTGCGTATTTGTGAGCTATTTCGTACTTCTTGAATAGATAATGGATAAGTCTATGTTCGTAGGATGGTTCTATGTTTATTGGTTGTCTATAGATGTCGGGAAATTGTTGCCTGCAATAAAAAAATGGTATATTGGAATAAAGTATCAATAAATCTAATTTATTAGTGAAAGCTTAATAAGGTTTTCGTTAGAGAGATCCAATAAACTTGGATCATTAGCTCCGATAATCCGGAACATAAAAAAATAGAACGTAGAAATCTTCTTCGACCCATTAACTTAATTTATACGATGCTACTCAATTTAGTTACTTTGTATCGTTCAATTAAGATGCTGGACTATATTTGTTTTATCATATATCTTTCATATCGTTCATTTGTTCATAAAACATAACAAAATAGAAAATAGATGTTTATCTACTTACGAGTCAACCAACTTATAGACTATGAGAATCATTATAACCTTCATCACAACATAAATAGAAAGAAAATTTTTCTTGTATTTCGATAGAAATTGTAACCTAACAGGTCGTAGGTTAAAGTGATGCTAATTCAGAGTTATCTTTCAATAATTATCCTTTCCCATGTTGTCTCATCGATCGATAAATAGATAGTTGCAAACAGAAATGTTCAGATTTCATCGAAAAGGCACTGGTCAGACACAATTACGCCACCTACCGTTCATCATTTGCATCAATTATAGGACGACATATAATGTGCTGTATAATTTCTCGATAGATGCTTTACGTTTCGCAAGACAATTCCCCAATTTCTTAATAGTAGTCACTATTTTATTTGAATTTGATAAGAATATCTTGACCAACAAACAAATCTATCCCTTTGTAAAATTAAGTATATTTCATTGCTACAAAGAGCAAGAGCAAGATATATACGTATAGAGAGAAAGATATATATATATATATATATATATATATATATATATATAGGGTGTTGTAAAATGTTATTCTTATTTATCAGCTGAAAGCGTGCCAAAAATAAGGATGAAAAATTCTAGTGATAAAACAGCAACAACTTCCAGTAGTAAAAAGAGTATTTTTAGTAGGATACGTGAAAGCATAGAGAGTCAATTAATTGATCAAAACTTCTATGCGTTAGTTGTTGAAGAGAACAACTCTTTAGATTCTAAAGATCTTAATTGTATTCAACCCGTGAGATTACCAAGTAGAAGATGCCTATCAATGTACCAAAATATTCAAGAAGACCTGGTCGGAAATAGATTAGATTCGCATTTCCTCCTTGAAGCCTACGAGTTGTATTCCTTATACGATAGGAATAACGATGGTCTGATAAAACCATCGGAAGCGGTAAAAATAATCAGATCGTTATCCTTAAACCCGTCTGATACAGAATTTTCTTCTGCTCTACTTTCCCTGAAATATTCCATACCAGAATTAGATGTTAACCTTTTTATTTCGTTCAATGAAAATGGATCTATTCTTCTATACAGAAAAGGAACAATTGAACCAATAGAAAATGACCCATCAGTTAATCTAACAAATTTGACTACTGCATGCGTTGATTTTGTTGATATTATTGCATTGTTCGTTTATCTTAATAAACCGGAAAGTTGGATAGAGAAAAATACCTTAGTGGAAGCTTTCAAATCATTTTCTAAACCAGGAAATAGTAATTTTATAGAGAAAAAGGTACTCAAACAATTACTGATAAATCATGGCGAAAAGCTATCCGAATCCGAAGTGAACGACTTGTTTAATTATTGTCTAGTCGATGAAAGTAGTCAGTTAATAAATTATATAGATTTACTAGAAAATTTAATGAAAATAGAGAATTAAAATTCATAATTGATTTTATATTCTTTCAATTCGTTTTTTAACGTTTAAACAGTATATACACTTATTGATATATTATTTGCATGTCATTTCTCAATAATAATACATTTTAATTAAGGTCAAGGCTAAACACGACAATAAACAATTATGTATACATTAACAAATAAATTAAGTGAAATCTATAACAATCTAAGTTAGAAAATCACTAAAGTACGTTTCTAGGACATCATCTGCGTTCTTTAATAGCGTCTCTAAACTTTGTTGATTTTGAACAGTATCAAACGAATCATTTACAATGAATATTTGTTCATGAGATACTGGTCTAAACATGGCTTTTCTAATATGGCACCAATCTACTTTCTTATTCCATAAGTATTTATTACTATAGAATGGGAATTTACTCCCTGACGTAGCTCTTCTCATATATAATGGATCTGGTATGGCATTTCTATCTACAGAGAATATACGACTAAGATGAATCTTTATATGATTCAACAGTTCGTCGTCAGTCTTCAAGCTTTCCCAATATGTAAAAAACTTCTCGTGGCTGTCTATGGATAATAAATACAATTTTTCATCACTTTGTACAGGTTGAGGTGTTTGATAATTTCCCGAAGGTGGAGCAGTAGTAGAATTGTTATTCAAGTGGGATGAAGATGAATTTTCTTTGGAATTAATATGATCAAGTACAGGCATATTAAATGATCTAATAAATGGAATTTGAGATATCCTTTGAAGAGGTAAATCTGTTGTGATCCACGAAAATTTATCCGACCAAATTGTTTCGTTAAATATTAAATGTATTGTTGTTATTTCTCTAGTTTTTAAAGAGTTCATTGTTTCCTTGAACAATTTATCATCTTTAATTCCTTTCCATTCTATATCCTCAATAGAACTTTTCGGTGTGGAAAGAATAAGCCTTTTCGTACATGAAGCAAAGCTCAACTAAAGAAAAAGTAGTAATATTGTAATAATAACATACGTTACATACCTTTATATTTATATATGTAATATTTACTTTTTGCTTCTTTAATTGCCCATTTTCATTGGCAGTCAAGGTAAATTTTAGCCTGAATATATCACCTTTCTTTTCTATCTGCTCCAATTTATGCGAGTAGAACGTTGAACTAATGAAAGATTATCTTTATTAATTTTGTTAATTTATAGAAAATATCTAAACAAAAATATTACAGTTTTTTAAAGTCTTTAACAAGTAATTCGGCCAGATTATCGGCTTTGTCCAATTGATGGGAATCGGTAAATTCCCTGGCTAAATATTCACCAAGGTATCCAAGACTACTTGTTGGATTTGGAGCGTTTACACCTAAGGTATCTAATAGACAATTAATGCCTTCGGACGAAGCGTATCCTTCTAGTCCGTTTGAAAAGCTGCAAATTAAATACAACTACTGTATAAATAGTACAGAGATCAAAGAATGTACATAAATTAAAAAAAAGATTTATCAATGTATCCATTTCTAGTATATCAATAACTAATGTTTACATGTACTTACTCCGAAGACAAAAGGACTTTCCTATCCGTTTCCTTAAGTAAACATAAACTAGATACATTCGATATGTTTAGCGAATGTCCTAAAATTTGCTCAATATAGTATCTGTAAAATTGCAATTTTAGGCAACGTAAGAAGAAAATTATGAATCATTTACTTTTGTAAACTTTCTGGAGACAATCCTTTTTCGTCTTCGTCGAAGAAATAAGGGAGATTACCATTATTTCTATTCTTTTCAGATTTCAAGTGATTCCTTAAGTAATAAAAAACTTTTCTCTCTGTTAGTTTATTAATCTTTAGACCAAATTCGTTAATTAGACTATTTAGTCTGGTATCTCGCTCAGGATTGATAAAATTGCTTAATACAGGTATGGTTTCATTAATGTATGGCATAAAATTCGTGTCAAGTAAACGTCCTCCAAGTCTCTCTCTCATTTCGTAAAGATGAACTTTTTTTGACGAATTTCTAAATTTCCAAGATATGTAGGAACCTGCTAAACCAGCGCCAATAATACTAACATCCGTACAGGCATCTTCATCTGAAATAAAACGTGATAATATTTTTATTAACGCTCGCCTTCCTCCGATTAAATTACGTAACAGTATGATTAAGGATAAAATCCAGTGACAAACTAAATAAAAGCATTGAAAATGATTTATATATTCCGTTATTTAGTTTAAAAAAACACTCAATAAAATGTAAAATTAAAGAAAGCAGGTGAGTGAACCTTACCATTAGATTTACACGAACTGCATTTTACTGTTAATTGGTAATTAACAAAAACAAAATGTTTACATGAATTGTTGATAAATTCAAAGAAATCGTAATTAAATGTAAAAAATAAAAGGATTGAAAGAAAAAGAAAAGGAGAAAGAATAAGTAAAAAGAGTACGAAATCTATGATCTAAGTTACAGTGATTTTTATATAATATCTTTACCTCCACCAATCGAACTATTAGAATCAGGTCTTTCAGCTCTAGTTACTGAAAGAAATACAAAAATATTATACATATTATATATGTATATATTGTATAATTGCTTGTTAAGATAGGATATCTTTCTTAGAAATTAACTCACCGACAACTATTAAAACAATAATAGCGGCAATTACAAAGCTTATGATAACAACTAAGAATAACTTTGCTCTATTTCTGTTTGACCTGAAGTACATTAAAGATAAAATAAGATAATTATGACATCTAATAATTAAAAAAAATACCCGCAATCCGTTGATTTAGATGATCTTATCTCATATTCTTCTTTATCCGAAAAGCTGTTTGTTTCCATTTTGGTAAACGTATCCATTTTGTATGTTCTTCTACTTTCTTTCTACCTGTTCTTACCAAAGGATTTAACTCCTGCTTTACTTCTCCTTTCGTTCCCGCTCTCTCTCTCTCTCTTTCTTACTCACTCCTTCAATTACACTCTCTTTCCGCAAGAATCTATCTATCCATTTAGAACGAAAATTATAGACGGTGAACACAGGTTTGTAAGTGTTTTGTACTCGAGCTCTCTCATATGCCCTCTATTTATTGTTTCTCGAAAAGCGGGAAAAAAAAGCAGTTGATTCAGCTACAGTGAATTCTATGAATATTTATTATTTATTCGTGGTTATGGAAACAGTATCGAACAGTTTGAAACTCGACGCTCAATTCTGTTCTCGTTTTTTTCTTTTTCCCTCCTCTTTCTCTCTCTCTCCCTCTTTCTAACTCTTTCTGTCAATCACCATTTGGAATATTTTTACTCATTTCGTTACCCTTCCCTATATTTCAACAGGTGTATTATAGATTGTATAAATACTTTTATTTCTAACGTTACTTTCTTTCGATTAATTGTAATGAGTACAGTAATAAAGTATATAATTTCAGACGTTACAAACCTATTAATTTCTTGAAGGTTAATTATTTCATTTTCAGTTTGCCTGAGTACTAATTCTAATCGAAAATAGATTTAAATATTCCAATAATCTTTAGCGTTTATTTTGCCTTTTCTTTCTTATGCTCTACACAAGCAGCCTTTAAGCCAAAATGACTATTTGCTAGGCCTAGAAAAATACGATTTAAGGTGATTTTTTCGATTTATTTTTATATCATAGTTCACCTACTATAAAAACTCCTAAATATTGAATAGAAAGGTGTTTAGCTTTTAATACTGATATCGACTAATATAAATATGCAAATATACTTTAGTAAAAGCACAACTCTTATAGGCTAATTGCTTTTTTTCCCTTAATATTTAGGCATAGTTAACTATTTAAAAAAAATGAGACGGAATATTACAATGCGCAGTATTTGGTATATTAATAAAATAAAGTTAGTTTCCCTCTATTAGCTTATGTCAGCAAAAAATGTGATATAGTTTTGACCTAACATCGATGATATAAATATTCCATTCTAACATTTCAAAAGCTTTATCTACGTTGTTTTTTGCCTCATTTATTTTAATGTAATATATCCAAAATCAGGTCTCTTTTAATTAGGTTATATAGACTATAATATTTTATTTTGTCGTTCAATATTTAATAAGAATTTTCTAATAATCTTCGTAATTTGCATAAACCATAAACGTCAATAGAATATATTATTAATGTATATTTTAACTTTTACTGTCTGTCCTATAGGACTAGTCAAATAATTATGTCAAGTATCCCGTTAAATGATCAGTTTTCAATTTGTTTGTGCTTTTCAAATATTGTTTACTATCTAATATATCTTCTATTGCCCTTCAACATTGACATTCTTAATGATAATAGCATTTTAATCCTAAATAAAAAATGCTGAGGGGGCTTTTTTCTGCATGAGATTTCTAACTAATTTGAAATAAGCCAACTAGTCCTTGAATGGCATGCTATAACATGTCCTTTAATATAGTTTTAATTTAAGGACACTTTTTTCTTACATGCGTAATAAAAGAGAACAAACTCAAGGAGAAAGAAAAGAAAGATAGAGATAATCGCTTCTATAACATAAATCAAAGGTTAATTATTTCTTCATTTTAGTTGAAAGATTATTTAAATAATAATTTTTCGTAGTTGAAATCTGTGAAAATGATTACGTAATTCCAGTTTAATTAACATTTTGACATCATTTTATTCACTGAACATGGAGAGATCTTTCATTTTTTATGTATGTTTATATAGAACATATACAGTAGTGCGTCCAATAACCATTATACTATATATACAATTTTAAATTGATTCCGAATTCTATTAAGTAATTTTTCTTTACTTAAATAGGTAAGCATTCAGAATAGTAGTATTTAACAATCCTAGACATAGTATCAAGTCGTCTAAACCAAGGCCAACAATACTGAAATAAAGAAAGAAGATTGCGTATTAATTGAAAAACTAATTAAAGGGAAATAGTTTGTCTTACTCCACTTGCTCCAGTATTCGTTTTGCATGGTGCTCCCATTTCATTCATAAGAGGGTAGTAGATTCTATGAGACACTCCTCGAATAGAAAATGGTGATAAATTCGAAAAGTAAGCCATCCTAAATTTTTTAAAACGATAGCATAGAGAAAAATTGATTATAAAATTGACTTAAAGTAGAACTTACTTTGTTGGATAACTTGATGATCGCCTTGAAGTATATCCTCTTGTTGGGTAATTACTTATTTTCGGGTTAGTACCGTATGGTAAAATACAATGAACAACACCGCAAACTCTTTATGTAATAAATCATAAAAGTCAATATTTTATTCAACAATAATCAATTTAAAATGATGTTTATTACCCATCTCCATTTGTTGGCTTAAATTCGTAATATCTGTAAACTTTTCCAGCTGAACTTAATATCAAAAATCCTCCGCCATTGAACAGATAATTACCAGGCAATGCATTTCTCTTGATCTGTTGGAGATCAGGTTCGGCTGGCGATAGAAATATGTATGTATAAATATAGAAAATTGTCTAAAATATAATCAAATATCTACCTGATTCTCCAAAATATTTCTTACAAGTTTGTCTCAATGACCTACAAAGACCTTTAAAGCATTGGCCATTTTCAGAATCACATTTTTCGAAGTTTGCTCTGTTGTAATTTGCTGCACTTGGACACTTTGAATGAACAATAATTCATATTAGGATTTTGAAAAACAATAATATATATACAATATATATTTAATTTACAAACATGGATTGAAGCTCCATCACAAACTTTACAATCATTCGTTAGACATTTTGAACCAACTTTTTCAAGTTTACATGTTCTTTGATTGCAGCAACCACATTGTGTTGCGCCACAGTCACATTCTTCCCCATCCTCTTTTACGCCATTACCGCAAATGGAAGTAGAGGCGGTATTCTGTTCCTTAGCACTTTTCTATACAAAAAAAGAACAACTTTTATTTCAAATGCCTCAACTAAATTATTAATTTAGATCTCGGAACTATTAGAGATTTTCAATTTCACTTACAATCATATCATAGGCCTGACTCTTATCCAAACAAGCTTGTTTATAGCAAGCCTTTCCGTCACCACATTTAGTACCATCAGGAACCATATAGGGTCCAGAACCTTTACCAACTTCCATATCCCAGCCACCATGTTGTATAAATCTAATAAGAAGATCGTGAAATCGCTTTTATTTATAACGTTTTTATAATACAAACAAGCATCTTTTGTCACCAGCACGATATGATTGAGCGCGTTGAGAACCTTGTATTTCTAGGACGTAGTTTGTGTTATCAGAATCGCATTGAAGCAAACCGCATTGAAAATTGTTTTCCCTTTAGAATAGTAAAATATTAATAATAAATAATTAATAGAAAGAATAATGTCGAAAAAAAAACTAACGTTCCAGTTGTACACTTTGAATAGACGTCGCTTTGCGGACTACCGCAATGACTCATTTCACTAGCCCAGTTTAATGATGTTCTGTAGCAAGAGTCATGTGCCGCCTTATAATCTTTTTATAGAAAAAAATCAACAAAATGAATTTATTAAATATTAAGTGAAAATAACCAGAATTCCAAGCTGCTTGACACGCCATCGTCTTTGTAGAACAAATTCCGCTAAGGCAATAACCTTTCTATTTGTATAAATTATATAAGTTTTAATTATATGCATTCTTCCATGGTTGTTATTTTTCTTTTATCTTAATATGTACCTCTCCCTGTTTATCGGAACAATCATGACCATTCGATTTAAAAGTATCGATACACTGTGCAGAAGAACCGGAACATTTATCTGCAATATCGCAATCTCCAACCGACTGTTTACAGGTATGCGTAGATGGTTGAAACTATTTTAATTAAACATCGTATAAGCATATAATAGATATTAAAATATTATCTTTACTTGACAAGTAGATGTATCGCAACAATCTCCTTCGTAACAGGCACTTCCGGTGGAAAGTTTGCACGTCGTCATATCGCAGCATGTAGCGCAATTATTAAGATTACTCTGTTAAAAAAACATTGAAAAGCACAATAAATAAAAAGAGATAAAAGAAGAAAAGAGATTTTAGAGAGTATTAACAGCTCCGCAATCACATTCTTCATTCTCATCTACAACACCATTTCCGCACTTATTTGGTCGATTAACGTTCATAGCCTGTAAAAAGAAGATTAATAATTATTAATTAGTAATTGTTAAACATCTAACATAAGACTTACATAAGTTGGTTTATCAAATAGGCAAGTTCTATATGGTTGTCTTATATGATAGGCAAATCTTTCGATACTGCATCTACCGAATTTTGCATTTGAACTTCTCCTATAATGTTGTAAAAGAAATGAAAATGATACTCTTCTTTAATAACGTTATTTCAAATTGAAAAATTTACACTATAGGAGCCATAACACAGTTTCCATCTCCGGATTCGCAGCAGTCTTTACCTAAGAATTTTCAGTTTTGAACATTTTAATAATAACAGTCATATGAATAGTTTTTATACCAGTTTCGTCGTGATTTAGACCAAGTCCATGACCAAGTTCGTGAGCAGTAAGAACAGCTTCGAGTTTTGATAATCTAGAGCCTCTTAGTCTAACAACTCCAACTGCGTCTCCCTTGCTGCAGACAGCGTCGAACATATACCATCCAAGCTCCGATCGGAAGATGTATCCTCTTAAAAGAAAAGAAAATTCATTAAATCGCTACAAAATTAGATAAATAAATAAAAATTCATTACGTAACAAGCAAGGTAGCGTCGGACCATCTTTTCAAGTTCAAGGACTCTTCCCTATAATCTCTCATTCCTAACATATAAGTCTTAAGATCAGCATTAAAAGGAATCATATTTTTCGCATTCCAAATTTCAATATCCGTAACAATCAATTGAACATTTAATTGAGCCATTATCTATAAACAATCATTCTATTTCACGATTAAATAGCGACAATTTAAACTATTTGCCTTTTCAGTTTCGCTAATTAGTTTGTACATATGTTGAACAGGATCTTGTCCTCCCCTCACTAAAAGCGAATACTATAAGGAAATCAACGAAACTTTATGTAATTATTAAAGGATTAAGGAAGTAAATTAGACGCTTACACATCCTTTATCGCAAACAACTGACAGCTCCAAATACTTCTTTTTATTAAACAAAGGATCCTAAAGAAGGAGAAAAACAAAGAAAAAAAGAAATTAATGAGAAATTTATTAATATAAACTTGTGTTGTTTTTTAAATAACATGTTTAATACAGACGTCTAATCCGAAAGAGACGCCTAAATATAAAATAAAAATAATTGAACTGAGCATTTTTCTTTGCCAGTTCATTGTGTTATCAGGTTCGTAGCAAATGGTTACTGTATCATTTAGCCCTCTTAAAACCGTTTATATACACGTAATTTCAGCATTTTTTAATTTTATTCCAACATTTGGAATAGATTAATTTATGAAAGGATATACTAATCTTTGGAATCAGGAGATTATCCCTAAACCATTTTAAATTAAAGAATTAATTAAATTATTTCACCTGTGTACTTAAAAAGGTATATTTAGAAAATGTAATTCTAAAGTTTCTACCATCTAATATAATAAAAATATTCAACATAAGTAAGTGCATATTGTATTCACTTTTATAACAACAATCCTTAGTGAAAGGGTACAATATAATAAGGAAATGGTAATATAAGTTCTAACAAGATGTAATAAATAGCTTTTGTAATAGATTCCATTTAGGCTGTTGTTGATACATATGCAAAAAAGAGGTTTAATTAACTAGAGAATCTATTGGCACGAAAGAAATATGCTAAATAGTACAATGTTTTTAAGTAGCGTATATAGTTTCATTAACTGAGAGCAATATGTATAGTTGATTTTGGACAGGTAATCAATTAAATGTAAATAGTTATATATACTGTATATATAGGTCATGTATAGGTAAAAATTGATTCGAATGTTTGTTATAATTTATGTTAATAATAATTATTTTACAATTGATTGAGAACAAGAAAAAAGCTTGTATGTTCTTTTACCAGTTTCTGACTGCATATAAAATCAATAATGAATTGCGAAAGTTCTATGCATAATGACTCGGCCATGAGCATATAAACAACATTTATCTCTACTCGATTGGTTTTTTCTATAGAGAGAAAAGAAATCATATTGTACTTTCGATATCAAAGGCGGTAAAAATGGAGTCGAATACACAGCTGCTATGTGGAATATGTACCCAATCTATGGATAAAAGACAACCTAGAATTTTACCGTGTCAGCACAATTTTTGTCTGCAATGTCTCGATCAACTGGATACTGATCAATCGAATAACGAAATTTGTTGCCCAGTTTGTAAAAATAAAGTAAGGCTGTCTGCTAAAGGAATTTATGGCTTGCCCAGGCGTTCTTCAACAATCAATTCAGAAAAATCTACCAATAAATCAGCGTGCTCTATTCACAACACAACTCATATCAGTCCCACTATAATTTGCTCAGTTTGTAAGAGTGATATTTTATGTTTGAATTGTCTTGATAAACACAAACCACCCAAATGTCGGATAGTCTTTTCCAGTCACTATAAAATGGAAACTAAAAAAGCTATTGAGGCCTACTCTCTTAAACTGGATATTTACGAACGACGCATTGAAGAAGAAGTGGAATTGTTACGCCAAAGATTAAAAGAAACAGAAGACGATTGCTATAAAAGGATAGAGGAGAAGGTTGGACACCTTAACGACGAGATAGAAGAGTATAATTCACGCAAGATTAATGAGATTAAGAAATTAAGGAGAGAGATTCAAAGCAATCATATTGACGAGAAAGAAATGGAGAAAAAATCTGATAATTTTATAAAGGGTTTCTCAACTAAACAGTCTTTCCTAGCATTGAATTTTGATCTCGCCAAAAAACCCGAAAGTGGCGACGATCGAAAAATAAAAAGGTGTCAACCTACATTAGAAACTATACATAAATTTCGTAAAATAGCATCAATATCTGCTGAGTATAATCATTGTAAATATTTGAATGATGGTTTAGTTCAAATTGTTTATTCAAAAAATTCGTGCTCCTTAATAAGAATCTTTAAGAATGGCCAACGTAAACAAACGTTCATCTCAAAGCTCATTACCGACTTTTCTATAACAGTAAATGATACAATTTACGCAATAGATGAAGGCAATAAACGTATACTTAAGTCTAATTTAAAAAATTCAATGAATATCAAGTATAATTCAATATGCCAGGTGGATAATGCATGGAGACTCTTTGTAAGGGACGATGCAAAAGTATCTATTGCCGTTTTATCTTCTCCTCAGAAGAAGAATCAAACGGTAAGCCTTATTTTCCACGATAAATTGGAATGGACAACTCAAAGCTGGGGTGAAGCAAATTTAACTCTTACAGCCTGCGTACTAAGTGATGGAAATGTTATTGGTGTAGGAAATAACTGTCTAGTTATGTATACTAAGAAATCAGGAAGTGTAGTCAGAATACTACCTTGGTCAACTTCACCTTTCGAAGTATACTCAGTAATACATTTACCAAGAGAAGGCTTCCTATTAACTAAAAATGGACAATCACAAATTCAAGCTTTCGATAATGAACTGGTGAAACAGAATAACTTGAAATTAAACTTTAGTCCAGGGGAAATACAATTAACAAGTAATGGAACTTTATATACAAAAAATATAACAAATTTATCTGTAGTTGTTCATGAAATCATATAGACTATACTGTATACTGTACATATATCTTTTTAATAAGAATAAAGAAGAAGAAAAGCATAGAGAAACTCTCTATTATTTAATATTCGTATTGAATAAATCAATATTACTTTTTTTATGTGATAAGAATATTTGAAAGGATATATTAAGTTACTTCATTGATAATCAATCCTGTGTAAAACAATAAGATATAATCGCATCTATAGATATTTTAATGCATCTTCAAGATAAGACAATTAAATTGTAATTTATGGATTTTATATGTAAAATATTCATAGTTTTCTTATCAATTAAAACAATATCTATTTAGTCGACTCGAAAGAAATAATAATTAATATTTTTATTAAAAACCAAACTATCTTATGTTTTCATTCCTCAATAACAATATCCTATATGTTGTATTTGTACTATGGATTGGTATGAGAATAGTCTAAGAGTTCTTGAATGTTAGCATATGTCTTTCAAAGAATGTTTAATAGAGTACATATTAATCGTTATATTGATTATCTCGAACGTGTTATAAGACAAACACCTTAGAGTTATTTAAAAAATATTTTTAATCCTGGTTTGATATCTGTTTCGTTAACTTTCTCTCTTTTAATTTCAGGGGCGAAATTATGATAAGTAACACAAAGAAACCACTTTAGTAAGGTAACTTATTCCTTGTTAATCTTATAATAAAAAAACAACAACTCAGCTATTTTTAAATATAATATGAAATAATAAGAAATAGTTAACGTGCAAAGATAAATACTTTATAGATACACAATCTCAAATATTATGATATTAACTACTTATACAATATACATACTGCATATAGTATTAATATAAACAGCTGACATAGAAAGAAACGAAACAAGACTATATAATTAAAAAGAAGAAGAAAAGGGGAATTTTTAATTATAATCTTAAAATCTTTAAGCCTAAATTAATTAAAAGAAACTAATTTGCATATGAATTAAAAAAGAAAGAGATTCATCTTTCGAAAGAGAATCTATTAAATTATTTGCATAAATAAGGAAATTCAATATCAGAAACGTTTTTGAGAAACGACATTATATAAATCAATAGATGTTTTGGATACATATGAAAACAATTATAAAATTCTTATTTTATTATGTAATATTAATGATAAAAAGTAGAATATTAACTGTAAAACAATAAAGAAAGAAGAAAAGCGAGATTTTGTTCACGAGTTGTCACATTTATAATTTTGTTTGTCAAACTTCCACGCTACTTTTTAGAATTCTTTGAGCAATCAATATTAATATACTATATGTATTAGTAGAGCTATTGTTGTATTATATATTATATATTATATATTAGATAGTATATACTGTGCTTTGGTATTCTACTGCATCTTTTAACACCAAAAATAATGATATTTCATCCATAGGATATACAATTACATTGTTCGTTTTCCTTCTTCTTTAACCATACAACTTCATCAATCCTATAAAGCTGGTATCATTATGTTTAAAAACACCATAAATATATACTTCTTTTAATGTCCATATAACCTTTAACCATACTGGATTATCAAATTTACCTGTAAGATTTTCCAAACGTTTTTCATCCAACTCTTTTCCAAATGGTGATATAATCTTTACGGTTTTCTCTTTTAATAATATAATATTCTCACTTGGCAATATAAAACAATTTCTATAATTGAAATTTTCTAATTTTAGTCTATGCATAAGTAAAAGACAACCGGAAGTTGAATATTTCAATAAGAAATTATCTTTTATATTCTCTTCTCCTTTCTCTAAAATCAAATATATACAATCAACTATAATTTGTATGTAGATAACCCTATCGTAGTTGTGTTTAATGGCAATTTCCCATTTTTTACTCTCACCATCATCACTATCAATAGGAAAACAATAAACTTTACCAGCTTCTACTACAATTAATACTTTTGGACCAATAGCGAATAGAGCAGATTTTCCATTGGTTGATTGATCTTGTTGAATTTCACCAATTTTTCGCCATTCCTTCCTTACATATTTCTCGATAGATATTCTATCGGACGATGTATGTTCGCCAATACTCTGAGTGGTGCCATCTTTCTTTGAATTTTTTCTATTTAATAATTGACTAGCGTCTTGAGCAACTGATGATAAGAGATTTTGAAATCTAGAAGTTTCGATTCCGCTATCTTTCCTAACAGATGTATTTTTTCCACTTTCTCTCCAATATATTTGATAAATGACCCCTTTATGAACGGCGAATAGAGCATTTGACGACTTTAATGGAATTTTCGTTATTGATGAACCTGATTCTTTACATGAATATTCAAATAATTCATTCTTATTCTTCTCGTATATTAGATCATCTTCGTAAATTATACAATTATCTTGATCAACAGCTCTTTTCGTTTCGTTACAAGACGTTATATTCATAGGAGTTCCCTCCTCCATTGACCTTAGTAAATAAAACTTAGGATTAAGGTTTAATTCGTATGTAAATGTGATTTGTGTATGCTCTAGTTTGTAGTTGTTCCATAAAACTTCTTCGAAGAGCTTCTCACCGTCACCTTCAAAGTCTATTGGGGTCAATGTAAGAGAGTGTAAATAGGCCTGATTCTCACGCCATTTCCTCTTGAATGACTTGTACGTTTCTTGAATACTTTTTAAAAGTTCTTGTTCCTTATTATGTATATTATCTGACAATTCTTCTATACCATTCTTAACATCTTTAATAATGTTACCTTCGCTTTCATTCCAAAACTTGATCATATTACTCTCATTTTTAAATCCTGACCAATCCGTCTTGGAATCAACTTGTTCCAAATACTGGAATAGATTATTTTTAGGAATACCATCAATACCATTTTCTGGCCATTTAATATCCTCTTTACATTTTGGGCAGGTAAATAGATTATCGCATTCGTTAGAATTAGCAAAATTCTGTAAACAACTCGAACAGAATGTATCACCGCAAGATAGTAATCGTGGATCCTTATCAATCCCTAATTTTTGACAAATAACACACTTTAAATTATCTTCTTCAATTCTTAACCATTTTTTCGCCATATTAAAAAGTTGATATAGCTGGCTTAAGTAATTCTCTTACTATCAAAACGTATCTTATTTGATGTGTAGTAATTTAACAGTGAAAATAAAATTCCTTTTCTTTGAGTTAATATTGAAATGCTTTAATATGATTGAATATGGTTTAAAGAAAAAAGATGAATAAGAGAGAACTTAGAAGGGAGACTCGAAGGTGTGGGAAGAAGAAGAATAAGAAAGGTTACATTTATATATTGTTATTTATGTCTTTCAGAAAATATTTTTTGGCCTTTCATTCTCACACATTCACTCTGTATGCTTTTACAATCTCTCTCTCTCTCAGCATTTAGTTTTCAACCTATAGTGTCATTTTGACAGGTACCTTCATGTACTTTAGCTTAAGTAAGTCTCTTTTCAACATAATACTAATACAATTTATTTAATAGTTTTGTTAAAATAATCGCTGCTTTATTCATTCCAATGTTCAATACTACGGAGAATCTCTCTTTTAGTAACTCACGTGATACGTCACGTGGAAAAAAATCATGAATAAACATTATACATTTTCTCCCTGGTAAATAGATAAAAGTGTATTTTTTTTTAGTTTGGTTACCCGTCTTGCAACAAATCTATCAAACATTTAATCAAAATGAAAACATCAGAAGAGATTTCGTTAAAATCAAATGTAAAAAAAGTTTATCAGTGTTCTTTTATCGCTTTCCTTTATTTTTTGTTATATACTTATATATACAATGCAATTTTTATATTCAAAACCAAGCTTCTTTGTTTATTAATTGTAAAAATGCTTTAAACCATCAAAGTTTACTTTCAAGTAAAAATAAAATTACTGTATTATACTTTGAATAATTTAAAATTTTATAGGAAGAGATACCGCAATCAACTGAAGAAACTGCTGAAGAAGTTGAACGTCCTATTAGTGAATATGTAACCTGTAAAGGTAAAATAAAATTCAGGGGCTATGGCCTAGATGCTACTACTCCTGCATCTTACATTGGAGTATCAGGAAGTTGCGGTGCAGATTTAATGACTCAACTCTTTGAAGACGATTGGAAATTAAAACCTCCAAAATTGATTATTTCTGTTATTGGAGGTGTAAGGGACTTTTTTATGGAAACAAACTTAAAAAATTTCTTCAAAAGAGATCTTATAAAGGCTGCATCTTCAACTGAAGCATGGATAATTACTGGTGGATTAGGTTCGGGAGTAACAAAACTTGTTGGCGAAGCTGTTGGTGAACATAATTTTCTCTGTCCTCATTCGGAACGTAATATTGTTGCATTAGGTATAGCTCCATGGGATGTTATTGAAAATAAAGAATCTCTTGTCAACGAACATGCAGCAAAAGATAGTTTTCTGGTTAATTATAGACGTAATAAAAATTCTGATAATAATGAAGAACAGGAAAATCGTATATTACCTCTTGACCATAATCATACACATTTTATATTAGTTAAAAACAAACAAGGAAGTGGTTACGGGTCTGAAATTCCCTTTAGATTTCGTCTTCAACGATATATTAGTGAGAAAAAGAAATACTCATTTAGTTTTAGGCAAAATTTTAAGGTACCAGTTATCTCTTTAATAGTAGAAGGAAGCTTAAACGCTATTCAAAATGCAGCATCCGCAGTTGAAAGTGATCAGAAAATTTTGGTGATAAAAGGTTCTGGAAAAGCAGCTGATTTAATATCATACGCTTATCAGAAAACAATGGTACCTGACGATGAAAGTAAAACTGTATACCCTCCGGATTTTGAGAGTGAATTTAGTAAAGAAGTTGAATATAACTTTGGAGAAGCTTTCATAAACAACCCTCATAAATTTCCAAAATGTCTTAGCTACATAAAGATAATATTGAACAAAAGATCGTTTGTTACAATCTTTCTAATTGACGATGATGATAAGATAAAGGGAATTGACCAAGCTATATTTATATCTTCGTTTGAAGCTAATAAATCCGATCCTGAATCCCAATTAACTTTAGCTATCGAATGCAATAGACACGACATTGCAAGAACGAAAATATTTTCTAGAAGAAATAATCTATTCTGGGTATCGACAGGTCTAGATAATTCACTTGTCAGATCTTTAATGCAAGATAAAGCTAAATTCGTTCAAATTTTTCTTGAGAATAGTGTTTACTTACGACATTTTCTGAGAGTTGATCAACTACAAGACCTCTATTGGAATAGTTTACAAGATGAATCAAGACAAACAAATGCTAAGTTATTACGTAACCTACTTAGGAAAGCTATACAGAAGAAGGCGATAAAACAATTAAAACAAAAGTTACCAGATTTACTCTTAAGTTATATTGGTAAGATTTTCTGTTCTTTTGTCAAGGAATCGGAGAATATTTACAGTAGCAAAAGATACATGACAAACAAAGCAAGTAAACTGAATGATAATTCTAGTATTGAAGAATCCACTAATGAAAACATTACCGTTGAACTTCCCGAGAGAGATTTGTTTTTATGGTCTCTAGCGTTTAATAAACAGAATACTGCTTTTCTATTTTGGAAGCTTGGGAGAGATCATATTGGAGCTGCTTTAACGGCAGCATCAATTATGAAAGGTTTATCTAATGAAGCTCGTAAACAGCAGGAATTCGATTTAGCACAAGATTTTAGTAATCAAGCAGTCGAATGGGAATCGAAAGCTGTGGGTATAGTGAACGAATGTTTCAGGAGAAATAAAAATTACGCTCATAAGCTCCTTATAAGAGAATTAGCAGATTGGGGCAATTCAACAGTACTTTCTTTAGGCTATTCGCTCCAATCAATGGATCTGATAAGTCATTCGTGTTGCCAAACAAAATTAAATATAATATGGAAAGGTGAAATAGCTTTGGAAACTGGTCAATGGAGTATTTTCCTATCTATATTACTACCAATACTCATACCGTATTTAATAAAATTTACAAAAGAACGCAATAGTGAAGATTCAATCCGGAAGAGAGGTTCAATCAAATTTACAAATTCTTCGGCATCCAAACAACAGATAACCTTTGAAAAGAATAGCGACGATGAGGATAATGATATGATCAGCGACAATGATGAAGATAGATATCATCAATTTAGAAGATTTGGAAAAAGATTTAACTTAAAACGTATTTTTGATAAAACAGACAATCATATTGGCATTTTCCGTAGGCTAAGATACTTTTATACAGCTCCCATTTCAAAATTCTGGTGCCATACGGTAATATCTTTTTACCACTTTCTTTTTCTCTATCCTAGTACTTTCTTACAGATTTCCTATATAATCTTTTTGGGAGTATTCTCATATTTCGTACTCACTGATCTACACCCATGGACAAAAGATAATAGGCCTAGTTCTTTTGAATTTATTATATGGATATGGTCAACAACATTATTTATAGAAGAGATTCGACAAGTAAATATAATATAAGAATTGATTTTGAATAGAGTTGATTTTGTTTCATTTATTTAAAATATAGATAGCAACAACAAATTCACCATCTTTAGGTAAAAAACTAAAGAAACATGTTGAAAACGTATGGAATAAATTTGACTTACTCGCTTACTTTCTCTTTATGGTATCAGTTATTATAAGAAATACTCTACCAATTCGTCATTTTATGTGGGTCAGAAGTTTCTACTGTATATCTTTAGTAACATTCTACCTTAGATTTTTGCATGTATTCTATGCCTTTGAAAATATTGGTCCTAAAGTTATTATGATAAGAAGAATGTTAACTGATTTACTTTTCTTTATTGCTATATTACTTGTATTTATAGTCACTTATGGAGTAGCGAGTCATGCTCTTCTCTTCCCTAATACGCCCGCTAGTTGGAGTTTATTGAAGAATGTTATTTATATACCGTACTGGCAAATGTATGGCGATTTATTTCTCGACCACGTAGAAGGAAATTCAGATAATTGTAATTCTACTATTGGTAGCGATAATCCTTGCCCTAAAAAATCTGTTTTGGCTGTTGTTCTATTTGCCATATATATGGTTATCACAAACGTTCTATTATTAAATCTGTTGATTGCAATGTTCGCAAATACTTTTGAAAGAGTTCAAGAAAACTCAGAGAAAGTTTGGAAATATTATAGATATAATTTGATTCAAGAATATTTCGATAGGCCTACCCTTGCACCACCGTTTATCATACTGACTCACATTTGGAGATTGCTTAAGAACTGTTATTTAAAAGCTAAAAGCAGACAAAAGAAGAATACTTATTTAAGGAGTTCCTTACCTGAAGAAGAAACTAAGAAAATGGCATTATTCGAAAGGACTTGTACAGAAAATTATTTTTTAATTCAAAATACAAAATCCTATTAGAATGATTAATTATTTCTATTAAAAACTTATTTATTAATATCCAATAAATAAATGTAGTTTGACATTTACAACTTGAAACTCGCCGCAAACAGAGAACGAAAGTAGAAGCTAAATATACATCTCGTATACAAAGCCAATACAACTTTTCTTTAAAAACTTCTTTTCAGAAGGCTGTTACTCAGTTAAGATTTTTTTTTAAGATTTAACATTCTTTCTTGTTATTCAAGTTCCATTTACACTTTTTCTATAGGTATTTACTTCCGTCTTTTACCATTTTCTACAAGTGCACATGGTAAACACACGAAAAGTTTTAAATTAATTATAAGCAGCCACAATAACAATTATAATCCACACAGCTCCAGCTATGTACGCAAGTATACTAAAACCGAGAGCTGTTTTAGAAGAACTATACGCTGCTTCAGGATTAGTGGCTTTCGTAGTGCTACACGAAAGACTAAATATCAGAGCCACAATTCCAAAAGGGAAAAAGAATAATATCGAGACTACACTCAGCCACTGAAAGAGGAAAGCATACGTGTGTATATGCTTTAACTACTTTAGAGATGGTATACTCACAAGATGATCATTAATATGTTGTCTCTCTTGCCTTATAATTGGCATAGGCGAAACTGGCCCAGGATTAGGATTAGTGCTTGGAACACCAATTTGGATACTGGTATTGACAATGCTTGAATTTCCCCCTTGCTGCTGTTGATTTGGCTGCTGTTGAAGCAGAGGATATGGCTGCTGTTGATTTGGCTGCTGTTGAGGCTGAGGATATGGCTGCTGTTGATTTGGCTGCTGTTGAGGCAGAGGATATGGCTGCTGTTGAGGCTGTAGTTTTTAGAAAATATTTTCTACTTTCTAGTGAAAAAAAATTAAAACTAGATACTAACAAACTGTTGATTATAATTTGGAGCGGAAGGATTATATGGTGGAGGAGCCTGACTATCAGAAGGAGGATAGGAAGGTTTTTTATCAAAATTATAGCTCATGTTGCTGGCTTTCCTAGTTATGAGTGTCGCGCTAGGGAGTATGGTTATAAATATGACTCAAAACCCCACCTAGATAGACAGAGCGCGTAATTTCCATTTTCTATTTATAACCGTTGATGGGGTCTTTTATAACTAATAGTTTAAACAAATAGGAAGTAAAATATTCTAACGATGATAAGAGACATGTTTGAATCACTTGGAAATTTATTAATTAGAAAAAGGATTTAAATAATAGAAGGTGAATTGTACAAGACATTACTTTACAAAATAGAAAATAGTATTATATATATATATGTGTGTGTAAATTATATATGTCCTGTATACAGTATACATGAAGTACTGAAAACACTATTTTCTTCTAATTAAATTTAGAAATATTTAAATAGCATGTCTAAACTAAAATAATAAATTTTTAGCGAAATATAAACTGGATGACAACAGAAACAAATTAGTTGCAATTTTTGAACTTGAAGCTTGAACTGGTCTGGTTCGATCCACTATTGAAATATAGAAAATTTATTAATATACTGTATAATATATTACAAGGAAAACAAACTATATAAATTTCAATTAAAAAAATTTGTTTGTATACTACTTACAAACTGTGAATTCAATTCTTTTCTTAATCGATTCGACTACGTTACTTGGTTGATTTTCCGCTATGCATTCGTATCTATTCAACAAAAAATGCAAAACATAAACGTACGTTTACATATATATTCATTGAATTTTATTCATTTATTATTCAACTGCTTACGTGTTAGAACCAACATGTTGTCTTGTTAAGACAAGATCTCTGCCAGCAACATTTGGTTTACTAGGAATCTAAATAAATAGAAATAAACGTTACTTTTATATATATATATATAATGTCAATTGTTTTTTACCCAAGATTTCCATTTGATATCTGCATCTGGATTAGCATCAACGGTACAATTTAATACGTCACCAATGTATAGGTCAGAATTTGGAGAAAATGGTTCAATTTTCATATCTCTTGGTCCATCTGCAAATTGACAAAAATAAATAAAAGTGTTTAACGTATAGTTGTTAGCCAACATTTTATATCGACAGTAGCATTTGTAGAAATTTTAAAGTCTGGGTTGTATGCGGATAAAATGCATTTGACATCTTTATCGTTGAAGAGAGCATTCCTGCTATAGACCTATAAAAACAAATAATGTCTCAATTGTTTCAAGTATTTTATATTTCTAAAAAAGATATGTATAAACGTTAATGTTTACCAATTTGAGTCTATGTTGATTGTTAGTTACTCTGCTAAGTTTTTCAATATTAGTTTCTGTATGAACAACCTTTCCACCTAATTGAAGTTCCATCTGTAATAGTTAGTAAAGTGAATGATAAGATAAGGAAATAAAAGGGAAAAGTACCTTAATATTGTACTTGGATATATCTTCAGGACTTCCAATAAGACTTTCGCACGTATGAGTAACGTTCTGCTTTTCTATTATACGCTCAGGTTTTGAAGAATAAGACGGTTCAGCTGGAAGAAAAAAGAAAGGGTTTTTAATTCCATTTTGAAGGGTAGAGTTTATAAACAATATACTCACTGACAAGAATCGCGTCGGCTTCTTTATCTTCGCTGTCATCCATACAACGATAAATGCCACCATCTTCAATAGTTGGATTTTTAACGATAAGGTCAAACCTAGAAAGAAATTTTCAATAGGTGTAAACGACAAGTTTCTTATATAAAGATTTACAATTAATCATCAGTTTTCATATCTTATCTGAAATATTTTTTTTTGAAAAATTTCTTTACCTGCCTCCTTCTTTTACAATTTCATATTTGTTCTTAAATTCATCCTTTACTCCATTTGGAGTATTTATCATTTTTACTTTATTATTAAACCATCTCATATCACGTTGTTCCCCATTACTTTTACACTCCAATGTAAAATCATCGTCTATTTTGCCGACATAGTTTTCTGGTACTTTGATAATTGCAGCTAGACATGACAAGGCTGAAATCAATTCAGACAAATAATAAAACCAAATCACAATATATTTTATTGTTAAATCAATTAATAAAACTGCTGTTTAATCGAAATTTTACACATTGTCATCTTTTTTTATTCACTTTCATATATTCAAGTTTTTTAAAGCTTTTAATCATAGATATATTAAAAATACTAACGAATTGCCACTAGTATTATTCCTAGAACTTTCATGTTGGCAAACTTTTTAAAGAAGATATATCCTTGTACACCTCTGTAGATAATTTGAGAGAATTAATTCAAACGATATCTAATATGATAACAAGGCAGGCCTAAAACTGCATAATGTTCTCTTATCTAACTCTAGTAGTATGAAGTAAAAAGTTGATTATTCCACAATCTAATCAGCAGTTGTCAAGAGGAGCCAGATAAAGGAATAAATATGGAGAATGTTTTACATCGCCCATAGAAAGAGAAAGCGATATACATTATGAATAAACTAGACTGGAAAGTAATTAAACAATACTTCCTACTTCTATTATTACCATTCTTTCTATTCATTTTAATATAGTAAAGCCTGGTAGAAAATACTGATAAGATAAAAAATAATCATTTGTTGTATGTTTTATATTCCCCATATGCTCAGTCATTAAATAAATTAATACAATATGAAAGATAATATTTGTATGACACTAAATTCTTATTATTTGAATATCAATAGATAGTAGATAAAAGAAAGTAAATATAGGATTTCATATGTCATTTATACTAAAATGAACTAGAAATATATCTATTCTCTTGAAGTTTGTGTTTTAATGTGAAAGATAACAGTGATGAATATTCAACACTTGTTGCACAACATGAATATGTTACATTCACTTCAGGGTTAAATCTAAAGAAGCGTTGATAGAGAAGAAAAATGGGTTTTTCCTTTTATACATATTGAATGATAGTTGCACAAGTCATTTTTGTTGTGCAATATAGCAACCATTAAAATTGAATTAGAAAACAACCATGTGGTTTTGTATGTTTATATATGGTTGAATATTGTAGTCTATAAAAGACACTTTTCACTCACTCACCGACTTTAGACAAAGATACTTCGAAAACTATTGGGGAAAAAGTTACGTTTCGTACTGAAAATGACTCAGATGAAAGATAACGACGAGTTTAGCGAATTTTCTAAAAGCAAAGCATTCAACAATATTTTGAATGAGTTGATTAGTTTAAATGGAAATTTAAAGAACATTACTTTCTCTATAGTAGAGAAGATGGCCGAAAAATTTCCTGTAGACATCGAAAATGTGTAAGTTGTCTTTTTTCTCTTTTTAGAAAAGAAGATACCAGAGTCTAATACACAAAAATTTCCTTTATTCAGTAACGACTGCAACCAGAAAGGAGAAGTCGAAAACAAAGAGCAACCCCAAGAACTGCAACTTCACTAAAGGAAGTGAATGATGTAATAAAACGAAAATTTTCATTTTCACCATTAAACAATTGAAGAAGGTAAATTTTCAATAATTAATTATTGATACATGTATACATGCTTTTATTTCAAGTATTATACCACTATACTGATTATATACTACAGTATTATACAGTATATATGTATTTAGATAATATGATTAAATCAATCATTTTCATTTGTATATCAAAAGTAATTTCAAGGTTTTGTTTAGAGATAATCAAAAAGACGAGGAACAATTGTGGTTTTCTGCTATTTACCTTTCAAACGGCAGAAATACACTTTGTTAAACGCCATTTTCTTTCGTAGAAATCGTCTCCTTTGTATTCTTTGAAAAAAGTACATTCATATTAATGTATTGATAAAAGTAATAATCAAACTGTAAAGAATTTATTTATACCCGTTTTCTTTTCTTTCAGCAGTTTCATAAGGTGGAAATGAACATTTTCAACAGCTTTAAAATGGAGTTGGGATGGAACATTCTGAAACAAAGTGCTTAAACTTAAGAAAAGAATGATTGTGTATGGACAAGTTTACTTCATATATAGCTTCCATAATTTCTTCTGCTGAATGCATATCCGATGCATTCTTCATAAGATAGTTTACAATTTGAATTTCCCTATTATTCCTATGCTCTATATAAGCTCCAATATGCTCTTTTACTTCGGTAACTAAGGGTCCGTGGCCAGGATAAAGAACAGTTGGTTCCAAACGCAGAGCCTTTTTTAAACTCTCCATAAGATCGAACAAATCATTAAATACCTGTTTGTTTATATTAATAATAACAGAGTAAATACACAATAATATAAATAGAAATTTATTTTGACTAACGGCTGTTCCTTCACCGAGAACAGCATCTCCGGAGAAAAGAGCGTTTTCCTCTTCAAGGTAAAGCATAATATGATCTTCGCAATGACCAGGAGTGTGTAAAGCCCTTTAGCGGAATAGAAAAAGTATGTTTTCTATTAACTATCATAGACTTTGACGTATTACCTTAAAGTTGCACCATCAACTCGAAAAACGTCATTATCTTCGATAAATTGATATGTTCTAGAGTGTTTTTTTAAAGACGAATCCTTTCCATCGGGCATTTTGAATTTCAATAGGGGAATATCATCATCTAAATTAAAAAAGGATATAATAGATAAAATATTGTCAACAATCAAATATATTAATAGTAGTCTATTAGTATTTATACACACTTTTGAGAATATTATCATAGATTTCATCAATCCCTCCTGTGTGATCATTATGCCAATGGGTTATTATAATCTTTCCTATCGAAGTATCATTTTCCTTGAGAACTTTCTGTAAATTCTCAATATATTTTGGGAAGCCTTTAGAGCCGGTATCAACGAGAATTCGTCTAAAAATTAAAATGACCTTAGCTATATTGCGCAAGAATACTACTTATTTACCTTTTACCGGTTCCTATTAAATATGTATTAGTACCAGCCAACGTCATTAAACTCGGGTTCAGTCCTAAGATTCGTATGACCCTATCGGATAGTCTTTCAATTTCGGGTATGGCATGTTTAAAGGTTTTATATGCAATCGACATGTTCCTAGTTTAAGACCTTCCCTCAATTGCTTTACTGAGAAAAACGTTTTACATAAGATGGCGTTAGTGGTGAAACGAAATGTTCTCCAATCATCGGCCTCGAAATATTCATCGCACTTTCGGCGATCAGTCGGAAGTGGACAACTAGAATGGCGAAATTCCTCAAACATCTAGGTATTGGCTCGAAGAAGGCTCCTCCACAACCACCAACTAGGGACTATTTGTCTGATTATACGACACCTCAAGCGTGTACAACTTGCGTTGCTTCAGATCGACCATCCACTGATTCAGTTTCAGGAGCATCTCCAGTCAGAGAAAGCGTCTGCTCCAAGCAGAAACATAGTCCCCAAAAGGAGCCAAGAAATGTAAAAAATACAGTAAATATTGATTGTCAAATAGTAATTATGAACAAAATGTTAAAAAAAAATTAATTTATGTTTATCATTCGTCAGCCACCAATTGTTGATGAATATAGCGATCCTATAGATTTAAAAACTACTGATGGATTGTCTTCTCAAATTAGCAATGAAGATGATTATACAGAGCCATACGAAGCCCTGAAGCTTTTACAAAGTATATTTAACACTAAGATAAATTGACATTGATGTATAACGAAACGTTTTTATCTAAAGAAAAACAAGAGGAAAATGGAAAGAGATCTCGTGATAATGCTTATGAAGATACCTTGCCAATAGCATCTGCCAATGCTCCCATTCAAAAACTACCTGCTCCAAATACATCAATCCCACCGACAATAGGCCAGTCAAACGTCGATCAAAGACCCAAACAAGATTATGATGAACCATGGACTGATAATAAAGCAGCTTTGCGAAACAAACTTGTTATTTCGAATGACGACGATCACGCCTATACTCATTTAAAACGTGATAGAGTAAGAGAAATTGGTAATACTTCTAGCCATGACGAATCGCTGGATCGTTCACCTAACAAGAAAGAATTAGAAGGAAAAATAAAAAAAGCAAATGATAGACGACCAGTAGACGATTACGATAAACCTTGGGATCAATCAAGATTATCGCAAATTTCGAGTGAAAAATCAAGAGATTCAAGGCCTGATGAAGACTACGATGAACCTTGGGATAACAACGCCCTAATGGCTAGGCTAAATCTCGGTTTCGAGTGTAATACGAGCTTACCACTGGAACAACAAAAGTGGTATCATGGTGCAATATCAAGACTAGAAGCTGAGAAAAGACTAAAATATCACCGTGAAGGCAGCTTTCTAATTCGACGTAGTGAGAGTGATAGAAGCGATCATTCTTTATCTTTAAAGTAAATGTTTAAACGATATAAATTATGTAAACTTGAATAATTTATTAAAATTATTATTATTTGTTCAACAGAAGTAGTCACGGATTTATGCATATGAAAATCGTCATTAGGGATAATTGCTACATACTTGGACAATTTTCTCAACCTTTTCAAAATATACCGCAAATGGTTCAACACTATTCGTTGAACAAACTACCAATTAAAGGGGCCGAGCATACGTCTCTCTTATATCCAGTTAAAGGCCAATAGAATAAGAACAGAATAACAAAAAGATATTCTGACTTTCCTTAAAGTGCTTCATTCTTTATTTGATAAAACAACCAAAAATTTAATTCGTACAGGCTTCATGATGTTTTATCTAGTCATATTTTTTTTGTTTTTTATTTGCCTTATATACTTTATATTTCAATGTTTTTACTATTTTGTCTCGTTTTTCAATTGTTTCTAAAATGAATTTTCTTTTTTGTTTTCTTTTTTTTTTCAGTTTGAATGCTGACTTTTTTCAGCTAATAAATTAAACTACTAAATTCAACTTGATGATAGTTTTCTATCTCCTAAACTCTTAAAACTTTGCTTCTCGCGAAATATACTGAAACAAGAAAATAAACTGGTAGAACACTGTCGATAACTAATGTCAAGTGGACTCTTAATCTGCACATAAATTCATTTAGCTTATGAATTCGATATAACAAACATACTTTAGAAAAATGAACATCGTCAAATTACTCTTCGTGTCAATTTGTATGGCATTGCGAATGATATATTACATTGTTCGTCCCTTGTTTGCTTTCTATTATGAGAAGAAACGACAACAAATACCCGATATCGACAATGACATCTTACGCAAACCGGCAACAGAGCTAGCAAGAATGATTAGAGAAAAGGAAATTACCAGCGTAGAACTAGTAACGGCGTTTATTAGGAGAATTAGGCAAGTTAATGGAGCGTTGAACGCCGTCGTTGCCTATAGATTTAATGATGCGTTGGCCGAGGCTGCAGAAGTTGATAAATTGATTGAATCTGGAAATCTTAGCGAAAAAGATTTAATAGAAAATAAGCCTTTTCTAGGAGTGCCAACATGTCTTAAAGAATGCTTTGCAGTTAAGGGAATGTCTTGGACTTCTGGAAACATCCTTCGAAAAAATGTTAAAGCTAATTTTGATGCCCCAGTCGTTACTCGTCTCAAACAATCTGGTCTCATAGTACTTGGAGTCACAAACGTAAGTGAACTTTGTATGTGGTGGGAAACGTCCAATTTAGTGTATGGTACTACAAAAAATCCATACAATACTTGTCGTATTGTTGGTGGAAGTTCTGGAGGAGAAGCGTGTATTGTTTCGGCAGCTGGAGCTGTAGTTGGTTTAGGATCAGATATCGGAGGCAGTATTCGTATGCCAGCATTCTTCAACGGAATTTACGGTCACAAACCAACAAATGGTAAGGGAAAAATAAACAATTTGCTTTCTTAATAGACCCTCTAATAAAAATTCTATCATATATTAAAAATTCTAATAGCAATTGTTAACAACGATGGACAAGTACCAATTGCTACAAAGGGAGGAAAGGACTTCTTGTCTACTGGCCCCTTTTGCAGATATGCTTCCGATTTAATACCTATGATGAAAGTTATGGCGGATCCTGACAAGATAGGCCTGCTCAAGTTAGATGAAGATGTAGGACGTTTTAAATTTATTGATTAAGATTCAGAATCTAAACTGGATGTACTTTGTTTTAGGTCGATGTTCGAAAGTTGAGATTTTTCTATATGGAAGAAGCAGAGGGAAGCGTTACAACACTACCTGTTCATCCAAACGTCCGTCAGGGTTTGAAAAGAGTTATAGATCATTTTTCAAATATTGGGGCTGAAGTTCATCGAGTTAGCCTTCCCGAATTTCAAGATTGCGTAAATCTCTGGTTTGCTGGTATGAGCGAATCTGGAGAAGAACCTTTCGTTGCTCAATTGGCTGAAGAGTCAAAAAATTGGAATTTGTATGAAGAAATAGCACGCGTTGTGCTACGATTGCCTCGTCATACAATTCCCGCTTTATTGCTAGCTTTTCTCGAAAAATTTCCGATGCCGAAGAATATGGCAAAAAAATTCCAGGATAGAGCCAAAAAATTAAAGAGTGATATGCTTAAACTATTAGGCAAGGATGGAGTTTTCGTTTTCCCAACTCATCCAACACCTGCTTTATATCACAATGAACCACTTTTGGTTCCATTTAACTGGGCGTATACTGGAGTATTTAATGTTTTGGGACTGCCGGCGTGTAACATTCCATTAGGTCTATCATCAACGTCCAGAGTACCAATTGGAGTTCAAATTGTTACAGCTCCCCACATGGATAGATTAAGTTTGGCTATCGCCAATTATCTAGAACAAGAATCTATTGCCGGCTGGACGGAACCAAATAAATAACTTAAGAACGATAAAACTAGTTTTTTTATACGATAAATAAAATGATAAAAAAATCTATTATTGTTAATTTTATCTTCGTTTTCCTCTGTTTAAACATTTTTCCATCTTTCTTCTTCAGTGTTGTTGTTTCTTTTATGTTTGTGTTTAGTCTTCAAATTATTATTTATCTAATTTAAAACAAAGTTCATATATATCATGTTTGTAATCTGGTCTTCCTTTTTTAAGCTCCTCTCGAACCATACCGGAAGGTGTGGGAGGAATGTACAAATCTGGTATTTTTCCATCAATTCTATATCCACGGCCAAGATAAGTGCTACTATTATTAGATATTTCTCTCTTTCTCTCTTGAGTTTTATCTTTGATTTTAGCGCTTTCGTAGCCAACGGGTAACTCAATATCAACATTTATATCGCAGTTTATAATTTGAATAGCGTCGTTTGGTAATGTTTCTAGTACTTTTAGATGATACGTTCTGTTGTTGTAATCTACTGGAAACGTTTCATCTTTATGTAATGTACTAAAGGATCGTAAAGATTTCTCAAGAACAGCTCTGCAATCGGTTATATTTAACCAGTTAACGTCTTGCGGTTGAATTTTAAGATATGTCCCTACTGGTAGCTCAACTGATTCAATTTTAACATTAGACGTTTCCTCAATTTTGAGACTCTCCAACATCCATGAAGGTAATTCAATTGTATTTGGAGGAGCGACGAATTCATTAACTCCACAGTAACAGAAGCGTTCGTTATTCGTTAGTTTGAAAAGATAAGGACAAGGCAGCGACTCCCGTACGATTTCAGATAAAACCAATTCGGGTAAATTAATTTTTCCACCTCTTGCAAGATTTTCTTCCTTTGAGCCAAATAAACCTCTTTCAAAAGCTAAGCATTTGTAGGTTTTATCAAATTCCGATATATCATCAACTGGGTAAAATGGCAAATACATGAATATATATATGTATATTACAATATATATGATATCCTTTATTACTTATTAGAGGTATTTGTTCTTTTTTAACCTTCTTTCTTGTATTGTATCTCTGTTTAATCTTTCGTTTTGGCATAATACTGTATTTTTTAATGATGAAAAAGAAAAGAAAGAGATCTTGATCAGGTTTTTTCGTTAAAAAATGTTACCGTTTTCAAATAATAATAATAATAAAGGGATTGATTACTTTTAATTAAAAATATTTTAATATTTTAAATTCAAAAAGAAGTTGAAATAACGTCAAATGAAAGAAGAGAAAAGATGAGTAATTAAACTTTATTGATTGAACATGAAACCGTTGTACTTGGAAAACATTTTCAACATAGTTTTAAGTTATAGATGATCTGGGTGTATCACTCTTATTTGGATCATAATCTGGTAAAATATTAGCGACCTTTTGACGTATCTTTGAAAGTCTTTTTGTTCTCTCTTCTTGGGCTCTTTTCATTTGGGGAAGACGTTGCCAACATCTTATAGCAGTTAATTGAATACGCCTAAAAATTTTAAATATATTGTTACTATTAATAATATTATCATTTTCATTATTACTAATATTACCTTGTATTATGTTGGTCCGCAATATTTTCCATCCTCCAGGTACGAATCTTCTCTTCATCGTAATAAGAAACCCATGAAGTAAGACATTTTGATAATAACTTTTGTCTGTAATGTATTGCTGCTTTTTCTTCGGCTATTTGAGATAATTTACCAATTTTCTCCCACCTCTTTATAAAGTGTTTTTGTAAGTTGAACCTATAGAATTCGTTAGCTTTTCTATTACGATCCTCTTCAATTGAAAGCCATTTAGAACTCCAAGCGGAAAAAGCCAATTTTAAGAGAGTCTTCTTACGTTTTTCCTCAGCTAGTATCTTTCTATCGTTTATCATTTGAATAAATCTACGCCACGGCTTCCAACCTCGAAATTTCATTGTTGCAAATGTTGCCCACTCCTCCGCTTTTTGATTTAAAGATTGAAAGCGTTTTTGTTCTTCAATCTTTTTTTGTTGTTGTAGCATTTCCTGTCGTTTCCTTTCCCTATGCTCTATGATTCTCTTCTTTTTCTCCTCTTCTTCTCTTTCCTTTCTTTCGTTCGCCTCTCTCTCTAATCTTAAAAGTTTTTCCTTTTCTTCTTGTCTTCTTCGAGTCTCTCTCTCTTTTTTTAAGGCGGCTCTTTGAGCTGACCTTTGTTCCATTGCTAAACAATACAGTTGTATTACAAATGAGGGAATATTGTATGCAACAAAAGTAAATATAGATAAAGAAAACCTTTTAGGAAATCTGAATGTCGCTTGGAACTATTCGACTGATTGGACGATCCTTCTGATCTTTCAGTTTCTATAGTCTCCCGTCTAACCAAGGAAAAGATTACATCTTTAAAATTAAAATATCATTAAGAACATTGTCTAAAATGTACTTACCTCGCTTGAGATGGAAGTTCACTAACTATATCTGATTCTCCTTCAAGAGTTGGTTTATCTTCATGCATTTGTCTATGAGCTGCTTGATTATCAGAGTAATTACTCGCAATATCCATTAAATTTTTCTCTAATTCCAAAAGATGTTTTTGTATTAAATCTGGAGTTTGATTGTTCGCAAGTTGTTGTTGGAGTAACTGTTGCTTTTGTAAATAGTGAAGTTCCTCAATTAATTTTTTCTGTTCCTAGAAACCGAACGAGTTAGTTGTGTTTATTTTAAATAAAAGCTTTTGATGAAATAAGAGAAAAATACCTTTAACTCTTTTTGTTGTTCTAATAAAATTTTCTGTTGAGCTTGATGTCTATGATGATAATTTTCAGGTGGGTGAAATTTCTTCGCTTTTGAACTTCTACCAGTATCATCCTCAGATGGCTGCTGCTCTATTACTAAGTCGTCACCCAACTCTTCTCGAGATCTTTCGTTCATTTCCAGTATTTGCTCTTTAGTAAGCTTATTGTGTTTCTTTGTAACTTGCCAAGCTTCCTTAGGAATAATACTTGGTTTTGAAGTTGTAGCAGATGTAGGTCTAGCTTTCTTAGGAGCCTTTTTATCATTAAATAATTCCGACTGAAAAAGTTTAATAAAGAAAATAGATAAAAAAAATCTGGCATAGGTTATTTGCAATTATAGGAAAAGTCTTTAAAAATAATAGTAATTCTTACAACTAATTGCTTATCATCTACTTGTACTGGATTTACTTTACTAGCTTCTTTTTGGACGGTAGAAACATTTTCTAAGGCGTCTAAAAACGCACTTATTTTACTTTTAGTACGTTCATTATTTTCCTGTTAAAATGCGAGGAGAGAAGATAAGAGTTATTGAATAAAGCTTTGATAAGAAGAAATTGTAAATTCGCACTAACGTCAAACATATCTGAAACTTTAGCTTGTTCTAGATACATCTTCCAAGAATTGAAACACTTTCTTAGAAGAGTGGTATGATAGTGTTTGACGGAGATCATTTGCTTCCTATTTGAGAAAGAGAAATTGATTAGAAAATATTTTAAACATGGCATTGTTTTTTACCTTTGATCTGTTTTAACAGATTCCTGATGCATTATAGCTTTTTTATTCATTGATTGTTGAATGGCGTAGAGTTTCCACGAATTCCAATATTTCATTAAACATTTCCAATCATAAAATGCTTTAGCTTTACCAAGTTGTAATCGACTTTGTAGAATGCAATTATACCAACCGATAAAATATCTTTGTTTAATCTACAACAGAAATTAACTGATTAGAATTAATTAATAAAAATAAGTAACTATTATACAGGATACCTTCATATTCTCACGTTTCTGGCGTTCTTCAACTGCCATGAGACGTTCTTGTATTAATATTTTTTTCATCGAGGCAATTCTTTCATGAGTTTCATCTTCTTCCACTTTAATAGCTTTGATTTCTATTTTTTGTTTTAATTTATTCTTTAGCATATTCTCTTCGCTCTTTTTCCTATATAGAGGAAACAGAGTATTTTTGTTAAACCTTTTTATTATATATAAATGTTACGTTACTTTTTTAATGCTAATTCTTTTTGACGTTTTTCAAATTCCATTTCTTTCCTAATGTACATCATCTGTTCCTTAATTTTCTCTTCTTCTTCTTTAAATTTATTTTTCTTCATTTGTTCCTCTTGGCGTATAACCTTTTCTGCTTCCTTTCTAGCATTCTTCTTCATAATTTTCTCTTCTAACTTTTTCTTTTGCTCTGCTTCTCTCTGCAGGCGATTTCTCTTTACCTGAGAGAAATTTTATTAGTAGCAAAATTATTGGACAAATCGTATAGACTAATTTCATTTTACCTGTTCGTGCCTTAACTCCATCTTAAGGCGTGGGTCTTTCTTTTTCTTTTCAAGGTCATCATCTAAGCCTAGATCATCAATTACATATTCGCTAACATATTCTTTGTCAAGGAGACTCTAGTTTATGAATTAGGTAATTAACTCTCTTAACACTGATGAAAAACTAATTTACCTGAACAATGCTCTCTACATTGGCTGGATCACGGCTGCTAGATGTATTAGAACATTTAGAACGAGCTGAAATAGTTTTGAAAACAATTCAAATTACATAAATAAAGGCTAAAACTGATATAGACCTTTTTTAGTATCGGGTTTTGTTCTTAGTGCCATCATTTCTGATTCGTATTCGTTCAATATTTTATCCCATTCATTCTGTACTTGAATGTCAGAAGGACCCGAATATTCTCTATCGTCTTCTTCGTCTAAAACCAACTTTTCTTTCATCCAATTGTCCAATAAATCTTGAGCTGTTAAAAATCCCCTTTTAATATATATTTTATAAAAATAAGAACATTCTTATAGAATTCTATCGTACCTTCAACGTAAGCAGCATTGTGGATCCTTGCCTTTTCAAGATCTTTTTGCGTATTCTTACGTACAACGCTACGAGATGGAACTGGAACTGAATTTCCACCAAGAACAACGTCAGTTGCTTGTTCGGATGCTTTTTCAACTTTCTGTTTCACAAAATATTTTAATAAAGAAGAAAGTAATAAGCCACTCTTCTGCACTTTACCTTTAACCAGTCTTCTATGTCACTTTTATCTGTAGTTTTCTGCATGAAATACGATTTCAAGATCTATTAACAAAGTATAATAGTTATTGTCTTACTTGAGACTTTGTAGCATATATCTTGGGTTTTGTTAATCTCTCCCATCGATACAATTCTCTTGCGTTGCTCATTCCGGACGATATAATCTTTTTATTACAGATCTTTCATAACTTTCATGCTTTCAATAAAAAATTGTCTGATATCGGAATGTGGACGATAAAATGAGCTACTGAAAATTTAAGAAATGTTTAGGGTCACGTGATCTAGAAACTACACCATAATCTGATCTTGGCTGCTATTCATAAAAACAAGCTTAAAAAAATGCGAGGAGCAATTTGCCACTCTACCTAAAATGGCGGCCTCTACTCGTGCTTGCTTTTCGAAACTACTTTATAATTGTATAAATTCATCAAGAACAGTAAGTCAGCTCATCAGGAAAAAGTATGTTATATAATAATAATATTTATTTCTATTTCAGCTATCAAGACCAATACAAAGCCATAACTATTCAACTTTACTACAAAAAAACCGGGTAGTTGTTCTAACCGCAAGTACAATTCGATTTAATTCAACAAAAGCTGATGGAGCGAATTTAAATATTGCCAATGTTGTATTCATTTACTCTCACACAAAAAAAACTTGGCTTATATCATTTTCGTTTTCTTACATAGAGTACTACCACTGAAACAGTCCCAGCGGATGTTCAAGGTTACATCCCCGAACCTCCAGTACCACCTATTCAAGATGCTGGAGAATCAGTGTTGACTGCATTAGGAGAACCAACATTACAGAGCTTAGGTTTAGCTGGTTGGACACCAAATGGATTAGTGCAATGGGGATTGGAATCTTTACACGTTGGTTTGGATATACCATGGTGGACCTCAATAGTAATTGGTAATATAGAATATTAAGATGAAAAATATGAATTTATAAATACTAAACAATGAAGACTTTTCTATTAACTTATTGTTTACTTTATGTTTAAAGGAACTGTCTGTGTACGATTGGCGCTATTTCCTTTGGTTGTTAAAGCTCAGAAACATGCTGCTAACATGCATAATAATATGCCAACAATGACAAGACTCCAGGACAAATTCTCAAAGGCGAGATTAATGGGCGATCAAGTAGCCGGTAATTTTAAATCTTTCATACAAGGAATAATTATATTTTAATTTTATATTTTACTATTCAAAAGCATCTAGAGCGGCCAAAGAACTTTTGGACTTTATGAAGAACAATGAAGTAAAACCTCTAAGAGGAATGTTGGTTCCCTTAGCTCAACTACCAATATTTTTATCTGTTTTTGTTGGTGTAAGACAAATGGCTAACTTACCGGTGGACAGTTTGAAGACAGGAGGAATACTGTGGTTTACTGATTTAACAGTTGTTGATCCCTTTTACGCTCTTCCTTTCTTAACTTGCGCAACACTTATGGCAACAATTGAGTTAGGCGTTGATGGAGTGAAATCAACAGCTTTAAATCCTAAAATGAGGATGGTTATGAGAGCAATGCCAATTTTTGTATTTCCGTTTATTATTAATTTCCCAACGGTAAGTAAACAACTAAATTATAATTTATTTAGACATTAAAGAGAATTCCCAATTAGGCTATGCTTTGTTATTGGTTTACATCAAATACTATATCATTATTTCAAGTACTTTTCTTGAAAATACCCAATGTTAGACAGTTCTTTAATATACCAATCATGGTTAAACATGAAAATTCTGGTATACCTAAAAAGAAGTTTATGGAAGGCTTTAAAGATTGTAAGAATAAATATTCATATACTTTATTTACTTTTCATTCAACTAACATCATTTTAATTCTTTGATTATAGCAATAAAAAACTCGAAAGTTGCCGCTCAGATTGAAGATAGGCAAAGAGTAGATAGCATCAATTTCAAAGAAGCTGGTTTAGCTCCTATACAAAAAACCTATTCATATGATCCAACTAAACAAAAAAAAACTGTTAAAAAATAAATTGTATAAAAGAATCACACTTGTATTTTGTAAAGTTTCATAAGTATTAGTATATATGTAATATATTTATATATATATATATATATATATATATATTTCTGTATAATATATGTATATGTTATATATACAAATCTTGCTTATTTTGCTAGTTTTTTATTACATAGGGTTTCAATTCATTTTTTGCTGATTATATTTAATATGATACGTAAGGAAAAACTTGAATTTTAGTGTATGAAGCATTTTGAGAAACAAAAATGGCGCTCTATACAGTTTTACTAAGCTCCATATTGAGTTGTAAAGTAATTTTCAATAGTAAGCATCACGTGATTTTTTCAAGATGAAAACAATTGAATGGATAGTAAACGATACAAAAATCTCTTAAGTTTCTCTACTAATTTACCACATTATCTATAGAAACTGAAGTATATATATATTAAAGTTTAATAGAATTGACTAGTATTTCACAATGGAATGTCTGACATCATGGAGGTCCTGGATAAGGCCTTTCGTTATGGTAATATACCTCATCCTGCTCATAGTTGCTTTACCACTAATGATTATCGAATTTAACCAACATGGAACACACAAAAATACTCAAGCGTGGTTCATTGGAGGTATGTTTGTGGTGATGGCACTTCCCATCTCATTTTGGGGTATTTTACAGCATTTGGTCAATTACAATCATCCTAGTCTTCAGAAGTATATCATTAGGATATTATGGATGGTTCCGATATATGCATTGAATGCAGTAAGTTGTCTAAGTTTATTGATTCGATTAGATTAATTATTAATGAAAACTTAACAAATTTCAGTGGTTTGCATTGAAATTTCCTTCATCTGCAATTTACTTGGATACTTTGAGGGAATGCTATGAAGCATATGTTATTTATAATTTTATGAGTTATTTATTAACCTATCTGAACGAGAGTGTTCCTAACATTGAAGTAGATCTTCAAATGAGCGAACAAGTAAAGCATATATTCCCTCTTTGCTTATTCAAACCGTGGAAAATGGGAAAGTAAGAAAATAAACAATGATAAAAATATGTATTTTTTCAATACATGTGTATTCATTTAATCCTCTATTTTTAGACCAATTATTGAGAATTGCAAACATGGAGTTCTTCAATATACAGTACTAAGGCCGGCTACTACAGCAATAGCTTTGTAAGTAAAAACGTTATTTTAAAAAGCAGTTTTTCTGAAATCTTTGCCCTTTATCTCTTTAAAGTATATGTCAAATGTGTGGCAAATATCACGAAGGAGACTTTAATTTTAAATCAGCTTGGATTTATTTAACATTTGTTAACAATCTGTCTCAAGCGGTAAAGTAAAGAATGTTATATCGTATATACATAATTAATACTTAATACTGTTTATAACAGTGGGCTATGTATTGTTTAGTATTATTTTACACTGCAACAAAACATCAATTGCAACCTCTAAAGCCAATTTCAAAATTTCTTTGCATTAAAGCAGTTATTTTCATGTCATTTTGGCAACATGTTGTAATAGCAGCATTGGCAAAAGCTAACGTTATTAAAGCTCAACCAAAACTTGGTTTGGAAAAGAAGGATATAGCCAACAGTCTCCAGGTTCTTGAAGTTATTTTTGAAAGTTTATTTCTTTTTAACAATTACTTTTTACAGGACTTCCTTATATGTATAGAAATGTTCATCGCAGCAATTGCTCACTACTATTCTTTCTCACATACACCTTACATCAACGAAGATCAGCCTCAGGATTGCTGCAGATCCTTCTTATCAATGTGGGACGTTTCAGACGTTCGTGACGATATTGTAGATCATGTACGCACAGTTGGTACTAGAGTTACCCGACCACTTCGATCAAAACCTACGGACGCTGCACCTGCTTCAGAAAGAACGCCGCTGTTAGCTGATGACACGACAACAATTGGTAGCGCCTCTGATTTAGGGGAATCATGTAATTTTAACTCACCTGACACAAGCTTGAACAATTATGCAAGATTTAACGATTCAGAATCATCGAGGAGTGGCGATAAGTCTGATAAATTAATTGATATTGATGACGACAAATCTAATATCCAAAAATAAAATTATTTGTCAATTTTTATTTTAAATGGATTTTAAAAGCTAGTCGTCTTCTTCAAACAAACAATTTTTGAGACTAGAAAGTAATGCGAGTTGTTCACGTCAGTCGCAAAAAGCAAACAAATCAATAAGAAACATACTCGTCATTTACATAATATTTTTTATAACAAATAATCCAACACCGAACCTAAAATAGTTAATTACACCTGAATCGTTCATGTGACCGTCATATGTAAAGTTGACAATCGAAATTGTAATGGACAAACTAAAAATTTTAACCTACATAATCAATCCGCTACTAAACACAAAATCGATAACAAATCAGAGCGGAATGATAATAATTGAGCCAACAGAATTCTGTTTTTCACTTTGCATTGCAAAGGATTAAAAAAATAACATCATATGAGGTAACAAAAACAAATTTTCGAAAATTTAAATGAATTGTTTATTGAGCGAGTTCCATGTTATTCCCATCGTCTTCTTCGTCATCGTTGGTCTCTTCGTCATTGTCTTCTTCACTGTTTTGTTCCATCTTGAGGGATCCTAAGTTAGTATTATCTTCGTTAGGTTTTCTAGCAGCCCTATTTGGATGATGATTAAGCCATGCCAAGACATATCTCTTAAGTAGAGATAAGAAAATCTTTTGTTCCTACCTGCTAAAAGCGTGGGCTTGAAGATGGTGTAGCCGCAGTTTACCTTCGTCCTCAAATTCAGTAAAGCAGATAGCACAAATTAGTTTCTTGTTACCATCCTCGAAACGATCAGACTCGTTTTCATCCTGTCGATCTCCTATTTCGTCTGTATGGCTTGGATAGTGACCTTTCATATGCTCCAGATATTTATCTCGTCTATGAAATTCTTTATCACATAGAGTGCACTTGAACTCCCTGCGTTAATATATTCAAAGAAAATATTTTATAAAAGAAAAACATGGTTGGTAAACCGGAGGTCGATTGGTCAATTAAACTAAGCAGAATGTGAAAAATAGAAAAATCAAGAGCACAACACCAATGTTAGTGAGCTAGTGAAAGAAAAAGATAACATACTTCTGATTATTGTGAGTTTTCTGATGCCTCTTCAAATTGCCTCCGTTTACAAAACTCTTTCCACATTCATCACACGAATAATTCTGTTTACTAGTCTATGTTAAACTAAAGCTACACACAAAAGTAAATAATAGAATGCCTATAAAGGTCTTAGTGTTAGACATGCATATTAGAGTGCATATGTGCTAAACACCAAGCAAGATGGATAAAGAATCCATTTTAATTCTAGCTAGTTTCTAAAAGAAAATATTATTGCAAGGAGAATTAGGCATTGGCAACAAAATTAATTAACGACATTCCAAGAAACACTCTCATTCATACGACATACGCACCTTATTAGTTACAGGCATAAGTCCACTTTCTCTACATCCATCAGTTAATTTCATATGCCTTCGTAAATTTCCCATAGTCGAAAATTCTTTTGAACAATTTGGACAGGTGTGAGTTTGAAAAGCGGCAAAATTTACTTTCTGTGAATAAAAAGTCAATAAATTACTTAACTACTTTATTCAAGAAGAAAAACATTACAACCTCAAGTTTAGAATTATCACCAATATTGTTCTCACCCTCATGCAATTTCATATGCCTTCGCAAATTTCCATAGTTCGAGAAAATTTTACCGCATATAGTACATGGAGGACTTTGGCTTACTGGAGGATTTAATAGTTGTGGTGTTTGGACGGTTGGTATAGGCACAATAGGCAACTCAATCTGAAAATATAACACTGATAAATAGAAAAATACTTTTAGTAAGAAAATAAAACGACTACATTTGGCTCTTTGGTCTTGTCTTTGCCATAATCATGGATATGTTTCAAATGTCTTCTTAAGTTGCCCTTGTTCGAAAACTCTTTCAAGCAGATAGGACAGCACACTTCTGGATTAAACGCTTGGGAAGACAACTGTAAGGTGTTGCAAAAGAGTAAGTAAATATTTCAATCAATAGACTAAAAGGGGAGTAGTCATACCGCATTTAGGTTTAATGCTGAAGAGGTTGTAATAGAATCTTCGTCGCCATTATCACTATCGCTTAGATTTCTCACGTCACCATCGGATGGCTCTATGCTTTTACAAATAGTAGAAAATGAATCTGAGTTCGATTTACCCGGAGTGTCAGCAATGCCGGAGACCGACTCTTGACTACTGATTGATGCCTCTCGTTTAAATTTTCTTTTTCGCTTGGCTTTTATTGGCGAAGTGAGCAAAGATCGCTGGCAATTATTTACGGCCACATCTTGATCGCAAGTGATTAAATCACTTAATTTCTCAGGTGAGGGGGATCTTGCATCAAATTGCCTGAGAATCTTTTGAGGGTATTTGCCTTTTCGTTTATGGACGAATGTGGGGGAAGACGACCTACTATCCCGGTTTGTTTGCGTTTCAAACTCCTCATTGCAATCTATGGTAGACTTTATGTTTACCAGAATAACATCTTCATTGCTTAGAGTTATGCCAATAAGTCCTTGTATTAAAATTGGACTGGATGCTGCTAAACGTTGCTTGCAGGTTTTTATGATGTTTTCGCATAAAACAGGCCGAATCAGATCATGAATATCTGAATGTTTCATGATTCTGTAACGAGAATGAATTTAGGAACGCTACTATAACATTATGTACTCATAATCTATTCTCATTAGTTCTTGTCTTCCTAAAACAGTCAAAAACCGTTAAACAAAGAAACCTGACCTTAGGCTAGAGTAACTAACGTAATATTAGAATCTTTTATATCTATAATTTAAAGCATTTGGAAACGCAGCTTTTCTTAAGAAACAAAAATGTGAACTTACGAATTTCATCGAACACTTTGTACCCGGAAACGGAAATGCAACGCCGAGTTTTTTTATTATGGAATCCGTTTACTGGAAATGGAACATCTTCTGATGTGAGTGATAATAGATCAATTCTAAAACGAATTCTAATTTTTCCTTTTCTTTCGGATTTTGTTTTTCTTTTGTGAAATACCAAATGCTATTATATATATTTAGTTAAATTATGACCACTGAATCGTCAGATGATCTAAAAGTAGAGTTAGAGACTTTAATAACTGAATTTAATCGAAATGTTAAACAAAAATTAAAAAATTATCATATACAGTATGATGGAGAGTGTTTTTTAAATGTAAATAATCTGAAGGATGGAGAAAAATACTATTTGAAGCAAAAGATATCAGATCATACTGAAGCATATGAAGTAGACGACAAAAGTGATACCGTCGATAAACAAGTGACTTTGTTTTCCGTTGGCTTCTCAAATCAACCTCAATTAATTCATTTTAGTGAAAATAAGCGACGTAAAATTGACTATAGCGATACAGAATATGACAGCTCGTCTATTGAAGCAGCAGTTGGCCAGCAATTTTCAAGTAGTGTCTCGGAAGCCTCATCAGAAATAACTGAGCCTAGTCCAACTAAACCAAAGGCTACTGAAAAGAAAGCCAACAAGAGAAGGGGCAGTTGTGCAGAAGGATTTACTTGGTACGAATGTTCAAATATTGAAGACTGTGAAGAGCAAATAAAACAGCATTGCGAAAGTAACGGCTTCACTTATAAGACAGAATTTGACGAGATACTTCACCAAGGTTTAGTGTTTATAATTACACCATATCTTTTAGGTTTTCTTTATGTAAATTCTTTTTGGCTTTCAGAAGATATAAGTTGGGCTCAAAAAAGTCATGAAACTTTCTGGGAAGCGGAACATAACAACCAATATTGGTATCCTTTCAACAGCACACCTTTTTGGATTATTGGAAAGAGAGACTACAAATGTTCAGAAATGGACACGAAAACATCTTGTGAAGCTAAAATTTTTATTAAACAGATTATTACGTTTCCCGATATACAAGTAGGATAAAAATTCTAATTGATAATTTAATTTTAAGCTCTCAAAAATTTTTGCAGACTAAAAACAAAGAAGATTTAAGTTGTCTCGAAGAGTATAAAGCTCTATGCGAAGAAGTCGATGAATATTTAAAAGGATACCACCAAGTCGAGTTGAAATATTTCATAGGTATTCCAGAAATATCAGTCCATAACCACATGAAATTAAATCAAATTTCGGTTAGCTGACAAATTCTTCCAATATTTCAGTCAATACTGATTAGTTTTAAATAACTTATAGATTGTTGGAGCCCCTGAGAGTAAAATTCGTAAAATATGTAATAAAGACGACGGATTTGTTGTTGTATGGCCATGTCCTGTTTGTGATAAAAAATTTAAAGCTCTTTCGTGCACAAAACGCCACATCTATTCACATATAAGAACACATATGCATTTTTGTGTGATTTGCAGTAAGAGTTTCATGAGGCCGGAACAAGTTTGTACTGCAATTTTTTTTGTGTACTATTTAAGAAAATTGTAACTTGTTTTAATAGGTTCGAAATCACGCTCGTGTCCATCATCCTGACAAAGAAGCACCTTTGTGCGTTGGTGAGAGAGATCACACAGATGAAGTGTTTCAAATGCCAATAAACGAAGTTCGAATTCCTCGAAGTGAAGTTTACAAAGACTCTTGTCATATGATAGTTACGCATGATGATCTCAAAAACCCCAAACAAAGGAAAAGAAGGGAAACAAACGCATCAGGAATTGGTGTGGACGAAGGACAGTCTGAAGTGGCGGAGGCTGTACTGCAAGTTGAAAGAGCGACAGATAACGAATATCTTGCAGAAATATACGAGTGCTTGCACTGTCGTTTTCGTGATCAATCTTTTACAGCCGTTCAAAATCACGAGTGCAAAGCTCAAACAAACTGAAATCTTAATTTGTTCTTCAAGGCAATATCTTAAATAACGTTTATTGGGTCTAATGTTTTGTTCAGAAAAATATAGTATGTATATTACATTAATACAAATTCGTCGAATTTGAATCATTTACACAAATATAACCTTTCAACGGTTTCAAACGGCTAGAATGCTGCGTATCATCGCTTCTAGCTTGTAGCATAGATAAGTTCGTACATGTATGAACAATCTTTTCAATATGTTATGGTTAAGTTTCAAATATAAAATTGAATTTTTACACCTAGTTCTGTATTTTCGGTTACAATGTATAATGTTGAAATAGCGAAACAAAAAGTGTTAAAACTCTCGCCTATGATATTTATCCAAATCGAAATAAGCAGTAACTACAACGCGATTAGCAAATTTTCTACCAGTTAGAGCTTGTTGTGCCTTCTGACAATCCACAGTGGATGAAAATTCAACAAATATTTTGCCACATCCAGGCACCTCAACACCTTGGATAGGTCGAGGTATTTCCAGAGATTTTACCTGTCCATACTTACCACACTCTTCTCTTACGTCATCCAAAATATCTTCATATTCATCGTCGTCCTGAAGTTCTTCTGGAGTAACCATATTCATCAAGCACAGTACTTCTGTTGGGTGAGCTACTCCTGCAGCTTGAACAGCTGTTACATCTAATCCTGGTACTTGAATAGTGACAGGAGCCTGAGGCATTGAAGATGACATTGCTTTAGCTCCTACAGATGCACGCTGAACGATTAACTTCTTATCACCAAGTTGCATTCCGTTCAGACCGGCACATGCTTGATCTGTAATTAAGGGGTCGGCATATTCACAGAAAGCATATCCCTTTGATAATCCAGTGGCTGTATCTTTCACCAAGTTGAACGATTTTAGTTCTCCGAACGACAAAAGAAGTTCCTTAACCTGATCTTCATTCAGGTAATTAGGTAATCCACCAACGAATATCTTATGCGGTGATTCCTGGACGACATTCGAGACCATTCCAGCTAAAGCTAGATTTCCTAACGGATCTAAAGCGCCTGGAACTGATTGGTAGTCTTTGGGACGTCTTATCTGAAAGAACAAGCTGAAATAGGACGCTGTAAATGCAAACAAAGACACGACGTGTACAAGCGGTCAAATTGGCAGCACAAGATATCTCTTTTAACAAAGAAATTTATTAAACTCTTTAATAACAGTAAAACCTCAATTTGTCTTTTTACCTTTAAAGATTGTCCCATAAAGTTGATTCCGTCAAGGGCAGTCACTTGGGTACACTCGTCTACTGACCGTAATTCTAAGAATGCAAAGTTCTTGTCCAAGTTAACTTGACAGGCAATAACAGGATTTCCTTCCGCCTGAGCTAAGCCAGCCATCTTCATTTGCGTATTGAAAAAGTCCATCATCATTTCTTCTGTCACGCCGAAAGGAATGTTTCCAATGTATAAACGCCTTGCTTGACGACTGACAGCATTACCAGCAAAAGGTATAGTAGTGTGCATCGTCATTGGTGCTGAAGGAACGTTCAAATTAATTGCTGGAATCTGTCCAGCCGCTTGCATGGCTTTATACTGCATGGGCGTTATGTGTTCAAATCCTGCTGGTGGTTTATCCCAATATTTGTACGGCTTCTTCCTGCGTTTTTCTTCTCTCTCACCTCTGTCTCTAGATTTGGATCTTGATTTTCGACGACGTGATCTAGATTGTGAACGAGACTTTCGTTTGTCACGGGAACGCGATCGCTTTTTTCTCTCTCTTGATCTGGATCGACGTCTTCTTTCTCTATCTTTAGATCTCGATCTCTTGCGTTCAGCTTTACTATTTGATTCATCTCGGCGTCTTTCTCTATCTCGGTCTCGGTCTCTGTCTCTGTCTCTATCTCGTTCTCTGTCCCTTTCTTTTGATCCACCTCGAGTGTCTCCATTCGACGATGCAGCGGCCCGCTGTTCAGCAAGTTGCTTTTCAATTTCCAAGTCCATTACGTCCATTGTGGATCTGTAAACGCGAATTACTTAATGGAATACAAGTGTGGCAACCTTTGACCACTTGTATTAACTAATTTCTGGTTTGGCGATAATAAACACTGTCATAGCTCGCCGGATTGTTTTATTCCAAAATGGCGTCATACGGCGTCGCGTTCGCAACTTCGAATTGCGATGTTTTTACTATCTAAATAAACAGAATAGTAGATCAAAAGTGGTAAACTTTAAGGGATCTTTTGTATTTTAGGAGTATAAAGTTTGTACTTACTACAATCAAACACTTGTGATAGATAGAATATCGGATCGGCGTGTTTCGATATCGAAATCGCCGAGATGCTATGGCGTTTGCGGATATTCCGGTTTAAAAATTCCCGATTTTCCGTAAAATTAAGACTGTTTACGCATGCGTGAACGAAAACGTTTCGTCACCCAAGAGTGTCCACCTATTATCTTCAAAACTCTCTAATTTAAAAATAATTTAACCGTGAGACAATAGGAATAGTACCTAGTGTTTTAAATTACTAGAGTAATTACATAATCACTTAATTCTAATCAAAACTGATTGTAGTAAATAGACTTTGAAACTTTTGAATAATATATGTATTATTTTTGCATTCAAACTATAAACATGTCGCCGAAGTAGAATAAAACAATGAGAATATCTAAAAGAAAATATATTGATAGGCCATTAAAGTAGACGCACTTGTTTTATTACTCTAGATCTTTAATTTATCCAATAAAATTTGGATAAATATAATGAATTTGAACATTTTTAATAATATATTTGCTTTCTTCTTAAACAGAGCATGTAAATGTTGTTCACCGTCTGATTCCTATTTATTCTTAAACAATTTATAGATTATGCACTTGTTACTTGTTAATTTAGATAAATTTGAGCATTCAATCCAACGGCAAGACCAATGAGAAAAAAAGCAAACGTAAAAGTAGAAAAATGAAAAATATATATAGTGTATAAATCATATTAAGGAAACACAAAAGTTAATAAATGTAATCAATATTGACAAAAGCTTATAGTAAACGATTATTGTTATTAGTGAATAAACGAAACAATGTGGAAACTGTCAAAAAGAATTTTATTCCTCATAGATTTGGTAAATAGGTAAAGTTTAAGTAAAGAAGCCAAATGCTGATATGAAACTATCATTATCATTAAGTTCTTCTGTAGCGCTGTAGAAACCATCACTTCTAGAGTCTTGTGAAATCGTTCGGCCATCAGCCGAAATAGATCTTGGAATACCAACCGCTAATCCACTGGGCGTTTCCGTTTGAGTTGTAGCGTTAAATTGAGGAAAACTAGGGGCATGATGTATAATGATACTACTCTCCTCCATTGCGTCTTGTCGAGTGATTCTCGGCCTGACATCGAATCTGACTAATGGTATCGACTGTCGGCGGGGGCTTTCTCTTGGAGTTGTGTAAGATTCCTGGTAGGAACGTTTTCCGCAATTTTTTTAATTAGCATTATTATTATAAATGATCAATTAGCTAAATTTAATGATAAATAATAATATTCTTTTGATAATGATGTGTTTGTTTTTTGATTAAATTTATTTATGAATTGCGATATACGTTCCTGATCCTCTCTGCTGTCTTGTTTATAAATCCTCTGATTATTTGAGCATCTCAAACTTGAAGGTCTTCTAGGAGCTTCCATTGGTTGGATGCTTCTAGAGCTAGGAGATATTGGTATGTATACTCTCGGTTTGCTTGTTCTTCTAGGACCGATGAAGGAAAGCAGTACGGGTAGAACCAGCAGGCTATGGAATAGACCGAGAACAATTACTAAGAGCATCGTCTTAAAGAAGGAGACGAATATGTAAGAATGAGCACTAGCTAGCATTATAATACCAAGAATAGACGATAGAGCTCCGTTTAGAATTGGTACGCCAACTTTATTTAAAGCTGTGCTGACCCTTTCATTTCGATTCTTTCCAGTTGCAGCCATAAAAGCATGGCTGATATGGACGGTGAAATCGACACATAAGCCGACCGATAAGATAACTTGGACAGTGGTTATTGATGAAAGAGCAACATTCCACAAATGCATCAGACCAAACATACCGATTACTATGGATAGCATAGATAAGGCAACACACGTAATGGAAATTGGATGTGGGATGAACATAATAGCAACGAAAAGCATTCCTATTATGCAGACGGTGACGGATAACAATGTATTCTTGACAATGGAAACATAGTGTTCGAAGTAGACAAATTGAGGACTGAACGCTATCAATTTATTCCCATTAGTGTCATTCATAACGGTATCTCGCATAAATTTCATAAGATCCCCTTCCTCATCTGCAGTTGATACCCATCTGGATCTGACATAGAATCTTGACGCAATTATCCTATCATCCTTCCAAGCTATATCTTGTTCAAACGATGGATTTCGCTCAATGAATTCGCTGATATTTTCAAAGTTAGTGCAATTTCTTATCCAAGATATCTGATAGGATTTATCCATATTTCCATAAGCTCTAGCTTGATCTATTACCTCTTTTAGCAATTGACGATTTTTAGCTTTTTTATAATCATACATTCCATCAATAACCAACATAATGACTGGCCCTGATTGCGGAAAATAATGACGGTCAACCTCCAGATAGGAAGTGAAGTAAGAACTCTCCGAAACGACCTTTTCCAGTTTTAGGCCGTGCTTCGTTTTAGATGCGGCAAATGCCGAAATAATTAGATAAACTATGAAAGCAATACACACCACAACTTTAACTGGCCTGAGGGATGCGAAATTTTCATTATTATGTTATAAATATTATACGTATTATTCTACTTGAGGGTTATCTTAGGACGCCATCTATCGTCGATTATGATATTCGACAATTTATTTTCAAACCCAATGAAGAATAAGCCAACATTAAACCTATTACAATGAGAATGCCAAAACTAGCTAAGCTAATTAGATAGCGCCATCGTTGGATTATTTGAGTAATGCGTATTGCGTAAACATTTGGAATTCGTCAAGTTAACACTACGAATGAAAATCTAAATTGCAGTAGTACTGCTGCATTAAAAAGGGTAAAAACAGAAGAGAGAGAGAGAGAGAGTACATAAAAACCTCGTGTGTCTCGTTTTCAAAAAAAAACAGAAAACAAAAAAAAATTGATATTTTGACGGAGTTAATAACGAAGAATTGGTTTTGTTGATTTAGAGTGAAATACAGTAGCACTGCATTTAAAAATCTATGAAAACTATAAATTATTTATAAAGAAAAAATAAATAAATACATTAGACGCGTTCATTTTTTTATTTTGAGATTATCCGTAAAAGAATCATTTGCATGATTAATCGATCATTTCATCTATGATCAATAATATTTCATATTAATTTAACCGTTTTGAGGGGGAATAAGTAAAATCTTACAATTGAACACCTTCATAGCTAAGCTCATGTCTTGTGTTAAACTGTTCCGTAGAGAATTTATTTGAATTAGATTTATTCTGCTCTTACTTCTCTCTAGTTCCCTTAATTCTTTCACTATTTTTCTGTTTAGAGTCTTCTATTATTTTAAATATCGTGTGAATTTTAAAAACGAAAAGGAATGAAAGAGTTAAACACTAAACGAATCTGATGTAGACCTTCGACCCTAGCATTTGGCTGTTAGTTTGGCATTTTAAATGATGATATATTATTGAAATTATATAATTGAAAGAGAAAAAGAATTTCGCATTCCTCGTAAGGAGGAGTTTTGGTATTGAACTAGCACCGGGAACTCTTTGGCAAAATGTTTCCGCTTCGCCATGCTTAGCGGAAGAAGGATGACCGCTGCATAAAAGAACGTAGGCCTCATTCATTCCCTTACTCCTCAATTCGACTCTGGAGCTGGTTTTAACACAGGTGACGCAATGCCTAGATTCATGAACCCGGCGGGCGTGTAGCACGAGACATCCAGCGAAGAAGGTCAACTGGTTGAAGTAACAGAGGAAGATGGCGACGCCTGCAGAAAATCTTTTATTTATTTGTCTGATAGACAAGTGGAGAAGAGAGTAAAGACTAAAGATAACTATAAAGAGTGGTGAAGATAAAAAATGAAAACAATAACAGAATGTTCTTTGCAATATAAAGGAGAAGGGAGAAAGAGGAATCGTCTAGTGTTGTTCAGAAGATTCATCGAGTTTATGAAGCAAAAAAGTGCCAAAAGTGAATCATTGCTTAATCTTATTAGGTTGATCGATTATAAACGGGACTTTTTCCGCTAGATTTTCTCCTATACGGTTGCAATATCCCTTTCTTTTATATGCTGAGAATATTTGGCTATCCTCGTTTATTCACCTAATATCTATAAATATAGCCTAATTGATAATAATAATAATAATACAAATATTAAACTATATTAAAATATTAAAAGAATTTCGCTAGTTCTTCGAAAGTGGAATTTGCTATTCATTTCTTGTATTTCGCTAATGCTCTACTTCTAATCATCCAGTATTTATCCTACGTCTCGTAAAACCGATCCATTCGGATTATATTAAACAACCTAATTTCTTAGTTAATCTATTATACAAATTTAAAGGGATAGAAAAAGGCTAAAATTGATGTTGGTGAAGACGAAAAACCTTTATACTTTTCAATAAGTTTTAACGTGTCATCTGACAAGAAAACGTGAGACTTAAGCAAGTTTAGATTAGCGTCTCATTACGACAAATCGTTCTCTACATTCCCCTTTCATGTAAGACAAAAAGATAGAATTATAAACCTAATTTTAGTTTGACAGTAGTTTTTTTTATATACATTTACATTTATGACGCTTTTTATATATAGTATATATAAATACATATATATATATATTATACTGTATATGCAGTATACATGTATAAAAATGTGTAGATGTACGAAATTCGATTACCAGATGAAAGAAGAGAGAATAAAAGAGGACCTTAATGAATATTATTTATAAATAAAAAATACCACTGGAAACTACTTGAGGGAATTAAAGTATTCCTGACGACGCATAAAAAAGGTTAGATACAGTACACTCTGTTTCTTACCCCTTTATAAAGAAAGAACAAATTATTGTTTCTTTAATATTCATTTATACAAGAATGAGTGGAGTTTATGTAAAGAGTTAAACAATTAAATATAGTGCTATGTAATCAATCGAAAAGGGAATATTTCTTCGAAGTCGGATAATATGTAGATTTTCAAGCCTATATAGCTTAGAAATAAACACGTGCACACATACTTACAGATACAAACATAAAATATATCTCGAAAGCAGTAACTTTACGTGTATAAGCTTAAATTACGTAGTGGGTGACCCTTTACCCAGAAAAAAGTTTAATTTATAAATATACGTTCAGATATATGCTATATAAATTATAAAATATACAAATATACATCTTTGCTACAATCGACTGTAGTAGGAGGTAAGGTGGGTGGTAGAAAAGGTAGGAGAGGCTTTTTATAAAGTGTTACGTCTTGTTTTTATTTTATAATTTTCTCTTTTTCTCTCTCGTTCTTTGTCTATATTTCTTCTCGTTCTTCACTCTACCTGCTCAATCACGAAGATGGACTAATAAGCTAAAAGGAATCGAGGAAGACGATTTATAAGCTAAAAGATATATTCGTTAGGGGAAGGAAAATTACTACCATACGCCGTCTTGTTTTTACTTTACGATTCTCTTCATTTCCTGTCCGAGTAAACACCTCTCTATGATCCTCAAGTACATACTATACATTTATGTCATTTACGTAAATAAATCGGGCGTTTATAGTTTACAATTTAGTCTCTACAGATGTTTGTCGCACACGATAAAAATGGGAGATTGACAGACTTATTTCGTACTGTGACTATGTTGTATGCCATTAGCAACTATTAAAAACTTAGAAGAGGCAATGAATTAGGTCGTTTTCAGCTTCTTTTCACTGTTGTAAAAAACATATTCGGGGAGATTGTTTGGGCCTCTAGCATTCATAAAATGCCTTGCTTTGGGCTATAAGCAGAAAGAAATTAAAAGTACCAAATAATGAGTCCATTGTAGTAGGAGGAGCAGAATAATGATATAACTTACAAAAATATTGACATTGGTCAATCACAATTCACTTAAAAGGTAGAACAGGTAAAACGTCGATTCCGTCTAATAGAAAAATTACTTACCAGCATAGACACAGAAACATCTAACACTGTAGAACGGCGTCGTTGCCCCAATACAGAAAGCTAATAAATCCGTAAGTGAAGTAATAGTAACACTAATTGCAGAAGACCTGAGCGTCTGAGCTATTCTTTCGTCAACGGATGATGTAATTTCTGTTTGTCTCCAACCGGACATAAGAATAAACATATCATCGACCCCAACTCCCAAAACTAAAAATGGCATGACACCGCAAGAATCGGCAAAAGGAATTTCCAGAACACTTAATAGTCCACACGAACCCAGAATGGCTAGGAGAGCTAATTAAGAGTAGGAACGAGATTCTTTATTATTAAGTTTGAAAATGTTATCAATCTTCTTTCAATATTAATTAATTGTAATATGTGACGCTTAATGAACCACAAAATAGCTTAAATTATCAATAAAACGTATCAATCTTATTATATCTGGGAATAAAATGATCTATTAATTTAGAATAGATCTATAAAAGAACCGAGAATTGATTCTCAGATTCGTATAGAAGAGAATTATTCATAATTTATATATTTTTCCATCATAGTAAGAGTCTAATGAACTGTACGATTCATTGAGTTAATTAATTAACATGTAAATTGTACTTTCTTAGTTTGTTGTTTATTTGCAATTAATCCATCTAGCTTTTATTGTATAGTTGATTTATATGTATATTCATTGTATATATTAAACTATCTATTCTTTTTAAATGAGCTATTTTTAAGAATATATTTTTTACTTATCTACAAATAGGTCAGTTTCTTTTTACGTAAATATAGTTTGTATACAGTTTATACAATAGTTTAATTCATAATATAATTTATAGTGCATATGCTGAATAAAAACATTGTTTTGTGAATATATATTAAATATACTAAAAAGTGTCCACTGCATACTGTACATAGTATATAGTCGATATAAAACTACAAAATGACTCTATCTATATGTAGTTTTTTTTCATTATTATTTCTAAAGCTTAAGAATCTCGTGCCTGCTATAATTCCGGCTTGGGACATTTTAATCCTACTAGTTACCCAATTCCCTCCACAACTTACCATTGTTGTATATACGATCATAATGAGAACAGTAAATGCAAACTTTTTAAGATCAACTCTGACCCTGGCATTTAATTCAATACTCAACGATTCGGTTGCGGCGTAATTCACCACTGTGTAGTTTAATTCAGATTTTAACTTGTTAAGTAAACTTATAAATCTCTTCTGCCATTCCTTTGAATCTCTTAATATTCGTTCGTTATCCCTTCTTAAGTAGAATCTAATTTTTAAGGCTTTAGCCAAGTCGACACAATCGCCTATTTTGTGGGTTATAGCTAAATAATCATCTGCGTCGCTATTAGCACCAGATAAACCACAAACTCTTGATCTTTCTCTATTCCATTTTCGTATGGAGTCCATACCGTCAATAGCACATTGACCGTCGTTTCTTGCACATACAATTTCATAATCCGTTATATTCATAACTTTTTCAATAACATAATCAATTTCTGATAATGAATCCTCCATCAGGATATTATTAGATCTAACAAAAGGTCTAGTAAAAATGAGGTCGGCGTAAGGACCAACATAAAATTGTTGATGGGAATAGAATTTAGTAGAATTTGATTCAAAGAGTCTGTTAATGATGTTATTTTCGTGTGAATAAAGTAGTAGGAATGCGATTTTTTTTAATTTTTGGTAACATTTTGTTTTTTTAAAAAAAAATAAATACGACGGTTGTCTTATAAATAGTAATGACTTTGTCTATTGAAATCTTTTTCTTATTTCTTTCGTATTTTTTGTATGTGATGGAAATTTAATTAAGGAAAATCGCATGCCTGCTAAGATAATCCCTATGCTTTTGAGCGTCACTTCCGATAGGCGTATATAATAGTTCAACATCGGTTACCATACGAATCTTGAACAAACCAAATCCAAGTAGACCAGACAAAACTGCTGAAGCTATTATAAAGCAAAAAGGCCATTTCGCTAAAATTCTCCCATAAGCGGCAAAGATATCGCCAAAGAACCTCTCAACGTCTTCGTAAAGAGCTCCCATAACGGAATCAAGGCCTACCCACCTGTAATAATAGCATACTGTTTTTACAGAAATAAAAAAATTGGAAAGTGTATGCGCAAAATCGATGTACGCTAAAAACCGCAAAATTTGCGGCTTGCACAAAAGCCATCTGCTCCATGTTATCTAGGTCGGATTTTTTTTATAGCATAGGTTAATTAGTTAAGCATCTTTTTCATACAAAATTACAGCAATATCGAAAGATCCTTTGGCTTTTTCGCAAGCTTTTACTCGAAGAAGCGAACAATAATAGAGATGTTTTTTTTCTTACCTCTGCAATAATCCTTATTATCTTCTATAAAAATTTCCCCTTCTACAACTTCTACTATCTTATACGGTTGCCTATACTGCCATCGTTCTATGTTCTGTTGTATAAAAAAGCAGCTTCAGCTTACTCTACGTTCTCCGCGTTTAGCGCATATCGTCAATAGGCCTATCACTTGACTATTTTGTAATCTATTTGAAACAAAAAAGGGCGATAGATGGCGTACTGTTCATTCTACTTAATACGCCTGACCTGTTAAAACACCTGTTACCAATTTAATAGAATACAATAAATAAACAATGAATATATTAAATTTGAATTGAAATATGCAAAATCTCTTAAATGATAAAACGATGACAAAGAAGCAAGATAAACGTTCATTTTTCCTGTTTAGAGAAGATGAAAAAGTAAAAATTAAAGAGAGAAGGAAAGAAGAAATATGGTTCGAGAAAAAGCTGATAGAAGAGGAGAAAGAGTTTTCTTCTTAAAACTTAAAAAAAATTGTCTATAAGCGAGTATTTTACAGAACTTGAGTAAAAAATGTATTAGGGAAGTAGAGAAGATTTTTTAAATTCGCTGTAGGCCTTTTTAGGGAGAAAATATAGTCTTAAAGAAGAGACGACTCTTTGGGAAAAGTCGCTTGTAAATTATAAGTACAGTATATTTTTTTATATAAATTCAACTATATAGTAAAGATTTTTTAATATCAGAATACTAAACAATTAAGTAAAAGTATTAAAATATATTACTTTAAATAGTACGTTAATTATTAATTAATTACCTAGTAATTAGTTTGTAAGATTTATTTCATTTGATTAAAAAATGACACGGATAGAGGACAGCCTCTTCATGCTTATCTTCATTGCATTCGAATAAGTGTACAATAGAAGAAAAACAACAAGGAGAGAACGTTAAAGATGGATAGAATATCATCTAGCAAGAGCGACATCTGACGTCTATCATGTTTTCTCATATACTATTCCAGCCTTTTTCGATGTTACATAATCTCTTTTCTTTCGTCTTTTAGAAGTCAAAATGCTGTCAAGCACCATTTTAAGGACCCGATTAGAGCTACTGGAAGACTACAAAAAATCTTTGATAATTAATTTTACTATGATCCCTTTTTTGTTTATTCATCAGCTCTCTATGTTCCTCTTTTCGTTTCTAATTACATAAGATTATTAAACTCAACGAAATCAATGTTTTTAGGTGTTCTGGAATGCTAAATACGCATATTTAGAGCTATCTTTGATTAATAATTCAATTTCTATTTGTTGAGCGATAAGGGCCAACCTCACAAAAGTGTACGCTAAATCTACAATAGTACGTTATTTCCTATTTGCAACTTTGCTTTAGTGTTCATCCGTTGCTTAGCAATGGAAGTTAGTATTTATCAAACGAAGGTAACGTCCATAAGTCTTTTTTTCATTTTTATCACAACTTGACGCTTGTAATAAGCAACTACATTCCTTTAATTTCTACAGCTGAGAGAACTTCAAAAGACGCCTTTTATATTATATACATATGTAATATATGTAATAAACATAGGTACATTACTATTTAAGCTACATTTGTAAAGAACTCGAACAAGAATATTTCAATTGATAAAAAATCTCTATAGCCGTTTGTTAATATATAATTAGAGCAAACGAGAGAGAGAGAGAGAGAGATAGAGTGTATGTGTGTTTGTGAGAGAAAAAGGGTTTGTCTAAAAGCGTCACTAGTATATTTTGATTGAACGCTTAGATTCGATATTTTTAATATTTACAGATTTTTATTACTATCGATATTATTACTTTAGACTTTGTACTTTTATTTATTCGGAAATGACAAAAAGTGGGTCGACGGTTATAGGAGCGTCGATTTAAATTGATAAAATATAAGAGATGAAAGGTTTTTTTAAATACTTCCTAACAAAATAATTGAAATGACCTGAGAAAATAGTTGAGAGGAATGAGTTGTATGATAAAAGAAGAAATGAAAAAAAAGAAAATGCAATGTTTTTGTACTTGAAAAATAAAAGGAGAAAAATTGCTGGTTCTAAATCGATTCATCTGTCTCTCTTTCCTTCGATCATTCTGTCTTGGTCTCCCTGTCTCTTTTTTTGTCTTGCTTTCAAGACTTATCAACGAAAGAATTAAGGGAAAAATAAGATTGGAAATGAAAATACAAAGAAGAGATAGCAACTATAAAGCGAAATTAAGGAATAGGAATTTGTAGAAAAGAAATGCCTATAGGATTGCTATGAACTACTTCAGATGGCGTCTCATTAGGAAAGAGTTCTGTCCCGTAGTTAGCTATCTTCTGTTGATAAAAGTTGAGTACACTGCCGTAGGCATCTTTAGCACTGTTTATGTAGTATTTGTGTCGCTAATAAAGTCCGCTAAAGGTTTTATGTTTCGTACGTGTTAAATGAGGTATACAATAGACAGAATTGTAAAAATATATTATTCTATTCTCTCTCGATTTCCAATAAAAAAGAAATCGGATTGTGCAATGAATTTGGAAGAGATGAAGCTCTCATTCTCCTTTTATCGATCTTTTTTTTTTCTTCTTTCTATACTATCTTATAACGTTTTTATAAAGGTTTAAGAGATGTTGTTTTAAACGAGCTAATCGTATTTATTTAAATATTTTATTCATAGTAATAATTATTATTTTATTCTCTTTATATGTTAAACTTTTCTTTTCAATGAAAGAAAATTAGTTAGAAGCTTCATTAAATATTCTCAGTGTTGGAAGTAATTTCTGATGAATTAATGTTGTTTCATACAAATCCACTGCCATTATTAAATATAGTTTGACATTCTATTTTTAGTATGAGCCTTTATATAACTAAATAAGCAAATATTGGACAACCTAGATCACTTCGATATTCGAAATATATAACATATGCACTATATATATATATATACTGTATATATATATATATATATATATATATATATATTTCTATATATTAGTATTTATATCTATACTGTGTATATATCATTTATATTATAGTACACTTTATAGTATTTTCAGATAAATTACGTTTTCTAGAGTTGACATAATAACTAAGCTGCTTTATCTAATCGAATACTACATTCAATTGTCTACTTTAAAAGTAATTTAAGTAGAACTCCAAGTCTCCGCATCTCTCTCTGGGGGTTTGATGGCTTCGTATTGCGGTTGGAAACCCTTCTCATTTGCCTGAGAGATAAAGAAAAAAAAACGGATGAATTACAGAAGAAGAATAGAATTGAGTTTTTCCTTTTGTTTAAATGTTTCATTAATTCCTAGAACCTACCATAAAACCTAATCTATTCAAACAGTTGATGATGTTTAGAAACGTTCCTTTCCTTCCTTCATACAAATCCACGCTCTGGAATAGATCAGTTTCATGAAGACCATATCTAGCTGCTCCCTATAGAATTGTCAGATTTAGAGAGTTTAATTGATAAATGGTTAAGTAAAGTAACTCATTTCGCCCAATTTTTGTTTTAGGGATAGAGTATAGTCATATAAACCTTATTAAAGTGCTCAATATTCTCCATAGCTATGAAAGCAGTGTGGGAGTTTTTACTGAATTTAACAGTTTGTTTTTCCTCACTTTCCAGTAGTTTGTTTATAAACCTAAATAAAAAAAATGAACAAAGCACTTAAGTAACTGGGCAAATGGCTCTCAGGTTTATTTTTAAAACCAAACTATAGACCCACTTGCATAATACGATACCATCTCTTAAATGGAATTGCAAATGCCTCCATCCGGTTCTTGTCTAATAAAAGTAATTGAAAAAAGATTAAATTTTTCTTTCCAATCATCAAAAGTCTATGTTTGAATTTGATTAAAGGTAAACTAACGCAGGGAGCATGCTCTCCTTTCAAAATTTCGTTTATCCATTTAATTACTCTATCGGGCGTTCCCAGGGCGTCTTCTTCGTTGTATTTCTACAAGGTTGAAAAGATGTTTTAAAGCTAATGAAATTTTACAATTTCTCTTTTACCCTCCCAGCCTTTTTCTCCCATTCTTTTTCATTCTTTTCTATCCGCCTGTCTCTCTCTCTCTCGCTCTCTTTCTATCTCTTACACCCTTTCTCTCTTTTCTCTATCTAATTTGTCTTATTTTATTAATTTAATACCTCTTCTAATTTCCTTTCAATATCCAAAGCGATGCCGGCCTTTTTTGCTCTATGCATGTTTTAAAGCTTTTTTGTAAATAAACTGTTTTATATCACTATTTTCAACTGGAAACTCCAAATGATAAGAAAAGTATGGCCGATATAAAGTATTCTTCGCAAGCGTTAGCGGTTGGCCTATATTTACGGTTTCCGGCTGCGTGTACAGCAAGATCCAAGAATAGAAAAGCAGGGTTTTTTACTCAGCGCATATCCCGACTAGAGGCATTTAGCGACAGGAGCAGGGAAGAACGATTTATCATTCATCGCGTTATAATCGATATATAGACGGTATAATAAGATTTTATAAAGTACCAGAGGCAGATATAGGAATAAAATATTCACACCTTCAATTCCCTCTATATATTCTTTTACTATAGGGCAAACAAGTAAAATTAATCTTGGCGTAAAAACCTCGAGCATCGTTCTAAAAATAGCTTTCCTATAACCGTTTATATATAAGATTGCTATTCACACTAACCTACTAAAGCGAAAACCTATACTATACACATTTTGGACTCTGGAGTACATTCGCCGTTCGAACCTTTTTCTTCTCCCCACTTTACGTTTATTTTTAAAATTATTCTCGCATCAGCTTCCTTGTTTGTAGAAGTGAAAAGGAAAAAAAAGAGGAAAGTAAATAGGCCTATACTCTTTTTTTCGTTTTTCATCCATTTATTTGACTTATTTTATTCTTCAGGATAGCTTTTATTAAACATTATTGAACTCCATTATATTACTTATATTAATTATCTTAACCATTTGACAACATCTAAGGAAACCTTCCTTTATATTTAACTACAAATTAACTGCTCTTATCAAATAGTCTGACTACTCGAGAGAGCGATTTTAAAGTTTCTTTTCTTTTTTATCTTTCCCTACTTACTATTATTTTCTTTACTTTTGTCGTTAACCTTATTATTCAGATTTATATTTTTCTTTTCTTTTTATCTCATAGCGCGCCAAAAGTCTAGACACTCTTCTCTTTTTTTACTCTGCTCCTTTGTTTTCCCCAAGCGCAACCATCCTTAGAAAAATCTGTCAATGATCTCATTTAATAGTCTAAACTGCAGATTACATTATTTTTTCTAATTATTCCTTTTCTTTATTAAATTTCTATTTTTATAGACATGGATGTTATAAAATAAAACTATTTATAAACTAACAGTATATTATATATGTATATATACAAAGAAATATGGAGATATACAGTTTATATATATATATATATATATATATGCTATTCTGAGAAGCTATAAAGCAGATGGCGCATAAAAAATTCCAGAAAATCTCTATTATTCTCGTATTCCTCCTCCACTCTTTTCCAACTCTTCAATCAGAGCTTCATTAAGATATTCAATGGATATAACAAAAAAAATAGAGTTTATTGAACTATCCCGTATAGTTCATGTCTGAGTAATATGTTTTTAACCTTGATTAAATAAAAAAAGACTATGTTAAACTAAGGGTGAGAGGGAAAACAGCTTGTTCATAAGCTCTTATTATTTGTTATAAAGCAGTTATTGTTCCGAAACATTTGTATATTGTTAGTAAAAATAAGCTTCGTTATTACAGTAGTTTTTTTTTTGCCTTTTTCTATACATATAGATAGAAAGTTCGAAAAAGAGTACAGTGTACTGTATATTTATATAAAACAATTATATATATTATATATATATAAATACAGTATTTACATACATACAGATATTATTCTATATACCATAAATTTTTACTTGTTTACGAGTATTTACTCGTTTTCCATTTCTTTTACTGTTTTCTTTCAATGAAATTTTTGAAATATTTTCACCAAGTATTTTTAGTTTGTAGAAGGTGAAATGTTTGCTTTCTCTTTCTCAAAGGAAGAAAGAAAGCGAATAAGGGAGGCTGGGAAAAGAACGAGGGGGAGGAGGCAATACCAGTTTGTAACAAATATAAAAAAAGCAACCTTTTTTCATACGTTAAGCATATGTATGCTATAGATCACATATTTAATGTATCCTAAACAGATTGTATAGAATGCTTTCTAATAAATCTATACATAGTGTGAGCACAAAATCTGTTTTCATGCATATTCATAAATAGAAATATACTGTACAGTATTCTATGTGAACATAAACTGTATTTATATATGTTACATATAATAAGCAAGTGTAATATTCATTCCCATAGGAAAGACATTAGAGATAATAGAACATATCATCTGTAAATTATTGAATATTGTGCATGATGAAATTATGTTGAAAGAATAAATATTTGCATATTCTTCTTTTACTTAAAGAGTTCCATTTAATCGTTTATTAATGATATATAATTAAGGTTTACGTGCCCTCCAGCTCAAGACTCCTGTCGCATACTAGAAAGTTTGCCAATATTATATGCTCTTTATTTTAGCTATAGGATATATACTTTCATCATCACCTTTAGTATTTTATCGGCAAACTAAAAGGTTGAAAAAGTCTATAAATATTGTTCAGCTATAAATTAAATGCTTTTGTACATTGTACGTAAAGTCAATGATGACATTGACACTCTTTCTAAGAGCGTTTGTAATTGAGTTAGTCTATACTTTTAATGAACAATTTACATGAAATCCCCTGAAGAAGGATAGAGAAGTATATGAAGGTTAATTGGCAGTCTATACGCATCAATTGGTTGCCAATGAGTTAAAAATAAAGACGTTTCACTGTCCTATTGACTTTTTTGTGGAATGCGATTATAGAATTTTTGACCTTGAATCGACAGCCAAGCCATTTAAAACACAGGGGAAGAAAAGAAGACGATTGTAATGGGAACGCCAAATTTTCCAAGAAAGATGCCTATTCGAAAAAAACCCGTATACGTTTAACTTCCTCCTTATTGACCTTTTTCCCCATAGTTTTCTCAAGGTATTTCAATAGAGACAGGTGTATGAGGAACTACGAGTAATCTGCTCGTAATTGCATCTTTAAGTGCCTGTGCAGATGCTAAGAATGCTAGACAAGTTTCATCCTTGCATTGTACTTGGTACGTAGGCCTAATCGATTAAAAAAATTGGGACTACCAGTACAGTGGTTGCAGTCTAATCAGCTTTCTTGACGTTTTCGTGTGATTGATAAATGTCGACAGTGTTATTAAATCTTACGTATTTATGTTTTTCGGATTTAGCAAAGGCATTAATATCAATATTTCATTTCTCTATATTTTATAAATATATAAATATATTTATAAAATATGCAAATTTTATGCATATTAAATGCACTTAAAAATACTATTAACGTAGTGAATATTCCATTTAAAACGTATTAATTAGTTTCGTTTTAAGGGATTATTTTACAAAAATAGATTTTAGATGATATATATTTATATAATCGTAACCAGCTATATATGTAATAACAAGTAGTAAATATACAAAGACACTCTTAATAATCTATATATAGGGAATCCTCTATATTTCTATGTTATTTTGCTAGTAGCGTTTGTAAAGAAATTCATCCATAAAATTACAATTAGTTGGCAAGAATTATGAATAATTTAAGTATAATCTTTGTATTGAAATTTGAACAGGGAAAAAAATAAAAAAAAAAAGTATAAAAGAGCATTTATCCGCTTCATAAATAATACGTACGTTGGCTTCATAGAGTCTCTAGCTCTACTTAAATACATATCGCTTATTTATATATACATTGTATTCGTTTCGTCCAGGGTTGGCAATCAATGGCGATTAAGCGGTTGTACTGAAAGATACGGTTTATCCAGTAATCTGCGCCTAAGAATCTAAAGAGTAATCGGGACTGGTTTACAAATTCATAAAAGCCGACAAACGCTTTGATATAGCAGTCCTTCAGAATGAAGAAAATAAATAAACAGAAAAAGAACCGCTTGATTCTAAGGTTCTCCATATATACACTACTTTCTTTGATTCTCCATATACCTTTTCATTTGGCTTGTAATAGAGGAGTATGAAAAGGAAACGGCAGGGATATTTCGTTTTTAAATAACATTTCATAAATTGTACTTTTTCTTCTTGATTTCTCTTCTAGATTCTCCGTGAATCCATTTCATCTTAAACACCTCCGTCATCTCATTATAGATAATTTTTAGTTGATTATTAATTAATGAAGTGTACTTGATTAAGGTTAGCTGGAAAAATGCTTGAGGTTTTATGTCGCATGTGACAAATAATAATTAGGAGAAATGGCTAGGTAGATAAAGGAAAAAAAGGGAGGAGCCTAATAATATACAGAAAGAGAAAAGAAGTAAAGGGGAGAAGAAATCGTTGTGAACTATGGTTCAAAGATTTTTTATATAAAAAAAGAGAAGTCGAACGTGTTTCGTGCAAGCTGCAATTGTTACTCTCTTTATTGTGGTTTATTATAAAGGAAGGAAATAGGCAAACGGTTAAAGAATTCTAAAGGTAAATTATTCATCTATTTTATATTTCTGTATTTAATAAAAGCCCTCATTTTGATATGGTCCAACAGTATACTAATTCATTTGCGGCGTAGGCGAATATCTATATAAGTAATAAAGATGATGAAACGAGGATTGCCTACAAATTCTATACTAACTCTTCAATTATTACGATAACACGTTGTTTGGAAGTCTGTCAAGGTATTTTTATTTAGAAAAGCCATGGATTTTTTCATATTGGAATTTATAGAACTCTGAAAGCTTGTCAGAATTTTCTATGGTTTCATTTTATACGTCTGTCAACAAGATACGAGCTGCGGCTTCTTATTATAGATCGAGTATGTGCTTTTAATTCAATTAATCCCTTTAGATCCATCCTACTGAATGCCTATAAACTCTTTCAAACGGAAACGTCTCAAGTATTATGCTCACGTCGAAACATTTGACAGTCAAGTGAGTATTTTGAAATTCGGTAAACCGTCTTGAGGATAAAGTGACGCTTTTTAACGATGAATAACCTTATTCGTGCTGAAGCTCTGGTTGAAAAGGGAATAAAATGAGGAGATAATACGTTAGCGGCTTATAGAACTAAATTAGAATGGGCGTCTATTTATTGAAAAAGTATCCAATTTAAACAGGCCCTTAAACATACCAACTACAATGTATGAAAGGAAGTATTGTTGGCATTTCCTTTTTCCTGTACAAGTAAACGCCCTTCGGCTGCTAATCCAATGATTATTCATACAGATCCAAAGAAAAAGAAAGAGGAAGAAGAATAAGAGCAAAATAAGAAGATGAAGGAGAAGAATCATTCTCTCGCCTTCTTTTATTTAATAATTCATTTAGCGTTCATAGTTGAGAAGATTTATCTATTTTTTATTGATATCGGTCTACTTTTATTATTCTTTCCAGCTAATTAATTACAGTCACTGCTATTTAGTTGTAAATATTTTTCCTCTTCTTCAGTTTTTTTTAATAAAGAAAAACTTGTTGTAGTTTATTTTCTTTTTTCCTCTTTTGAAGACGAAATGTATAGCTTTACAAAGGCATTTGATAAACTTTTTTTGCTATTTTTTTCTGCCTCTGACTGTTTTTCTCCTTTTTTTTATCTCTCTCTCTCTCTCTCTCTCTCTCTCTTTCTCTCTCTCACTCCCTATCCCCCTCTTTCTCTTTCTATCTTCCTATCAATCTATTTCTCCTGCGTAAATTGAGGATATATTGTAACAATAATAAAATGAGAAATACGCAACAAAAAATGAAAAAAATAATTAATTTAGAAGGTAACAATAGCGTTTAGATATATTAACCATTTAAATATTATTTTGTGGTTAGCTAGAAATGTAAATTAGATATAGAGTTAGCGAGGGAAAATAATACTGTATATTTAATCCAGTTTTTCCAAAAATAGTTTAGGCTTAAAATGCTAATTTAATACAAGAATAGAAAGAGTTGATTATAATTTAGTGAAACCTTTTTCTCATCGCTTTACGATTTAAAATTAAGATGTAAAGGGTTTTAAAACGGATACCTCTCACTTTTCGGTCGCTTTAATCTCTTATTCGATTAAATATTTGACGAGTAATCGATCGTATAGCCAACTATGAATTTGTTAACTATTGACCGTAGCAAAAAAAGAATAGAAAAATAACTCTCCCTACTCCATAATAGTTAATAATGAAGACTTCCTCTTGGTCTATGTATACACCACATACCCTATATACAGTATATATGTACTATATACAAAAATATATGTATGTACTTCATTATATGCTATATTAAAAAGTATGTAGAGTACACATATGAATATATGTATATTAGAATATATATAATTATTGTATAAATTTCTTTCGTTTCATACTTTTGCAATGAAGGATATCAGGCGTCATAATCAAGACGCCAAGTCGTTTTGGAAAATGCCTCTGCCTAGCTGTAAAGTGCTCGATCAATAATTATCGAATTTAGACTGAATTTTTTGTTTGGCTTTTATAGGCTTTATAAACACAACTTTGCAGTAGTCCGCTTTTATATCAACAATTACTCTTCTTCTTTTCCGCCCTCTTTATTGTTTGTAATTATTTCACATTTATTTTCTTTATCGATGTTGTTTGTATGAGTTTTGCTATCGTTGTCATTTTCAGAATTTTGAACGTCTTTAGAGCGTTGCTGATCATTCAACTTATTTTGATATCCATCGGCTAGACGCTGCATCATAAAATCGAAAACTTTAGTCCATGAAAACCTGACATCTTCGTCTTCCCATATTTTACCCAATTGATTACCCCAAACATTTGTCATAGTAGCTTTATAGGCATCAAAATAGCAGCAAGAAAATCCATCAATTCTAGCATGAGTTTCACCAAGTCTCAAAAGCATAGGCGTCAAAGTCGACTCTGTATCGTCTAATGAGTCTACACAAGCACCAACTGCCTTCATAAACCTTAGACCGTGAGCTCTAAAAAGATGATTTTTACGTAGAGATTCTCCGCTCTGATCCCCGAACGGGAATAATGACTTTACTTCAGGTTTAGCCTCAAATATTCTTTCAAACACAATCACACCAAATCCGACCATATCTTTTTCAAAATGGTTAGACCATGTTTTCCTGACAATTGACTTTTCTTCATCCGATAGAAAAGAATCGAAGGTAATTCCATCCTTAATAACTGGAGTATCATTCTTCTTTGAACGTCTTACCTTTGTTTGCTGACAGCCCATTGCTACTGCCAACTTGAGCATCGAAGTGACGCTTAGAAAGTAGAGCGATGGACGCGACACCTCGTGCGCTTAATCATCCAGCTTTTTGGACTAAGCCGATTTTTATCTGTCAGAAGTTCTATAACAAAGAGTTCTTTTCCTTTTTCTACTTTTACTACTTCATTTCATATCCAGCAACGCTTTTTCTAATTCGATTAGTACGAGTTGTCTTTACAAGTTCCCCTTAAACTACAATATATCTGTGGTTTTTAAGGAATATGATATAGCACAAGCCAGCTAGCACATATATTGTTAACAAAGGTGAGAAAATGGATAAGTACGCACCATTTTGTTAAATATAAGTAATTAGAACAAATATGTTTAAAAAATCAAATTATACGACGTTAAAAAGCATTATTATAATGAAAATCATGGTAAAAGTACATTGAATCTATTGCCTACTGCTACCTTACATAAGCGTATCGCTAGCATACTTATGTATATCAATATACAGTATAAACATACTATTTATATATACATATATATATATATATAAAAGCATATACTATATATAGATATTTACCATTTTATGATTTTCAAACGCCCCCTATTGGAATAGGAAGAAAGTTTTGACCATGATTGTAAAAGAAATTAGTTACAAGAAATATTTATTGGAAAAGGCTAAATTGGATGTTTTTTTTTGTATATGATTACAATTTAAAGGGTCCTCAATTTCTCTGATATTTAGGACTGCTCATAAATAACCCGTACAAATGCCATAAGTAATTACGTGGTAGAATGATCTGCTCTGTTTCCTCTTTCATCGTGCTAAGATTGATAAGTTGCTTTCAGACTACAAAGAAAGAAATATTTTAATTAGAGCGAGAATAAAGGAAAAAGGTGAAATGGAAAAGCTCTATTAGCAGATATAACAACTTTAAGTGTTAGTAAACTGTTTGCTAGTAGTACTTTCTACTGGAAGTAGTACAAAAGGAAAACAAAATATAGTATACTTGTTTACTTTTTGTTTATAACAAATAAGGTTATGTTTTACTATGAATGAACTAAAAGCATGTATTAAATATTTTACAACTAAGGGAGTAGACTTAGTAAAGATTAATCATCCTCTTTTCCATTGTTACTCTTTGTTTATGTCGTCCATTTATCATTTGTTGAATTCTACAATCCTTTTCCGAACCGTTTCATTCTTATTTCCGACTGTCATTTCTAATTCTATTTCAGCTAGTCTTTCCAAATCGAACAGTGACCTTTCTTCATTGGTTTATGTCTCTGACGGGTTATAAAAATTCTACAACATTAGGAACATTAGCCTTTGTTGAATATAATTCTACAAGTTTTAATATCTTTCCAGTTCTTTATCTATTTGTATATAAATATTCCTGACTGTCCTTCTTTCCTGGAAGAGCGTTTCTCTTTAATATCACCGGAAGTGAATGGTATATATTCGATATCCTCCACACTTGACAATATTTATTTTTAGATTAATTTAATAAAAAACTATCAATATCTTCGCAAAAGAAAGAAATTAAGATTTATACGTTAAAAAGAAAGTAAATTTAAACCTTTTATCCATAAAACCCCTCGTAAAAGCCATACATGTCCGTTTTGAAGGATTATTTATACGAGGCAACGAATTTATGAATATTCCCTAATGTATTTTTTCGGCCTGTCTTCTTTGAATATAATGGACAATATTTTCGTGTCCTGCCATATTCCATTTCTATCTGATACAACTCTATAGCCGAATATACAGTATATATTTAATTTTTATTACGAGAGAGAAGAGACGTGAAGTATGACAATAGATCGACAATATATATATATATATACTGTATATAAAAAAATTAATATAACTGATTCAGAAGTAGAGGATGAAACTTGATCTTGTGAAAAGTGAAAACGGTTAATATTTTCCAAGTGTTGAGGGCGTTATATAAATTTACATTTACCTCCTTTTCTATTTCAATGTATGGATTATTTTATATATACAGTATATATATATATATATAAATATTGTATACTCATCTGTAAAGAATTCTACTCCAACTCCCAAGCTTAAAACCATCTCTTTTGTATCTCTGATACCCAATAAATAATCCAAATTCTCGTCTCTCATTAGAGATGGAGAGGAGCAGAATTACGTTAATTTTTTTCTTAACCTTAACATCTTAATAATACTAACAATAATTAATCATATGATACTAAGCACACACTATATATATATCTAATATATATATATATATATAAATATACTAATATATATATATATATATTTCATTCTACTTATTATCAACGTATTGATGAGAGTAAAGACAGGAATTGTTTTGTTTTTTATGAACATGAATAAATAAAATGTGTAGATTTCCCTATTCAATTGACAGATATAGCAGAGAAGTTTTATTGACCGAAAAAAACATTTCGTCAGAAAATTTGTGTTTTATTATTATTCATCAAAAACTCTAACTTTACCCTAATTATAAAACTCTTCAGTAATTTGCGGTCACATGAAAGCTTAGGAGATTACTAATGTAGCCTAACGAGCTGTCCCCGTCCACAACTAATTTTCCATTAAGATTGTTGGAGGCAATCATCAACCCATAATATATTTCACTGATGGAAGACGATTTACCAAATGTCTATAAGTCGTAAATTATTTTATAAATGTTTTTTATACACCTGATGGATAATTTGAGGTGACCTTGTCTGGGCGTTGGCGGAACTATCACATCCAGATTTCCCATGGTTAATGCTTAGAATACTTGCATGGAAATGAGCTATAAAAATAACTAAAATTTATCATAACCAGTATACAGGATTTATAGAAAGTACATATATATATATATATATATATATATATATAAATAAATATAAGCTTCTTTGTATGCACATGTAGTTATTATACTGATCTTTGACGTAAGAATGATAAGGTTTCACTGTGGTTAAATAAATGGATATGTAATGTTTTTAGATAAAGGAAGAAGGGAGAGAGTAAGAGAGAGAGAGAGAGAGAGAGAGAGAGAGAGAGAGAGAGTTTATAGGACGAGTTTATAGGTGTGGGAAGAAGAAAAAAGGAAAGGCGGAAGGATACCCAAGACCATTTAGAATATAAAAAAGGAGCTATTAAATAAATTATTGTTAATAAGTCAAAGTCCAAATTACATAGCCTAGCTTTTTACAAAGTAAATAACTTGAAACACTGCGTGACAAACAAAATTTTTGCGAAAATTTATTTCTCACCCTGCATAACAGACAGATTATGTACACAAGTTGCAAATACTGCTTCTTGCTACTATATATAGGCTAATATCATTTATTTATTACAAATGAAGAATAAATACGAAAGATTAAACGAGCAAGAGGAATCTCTTTCTTTTTTTGAGAAATATTAAAGATTAAGATATTCCATACTTAATTGAGGCATAAATTACGTCACACCACTTTCATCCTATACGCGGCAATCAAACAATTTCTCGAGAAACAGTTTGGTTTTTTTCTTCTCTTTTGATTCTCTTCCCGATTATTCTGGGAAAGTTTGATTCGTAGGGTAAACTTAGCATGCAGACGGCTGTTTTTCCGGCTCTTTGCCTCTTCCTCTTATCTAACCAAATAGCTTTAAAGTGTTGTATACCGATTTACAAATGCATTTATTTAAATCCCAGACGTTAGACGGACAATGTTTATGGATTAGATTAATCAAAAAAGAAAATAAGCCTATAAATAGAAAGTGACCATTAATTAATAATCATCCATATTTAGAAAGATATTGCAATATAGTGTAGTGTACACTTTATACATTTAATTTGAGCAAGATTCTATATAAGAGTCTGGTAATTATTAATATTTTCATTTAGTATTTTAATAGACGTCCTTTACAGTAATTTATTCTATAAATTATTGATATCTCATTTTATGGCCCTATAGGACTAATATGTCTCCAATTGTTTTTTTATGCTATCTATCGTTGTAATTCATATGATATTCTACCGTTAAAAGCTAAAAGTTGTTCGAATTGTTAAAGGCTTTCTTTATTATTGTTATTATTAATGTTATTCTTGCTATATTATAAATCTCGAATTCAATTAATCTATTATTATATAAAATGTATACTCATACCCTTTAAATGTGGACAAAAGAGAGAGACAGAGAGAGAGAGCGAGAGAGAAAGAAAGAGAAAAAGAGGGAGAGAGAGAGAAAAGAGGGTATAGGAAGAGAAATTGAAAGAGATTTTAGTGTAATAATTTTTTTAATAATACAATCAATGAAGCATACCTAGATTATGGATATAGACAGCTAATATTTTTGCTGTTCATTCAATAATTTGTTCGTTAGTTTATTCTTTAGCTTACAAAAGGTAATAACTGACACATAAAGTTTTATTCTATACAATGCTATTTTATATTCAATAAGAAGAAGAAAAAGACGAGGAGAGATAATTGCAAAATTTAACATATTGCAAAAATAAGATTGTTCCAACTGGATAAATTATCATCTCTCTATTCTTGAATAAGAAACTAAGCACATGACTTTGTATTTATATAATTTAGACATTTTATTTAATACTTCTTTAATATATCTATACTGTATGTACTGTATATGATTATATATTAAATTCATACAATACAAAATATACTGCAGTATAAAAACTGCAAAGAGATAGATTCTTAATTAGCTGGATTGAATATAATCCGTTTTACAAACTGTAAAATTATTACTGTTCTTTTTAATGATTTAGCGAAAGTAAAGATATAGGATTTAACTGGAATTCTATTATTATTTTAACTTGTAAGACGGTATTTTCTTGAAATGTTTTCACAATATTCTGTTTAGATTTTGTAATTTTCATATAATACTAAAATAATAAGGAGAAGAGATTTCTTTTACATCTAATAAGACTAGTAAAAAAAAACAATCCCTTTTTGTAGGCCTAGTTTCTTTTTTACCTATGCACACCACGATTATTTTCCCAATTCCGTTAATATAGTTTCATTGAATCGATGAGTGAAAGAAGAAGGGAGCATTCGTAAGTAATTAGTGCACCAAAAATCGAACTCTATATATTCATAACAATTCCCTGGAATTAATCAAAGATGGTGTCATATTACCCTCTAACAAAATCGGAAACAAAAGATGATAAGTAAACTAGAGAGAGAATTTTCTTTAAGAGATCAAAAAAGCATTCTCAAATAATACCATGAAAATTGGTTTAAATTAGGTAAGCATACCACTGGGGATTTTGGGTGCTACTAACCCTATTGGGTATTTTATTATTCACGGCTTGCCTCTGTATTCTGAGTTGTTGTTGTTGTTTTTTTTTTTTTGGATGTAATATACCTAAATTAGAATTAGGCGATGAATTACTTGGAATGCTTGATTTTTTAATTGAGTTTGTAGTACTATGATCCAATTAGATGGTTATCTGATCCGGAATAGTATGAGAAATCGACGACACTTTCAAAGATTCTGAAGAGATCGTTTGGAACTTTTGATAAGTGTAGATATATCGTTAAGGCTAGTGCTGTCTCCATCAGTCTTACAGTTGGTTTTTTCCTTGTATTGTTGCAGATTTTTTGTTGTCTTTTCTGTTTCACGTACAATATCAATCTTCTTTCTTTAGAAACTCATTAGAGTGTTTCTGTAATCAATGTTGTTGATTATGTTGTGTGTTGTCAGCTTAATCATATATACTTTCTTAACGAGAGTATTGGTACTAGTGTGTGAATGGTATAGAATTCGTAGAAATTCGGTAGATGACGTAACTATCGAATATATTTAAATATTTTTTTTATAAATGTAATCATTAAATTAGTAAATTATGCATAAAGAAACATACTTATTGGAAATTTCCCTGAAATTCCTGTACTTTTGGCAAATTCCTATGGCAAAAGTGAACGGATGAGTGGTAAATCTTAAGTGACTTAATATTGTTGAGAAATATGTGATTATCTCATTGAATGAAACCTTTCATTGACTGTTTTAAGACTATAATTAATTATAATTGCCTTTGTAGCTCTTGGCTAGTATGCAAATACCATCTACTAAATTCAAAGTTTCATTTACTTTATAAGGAGGCTTATTTATGAAAGTTTGTCCATATATTTCATGCTTCCCTTGATAGGTTAACTGTGACCCGACTAACCATATAGTCGCCTTTGAACTACGGCTCAATTTGATATGATGTTCCTTGAAATTGTAAAAAAAAAGACTGTTTGTACTGTTAGTACCAAGAAATCTTTTATGCCTTTCAGTGAACCGACATTTGATTAGAAGGATTTTTACTACATAGGGTATTTACCAATGATAGTATTCATTTATTTGGATTGAGAATAATAATGAGATCTTTTGTTTCCTATCTAAGAAAATACAGATGGTGTTAGCTTTGCTTTGGTCTAAAAGAATGGTAGTATTAATTAAATTAGAAATCTTTGGAGAGAAAGATAGAGAGATAGATAGAGAGAGAATAATGTACTAGTGATTATTAAATAGAATTCTTGCAATAGGAATTAACAGGGATTATAGATATTTAGTCATGCATCCCAATTTTGCAGTACACCAAAAGAAAGTAAAGAAATTTAGGCAAAACCCATGGAAATTACTTTAAATACCATAACTTGGTTAATAATCTAACAGTACTTTATCGCGAGATGGAAAATTGTTATATCAATAAAATCTCTTTACATTGTTTGCAATGTTTGCAATTAGCGTCTAGTCAATTTATGTTATTATACCATTGTTAACCTGAGACATCTTTTTCCTTTTGACCCATTAATATCCCTGCCATAGAATATCTTATAGGAGAATTATTACAAATAACTTACCCGAAGGTACATTTTGTAATTGGATATCGTGATTATTCTATATTCTATTTACATAACGAAATTCGTCAACTTTTTGCCCTTAAAATTCCTCTTAGAACCCTTAGGAGACGTTCCTAGCAGTAGACTATCTTGATAGCACTCTGAATTGGCTTCGGACGGTTTTTAAAGATGTTTTTCAGTATTGGTGGAGTCTGTATATAGGGTTATTTCTTCATTATAGCTGTCATACGTAATTGCAACATGATGATAACTCCTATTTCCGTAGATGCCGTCTTAGTCTATTTTGAAAGTATTTATCATACATGTCTCCCATGTCTTTACGAATACTTTTAAGTCTGTTAAATTATAAAAAAATCCTTTAAATTAAGCCTATTTTCAATAATATCAAAAGTCTATTTCATATTTTTGTTAAGTAACTCAATAGGTTTATTTTTTCCTTTACCCTCTTTCTCCCTCCCTTTTTCCTCGTACTATGTCTTTTAATTATTCAACATCAAAACTGTAAATATTAAATCAATAGGCTTATGGTAACGTCTGACAAATACCCTTTCCTTCCCATTTTACCTACTTTCAATGATTGAAAATGGTAACATTTAGTTTTTGGGGAACCTTTCCACAAAGTAGCGAATGCAATTTTAGTCCTTTAAACAACTTTAAAGGCAATTTTTTAGCGAACTTGACGTTAGTAAAGATGATCCAATCGTTAGTACTTTAGTTTGAGGCTTTATCTCTATCTTGCAGAATGTTGTTAATCCGCTTATGATTTCATTAATATTCAGATTTATATTTATAGTACAACCTTCACCTGTTAACGATACATTCACTTTTTCAGAATCTATATTTATATTAAATATTCAAGGAAACTTTCAAATAATTGAATAAATGGAAGTAAAAAAAAAAAAAAAAACAGATTCAACAGTACAAGAACAGAGATTATAGAGGCAGGTACTTTCCGGCAGATCGATTTTACAGTACGCCTCCGCATCTCCGAATTCTAACGCTCGATATTTCTTAGTAAGAGAGAAACATTTCATTTCTATATTAATAGAAAATATAAAAATCAATAAGTTTAGAAACGCATAAAATCTTATCGTCCTTTCTCTACACTTTCAATGATTTTCACTTGTTCTGACAGAGTGGCTTTACTGCCTACGCCAATCGTTAAGTTCTTTCAAATCATTCAAAAGGCAAATACAATTTTGTCAGCTTGACTTCCTCCAGAGATTTTATTTCAAAGTAATACGAGATTAATAATAAAAGAGCCACAAATTCTCTTGAATGATATCTAATTATCATAATGATCATGGAAGATATTCATATAAATTATTCTATATTTATCTCACCGAACTCTTATCGTAACAAATAGTACGATACGGTCATAATTAAGTCGGAGAATTTCATCACTCGCCTGATTGACTTTACAAGATGTATAGGGAGGATAAGTACCATAATAATTCACATATATACCCTCTATTGGCATGTTATAGCCCTATCTATAATCTTAAGCAAGTGATACTAATATTAATAACACGCAAAAAGTAACTGATATGTCTGTTTTCCACTTATTTTCGAATAAAAGAATTCTTCACTTCCTCAAAACGTCAGCAAGGCCATATACTGCAAGAATACTGAATATAGTATGTGTGTATTATTTGAGCACTATCAGTTGTTTAATTCTGAGAGACTACTCCTCTGCAATTTATCTTATAATAAACTATAATCAGTTGGAAAACTAAAGATAAGGCTACGGATGATAAATAAATATCAATTAAAATATAGGAGATTAACAGCGCTTTTTCTTTTCTTTAAACGATTTTGAGAATATACTGAAGAATATAAAAAGAAGAACAACAAGATATCATTATCAAAAAATCTTCAATCTTTTCTTTATCTTATTGTCGATCGTAGAATATAAATGAATTTATTTATTAAAACTCAGTAAGAAGTTTGAACAGGAAAGGAATGTTTACTTTTGCATTCAAAAAATTCCATCCTATAAGACCGTTACGTTTTATTTGTAGATTACCTTATTATTCCATTAGTAAAGGTGTTAATCCATTCAATTCTATAAAATCATCAATAATTTTCTTACTAATGAATAATACATATTTATTTTTGCTAGCGAGAATTCTTAACCGAATTTCATCCCTTATAATTGTCAAAAAGAATTACAATTTCTTATCTCTCCTTTCATAACGTTTCGTAATGAGGCCATCGCTAAGAGGGGATGAAAAGCCCTGTAAGTGGACTTTATTACTATAAAATAGACTATCAACCAATAGATGGCGGGTTTGCTCCTTCTACCAATCTTTATGATAATTCGTAAAAAACGAGAGCGAAAAAAGAAAATTGTCACTTTTATAAGGAGTATTACAGTTGTCTAATCGGAATTATTCATTTTAGCACTATTCCTCTATTAATTCTTACAAGAAGATTGGATATTATTAACAGTTTAAAAGAGACAGGCAACTATTTTCTGACTTTAAATATATATAAAGAAAGGAAATATATTAAGAGGTAGGAGCGAAAAAATAACGTAAACTTGACGTTGAAGTTAAAGACAGCGAGGAAAACGGCAAAGAAGACGAAGAAGAAAGAAGAAAAGAGGAGAGGAGAAGGATAACTTCGTAATGAACATATATAGAGATAGATAGCGTAAAAAGAAATAAAGAATAGGGAAAGATAAGGGGAAATAGACATTGCATATGTAAAGGATATAAAGAACACGAGAGAGAGAGAGAGAGAGAGAGAGAGAGAGAAGGAAAGATATGGAATGGAAAATTTTAATATATTTGCTTAATTGTTTTACGAAAGTCTTTTTAGATGGAAGTTTTGGTTGTAGTTTAAATGATCTAAAAGGTGAGCCTCCGGAGTATAATTATTCAATTTGACGCCTGATTAAAAGTCGTAGGTTGCTTAGAAAATGAAAAAGTGGGGCGAATGATAGGTTATAGAAAGGTAAAGGATTGAAATAATACAAAGAAGAATTCAATTTGATATAAGAAAACAAAGGGAAAGTAATAACTGCTCATACTTTTTGCCTTTCTTACCGCGTATGTTTTAGCATGTATGTCTGTCCTTGACGTGTTTATTCGATTGAGATGGAAGCGGTCGAAAATAAAAAGACAAGCAAAGTAGAAAGCGTAGACAAATTGCCCAGGAGAACATCGCCGGAAAATTCGCCGCTTGTTTGCTCGTTCGTTCCCTAATTCTCTCCGTATTTATATTCGAATTTATCGAATCGGTAAAAATGTATGGAACGATCAACGAGCTTAATCCGTTGCAAATGTACAGCGATAAAGTATAACACCTTCTACTATATCCCCTTCAATTCCAGCTCCCTTTCTAACTCGCTCGTTTACTCTCTGCCATATTTTATCCTTCTCTTTATTCTCTTTTGATTTTCCACTGGCATCTCTTTTTCGACGAGGTTGCAGGTGGACGACAGTTATAAAGCGAATGGGCAGTCTAGCGCAAAGAGAATCGGCGATGGAAAAAACGTTATGGAATATGGCAGGACGTCGTCTCTTGTATATTTAAATAGTGTCTTTCTCTATTCTCTCTACCCTTACTTATGGTCTCTTTATCGTTATATACGCCGTGTATATACTCCAGTTTGTTATGCTCCTAGACTAATTCAATCGCTACCCTTAACAAAGCGCTAAATCAAGTTTTGTCCGGAATAAAATATCACCTGCTACAACAGACCATTGGGGTGTCCCTTCAGGCTAAAAACCCCTCTTTCCACCCCCTTTACCCTGTCTAAGTCCATATCGATTAATATCGATTATAGATGAGAAAATACATATTGTCGTATTTTTTCCCACACAGATGGCAAACCAACGGCATCAAACGACTTACATTGGTATTTAACATTCGTTTCTTTAGAAGAGCCACCATTTTTTCGCATCATATCTGACAGTAAGGGTACTGAACCATTTATCGTCGAAGGCTTCATCCCTGACTTGGTGGAAAAAATAGCGAAATATTTACAGGTTGTCGCCTGTAGGAAATATTAACAAAAATAGATGCATTAATCTAATGACCCCTATTGATTTATTTTTGTACTTTAAGCTTATATACGTATTTGCATACTTGTTTCCAGCTTCCGTTCCGTATAAAGAGAGTTAGTGAAGGCGGATACGGATGGCCAAAACCAGATGGCACTTGGAATGGAATAATAGGAGAAGTAATAGATAGTGTTAGTCATTTAATTAAATTCTTTTAAGCTGGGTATTAGCTCTCAGTTTTATCAGGTACATGACGTCGGTGCTGCCCCAATTACTCGTTTAGCCTTTAGGGAAAAGTATGTGGATTTTACTATACCGTTTATGAAGGCGAAAATAGCCGCCCTTTACTCGGGCCTTGCGGAAATCAAGGACCTATCTGACCTGATAGAAGTTGACTCTAAGACACCAATAACCTATGGCGTCATTAAGGGTTCATATACGGAGCGTTTCTTTAGATCGGGTAATAACCCTCTTTGCCGTCGTATGTGGAAAGTCATGAACCAAGAGGATACCTTCGTTCGTTCAGCTCAAGAGGGTGTTGCTAAAGTTCTCTCATCTAACGGCACATTTGTATTTTTTATTGAATCTCCATTTGCCGAATGGCATGTAAGAAACCATTGCGATCTAAGACTGTTGGACTTTCAAATTGGACCGGAGCTTAAATACTGCCTAATTCTTCGTCATAAATCACCTTTAACTAAATGCTTAAATGATATATTAAGAATCCTAAAAAGTAAACATTTCCTGAAGCGTCTTTTCAAAAGATGGTGGCCTGATAGGGACTGTGCAAAAACTCCCATACCAACTAGAATGCTTCCGACAGAATATAAATTAGAAAGACCGGTAGATGGCGCAACAAGCCCGTTCTGGACATTCCAAACTATCTATACTATTACAACTATTGTAATAATATATCCATTTTATTTAATATAGTGTAATATGCTGTATATAAGCTGTATAGATAGTTGTTCATTGTCTTAAGAGGTAAACTTGTATTTAAAAGTTCGTTGTGTTGAATTATTATTACAAAAGAGAGAGAAAGAGAGAGACAGAGAGGAGCGGAGAGAGCAAGATTCTGAATAGGAATGAAGATTTTACAGCATTTGAATTACTTTATATATACATATATAAATAGATTTCTATTTTTAAATAAAATAAGAAGATATAACAAGTTATGAAAGGCTGCTACTGTCTATCTCTTCAATGCTGAATATTGAGTCATTTTAAAAAAAGGTAGCAAGAAACACAGTCAGTTGCAAAAAAAAGCAAAAAAAATGAAAAGAATATGAATTCAAAGCGATTTTTCATTTTCATAATTTTTCAATTCTTTCTTCTTTTTTCCTCTTTACTTTTTGTTAAAGTTTCTCTCTCTCTCTCTCTCTCTCTCTCTGCCCCACCCCCCTCCCGCCACATCTCCTCCCCTCCCTCTCTCTCTATCCCGGTGTTCCTATCTTCTTCGACTATTTTCCCTGTTTGCCAATTTGCCTTTTCTATTTGTTTTCCTCCTTTTAAGATATATCTTAATTAGTGAATAAATTTATTCATACTTGATATTTAAAGATTAGTAATAATGTATTTGTTTTCATTAATTAATTTTCTTTAGTTGAATATTAAATGAGAAGTTATGATAAATAATGGTAATGTCAATACACATCTTGTAGAAGTTTTCTTTTCTTGAATTGCTCATTAAATCCTTCAAAACCGTCCTCATTACGGTTTAACTGGGGTGTATTGATCCAACGTTTACCTAATCTGTTAAGCCAGGCCTTCATACCATTAGTTTCTTCTACCTTTCTTGGATTTCCCAGCATATCGGCTATTGATTGTAAGTGGGCGTCAACCGATAGGTGAGGTTGCCTCTTTTCCCCCTTAGTGACGCAGTTTGTCAAAAGGATCAAGAGGATTACATTGAGTAACATCCTGGAAAATAATTTTTTTCATTAGATCACGTTATTCAATGGAAAGATTGTTATTTCTTATTCTAACAAAAGTATTAAGAAGATGGTAAAAAATAGACTAAATACAAAGAAAAGTAGTTATAAAATTAAACTATGTACTAGGTAATAGGATAATTAATTAATGAATTAGTATATAATCGCCTTTATTAATATCTCTATAATTACCTGTATATACATATATACAGTATATATATACCCAATGTATATTTAACATTTGTTTAGAAAAATAGAAATTAATTATAAACAAAGTGGATCTAACTACTAGAATCTTTGAACGTTTCTTGTTGACGTTGCAATCGGATTAGGCAAACTTCCGCTCTCAGACATTTCTACCACCTGCTACTGTCTAATAAATTTTTGGATAAAGACAACATTGCTTTTATTACGTTAACCCTTGGAATTTTCTATTAAAAAAACAGAAGAACAATTATTTTCAACTATTAAAAGTAGAAATAAGTATATTATACACTCTTCTTCATCTTCTTTTACTTCTTCTTCTTCTTTTTAATATTAAGAGTAAATATAAAAGTAGTGTATGCAATTTTATTTAATTCTGTGTTATGTTTAATATAAACCTTAAAGAAATATATATATATATATATATATACTGTAAATTTATCTTTGAAAAACTTGGCGCGCCTTACTCTCATTACTTTTCTCTTTTGACAAAAGTAGAAAAGTAATTATGAAACGAAAGAATTAAACTATACGGAAAAAAAAAGAAATTAAAAATCTTACCTTCGTTGAAACGACTCCATTCTTTCTCTTACTTCAGTGAAACAAACAAGCCTTTAGACTTACACGCCAATTTACATATATTTATATATATTCTCTTAATGTATGTTGTGACGTCACTTTTGTAATTAATAAGATAGGCAGTCTTCAGAGAAGTTTACGGGGATGGGAAAAATTCTTATTTATATTTTTCACTATTATCTTTACTTTTTTTTATTTCTCTTTTTACCAAAGAAGAATGAGGGAAGCCACTAATAAAAAGACAGATAATACAACATATCGATGATTTATGTCAGGTATTAGGAAAAATGATTAAAATTTGTTATTTATGACTTAAAAACAGGGCAAAATTTAATAGAAAGAGAGAAGAGATTGAAAGGAAAAAATTAATATTCTTTGATTTTTAATCTTTTCAAATTATAGAGCCTTAAATGAGAACAGACATAAAAACAAAGGCTATAGAGAGGGGAGTGGGGAGCTAGGGTCTAAACGGACAAAAAATTGCTATCGCCTCTATTACTGTTAATTATTACTTCACATAGCTACAGTGTTAACAACTTGAAAGAATTTTGTTGTCGAAGCGAATTGACCGATTATATGCGAAGAATTCTATTGAATATTGATATTTTTTACGGAAAATTCTAATAATTGCGAAGTTTATTTACACCGAGTTCAATCTTTACCGCACCCCATTCAAGTTTTTGGTGAGACTGAGCTATGCTCAGCTGTATATATAGTTAACTAAAAATAAACTACTTTGCATTACAATGGTCTACTGTTTGCATTTCCTAATCGGCCTTATAGGTTCATAAGTAGTAAAAGTTTAAAGTAATATCTCTATTCACTTATAGCCAATGTGAATTCTGCACTTGACACTAAAGCAATGAGTTTCAAAATTATAATTCTCTTCAACGTTTTTCAACTTTTTTCTTCAGAGTGGTGCAATTCTGGACATGTTCAAAGTTTACACTTCTGTAGTAAAGTACACTGTCCACGACAGTTAAAAAAGGATAAAACAGAAGCTAACGAATTGATTGAGGAGAAAAATTTTGATTATTTACCTGGTAGAGTTCATCCGCTCGATTCATCCCTCTTGAGAAGATTGTCAAAGATACAAGATGAATTTTCAGTGAGAGGAACTTTGGCTCATATCCAAGTGAGCAATCCGAATTATGCAGCACTAATTAATACAGCCGCTTATCCTGGCGAGCCGCTGATTTATGCTCATAGTTCTCCCAATAAACATTACAAAAATGAATCTGCTATTTCTTTGGAAGCAGATGTTCTAACTTCCGAAGACTTCGAAAAGAATTACCTTCCTCGATCCAGATTAATTATTATGGGAACGGAAGGAGATATTCCAACAAATGTTAAGAGACTTCAAGAAGCCGTATGTCTGTTAAATGATGGTGGTATCCTCGTACTAGAAGATTCACAAAATGGATCAGCAGCATTGCAGCACTTTTTCTCTCAGAATGGCTTTTCCTTTCTATCTCCGCTATTGGCCTTTGGTCAACGCCTTATGTTCACAACAAGCAATTATAGAGATTTGTACTATAGACACCTTGTAAATGACAGGGGAATTCTCTTTGCCTATAGTCTTCAACATTCAATGTACAGCATGGCTCAAACATCAGTTAACTATTTATCAAATATGTGAAAACAGTTATTTTCATAAATCTGCAATTTTTTTCTGATTTCAAAATGTAGATATTCAATTGGAATCTACATTTTTTTCTGCAGTTCAATGAACAATGATAGTACTAAAGAAACAATGGAACATATTGAATGAACATGTTTCTTTATGCTAATTGTTTTTATTTTGTCTATAACTAGTCAAATATGAAAAGATAATTGATTTATCCGAAAATAGCTATTTATTTCTACATTAAAACTTTTTGTTCAATAAATATCTAAGTCAAAGAATAAGATAAATATAAAAATAACTTGTGTTTTTTCACTCGCTACAGCTTTTTTTCCCCTGTTTAATTATCAATTACATTTCCGTCGAGATATTGAAAATTAAGGCGCTTATGAAGTAAATACAGTAGATTTTTTCTACGTCTCTATATATACACATATATATATATATATATATATTGCATATTTATACTATATACTGTACAATAAGATAAGAAAAGAAAAGCAGAGCGGTTTATCTTTAAAAATATTCAAGTGGACCATACGTGACTTCACGAGGATATCATTGCTGAGAAGGATAAAAAAAGACATTTTTTTATTTATTGGACTCTTTTCTTAGAAGAGCTTTCTTTGTTTTATACTAAATTCTTAGTTTTTATATGAAATGAGTTGTTATATCTATTATTTTGGCCACATCTTCCCTTCCCTTCCCATATTAATTTTTCATGTTTTTTGTTCCCTTGAAAGAGAGGAAATCTCCTATAAGAATTGAGGGCAAAGTGTCTTGTTATTAATTATATAAAGATATATTTACGGATATTATATGAACAATGCGTGTTTTGGTATTGTCTGTGTAGTGTTGCAACTGCCATTTTCCACGATGGCCAATAATTACCTATATATTTTTTAAATCATGTTCTAAGAGTATAAAAGTAGACGTATTTCTATCATATTCTCACATTTAGATTATATTCAATACAAAAATGAACTTAATACTGCAAAATATTTTGCTAGGCCTGGTCATCATTAGCTGTTGTGTCGCAAATATTCCAGGTACCACTTAAAATACATCCTTATTTCTTTATAACTTCCTTCATGGAAATAGAATGTCGAATTGAGGAAGAGGGCAGGGATTACAGAGGTTTTAAGAATGTAACAGCTTCCGGTCAGGCATGTGTCGAATGGAGACTATTGTTAAATGAAAGCCAATGGAAAGCCTTTCCTGATAATAGTTGGGAAGAGATCGGTAATAACTGCCGTAATCCTGATGAGAAATCACAAGGTCTATGGTGTTATACTAATCCAAATAATCGAAGCGAATGGGAATTCTGCAACGTTGAAAAATGTCACGATTTTGCTGAATGCAAATTTGACGAGGTGGCTTTAGGATACAAAGGTTCACTCCGAAGGACGAGAACTGGTAAGGAATGTCGAAATGGGGAATATTGCCGAAATCCTGATAGAAAGCCATTTGGTCCCTGGTGCTTCGTCGACGATACATCTTGGGAATACTGCGATGTTCCATTCTGTAAAAGTAATATTTATGTATATAGTATATCCTTCATAATGTTTATAGATTGTCAGTACTTTATTGATAGTTTTCTCTTTTTAATTGATTGCATTAGAATCCACTTGCTATAATGGTGACGGTGAAACGTATGTTGGAACAACCAGTCTAACCGAATCTGGCTATAGATGCCAAAGATGGGATAAGCAGGCCCCTCATTCACACTCTTTTTATAATTCATCTTATTTCCCTGACGCAACTTTATCCGACGCTTCCAATTATTGCCGTAATCCTGCTGATTCCAAGGACCGACCTTGGTGTTACGTTTTATCAGAGGAACTAGAATGGGATTATTGTGAATTAGATAGGTGCGAAAATTCTTGCAAAACCTCGGATAATGGAAGAGATTATATGGGGAATATATCGATCAGTTCTTCGGGTGGTAGTTGTTTAAGATGGGACTCAGTTCAAAATCCAATCTATAGAGATATTAATCGATTTCCGGATTCTAGTCTCGAAGAAGCATCAAACTATTGCCGAAACCCTGCCGGTATGTCGGAAGGACCATTTTGCCTTGTTCAGAAAGATTCGAACATCTTAATTGAATTTTGTGATATTCCCAAATGCTCCGATAGTAGCAAGACCGTTGAAGAAGCAAAACATGTCGTTATAATTGGAGTTGACGGATTACATTACGACTGCTATAAAGAAGCTAGCGGAGGTGTCCCAAATCTGCTTAGAATGGAAAAACTTGGCACTTCGGCAAATAATCAAGCAAGAACAGTTTTACATACAGTATCTGGTCCTTCTTGGACAAATATATTATGTTCCATGGATTCCGATGCCTCTGGTATACATGATAATGGGTGGAAGCCTCCATATAGAGGCTATACAGAAAATATATCACCGACTTCAGGGAAAAATTTCCACCTACCAACTATGTTTTCGCAGGCTAAAAGTTCTGACGTCACAATAAGAACAGCTTTTTTTTACTCATGGCCTTTTCTTAGGTTTCACGCCAGTTATGGCGCACCCGGAACTCTAGACAAAGAAATGAGAATGAGTGGTGCAAGCGTTTATGCGCTTGACGAATGGGTTGTGGGAAATGGAACAGCTTACTTGAAAAACGTTTTTGACTCAACTGAAAAATCTTTGACATTTTTCTATTTTGATAGTATAGACGTGACAGGGCACACAAGTGGTTGGTGCGGCGAGGAATATTTAAAGGCCATTGATAACATTGACAGAATAATTGGAAAAATATTAGATACAATCGATGAGGAGGAAAAGGAAGAAGAAACTCTAGTCATTCTTACATCAGACCATTCAGGTATATTTTATGGTCACGGTCAAATGTTAGATGAAGTTCAAAGGATACCGTTACTAATAAAAGGACCTGGTGTAAGAAAAGACGCAAAATTCACATTACCAATAAGTAATGGCGATTTAGCTCCAACAGCTATGTCGGCTTTGGGGTTAAAACACAACAAATTTTGGGTTGGAAATGATCTGTGGGAGGCCTATAAACAAATATAATACACTTACAGACTCGATCAATTAAATGTATAATTTATGAATTTTATTTAAATGATTATAATTATATTGACACTTTTAAGTGTTTTTCCCATGAAATCATGACAAAATTCTTTCATAAATAAAAGGAAACGGGTAATGGAATTTTATATAAAGCAAATTTTTGACTGGACAAAGGAGAATGAAAGGTAAATAGATAGAAGAAAGGAGATTATAATATAATCAGTTTTTAAGTAAATAATAGCTAAGAGACGACATCGATTATTTCTCAATTATTACATTAGGTCCGTAAGATTCATAATAGAAACCAGTTGAAGAGTTAGGCCAGAGCGTGAATAATTTCAATTGTAGACAGTGTGTCGTATATATACTGTATAAATTTATATATATATATATATATTTATTAAGCACATAGTATTGAATATAATCAATAGTGCTCACATTTTATGACTAATTTCCCAAAAAATCCTTCAAACTTCAATAGGAGTACATGAAGACGACCTTGCTAAGTTATTTCTACAATCTTAAAAAGCCTTTGACAGTCTATAGTATTTTCTGTGCTTGAATAAAAAAAAGAACCTATTCGAGAAATTTAATTCAAGTTTAACCAATAAATTTTGCATTTATGCAATGATTTCTATTTAATATTGAAATGAATAAAAACTGGAAAGTTGTTAAACTACATGTTTATTTGTAATAGATATTTAAGAAATTCCATTCAACAACCAAGTACTTTAGTTCACTTTTCTTGTGTGGTTTTATTTAATAATTTAATGAAAACCGTATATTTATATATATGAATGCAAGATACATTCTATATTGGTGTATAATTGTTATACATTGAAATATATACAGTATATATCTATGTATTGCTTGTTCCATATGTAAATATAGTTAGTTATAAAGGTATACAGTTTTTGGTTGTTTTTTTAAAAGTCTTACGTGCATAATCTGGTAACAGCTAACAAAGCATATAATTTCCTTATTACGTAATAATGTTTTATTTTTTAAATTTCATCTTTTTCTATCCACTCATCAACTTTTACCTACTCTCTCTTTCTCTCTCTCTTCCCTCTCCTCCCTGATTCCATTCTTTCTCTTAGTTTTTCACTACCTCTCTGCAAAAAGCTCTTTAACTATCAACAAGTTTTATAACCTATTTGTCTGCATGTTTCATCTGGAGAATGAAAACCAATATGGTAATTAGAAAACAAGAAAAACAAACAAACTGATTATACTTAATGATAAAAAAAACAAAAGAAGAGACAAATTCTAATATTAGTTAATGTCTTATTCCCTTTTTGTTCTTCTTTTTCTTTGATTCTTTTTAAAAAATACTTGTATGTTTCGTGTTAGCATTCGGAAGCGTTGAAACAGACTTATTCACTGTTTTAGATACCGTTTTCAAACTTGATATTCCGATAGATGGCAGTTTTGCAGGCGACGAAGAGGTTGACAGAAATTCTGTAGTTGGCGATTTATCTTGATCGGATAATTGGAATCTGGAGCTGTTGGCGCTTGGAGCTCCATCTGCGGCACATAAAGGCTTAGAGGATGGGCTCTTATCCGGTTTGCGCTGAGGAAGGAAAAGAGAAGATGATTAACAATAAAATATGCAGAAGAGAAACAGAATATTAAAGTATTTTTAAAAATCTCATACTCTTTTGAGGCTTTTCTTGGTGTTTCTTTTATTCTTTTCCAAGTAGAATCTGGCAAAGGTCGTAGAAGCGGCTAGAACCATACCAGCACTTAATAGACCCAAACCACTAGCTATTTCTTTAGCACCAAGTTGCCAATGATTAATTTCGGATTTACCGCCGCAGATTAACGGGGACCACCAACGTTCGTACAGTTCTTGAAGTTTACCTTCACTCCATAAACGCTTAATTACTTTATCAACGTCATTTTTAAATTGTGCACCTTTTACCATGGGAATTACATAAGACTTATCATAAAAATTACTCCGTATCTCTACAAGTGAACAATCTAAGCGTGTCAAATGCTGTATGGATGGAGATTCTCCGATAAAGGCAAAATCGTCCGTAGCAATTTTGTCTAATGCTGCTTTTTTATTGCGAAAGCGAATTAATCTTCTACCTAATGTTTTCATGTGAGCCAATTCGGACCTTTGTAAAATATACGATAGGGCTGACCCTTGAACAAATCCAACCTTATAGGAATCTGAGGCTGCAAGTTCAGCCATTGAAGAAGGAAGTGGGAGGGGCCGATCTGCCATCATAGCTGTTACTAACGAAGCTACATATGCACTGAAGAGTGACAAAGTAAATATCCATAGACAAGCTGAGAGGATCCGAGAGCCCATACTTTTTGTTGAGGTTTGCGAAGTGCCAACAATAATCATCCAGGAAAAAACAAACCAGATGGCGTCCAGGGCAGTCAATCTCTTAACTCCATCACTTTGTTTTGGTGTAAACCTATCAACGAAATATAGGCCGATGCTAAATACGGCCGCAATTGCGACTAGTAGGCACCAGGCGGCCGCTGTTAAAGGTTTAATCAGGTGTAGAATACCAGGACTAGGAAATTTCTTTCTCAACAAAGCTGATATACCAAAGAACATATAAGGAATGCTCTCGTCCGTAAGCGGAGATGTATTCTCCACGAAAGGATATAGGGCGAAGACGGCATTCTACAAGATAATCCTATTAGCTTAGCTTATATCTCAACCTGAGAATACAGTACCCCGTTCGCTATCTCCTCCGTTAATCTATCTTCAACACTACTAGATCCCAGGGGTTGGACCCTTCTTGGAATGTAATCAAAGCCTAACTCTTTTCCTAGTTCATCCATCAGGTCAATTAGGTAACCTTGGAACCGTGTTTTACCCCCATTTGTTACTTCTTCGATGAAAGGTGGTTCCTTTCAGGAAATTAAATTGGTATTTTAAAAAAAAAAAACGAAAGATCAATAATATTTCAGTAATGTTTGCTCTCTCTATTTACCGGAAAAACAGCGACGCTTATTGTCCTTTGACCTAATTTATGCTTGACATTGTCTGATCCCCTATTAAGCTTCCTTAACTTTAGAGTCTTTTCTCGTCGATTTCTCTTCCAAACTCCTATCTTTGTTAATTTAGACGTTGTTCTCGATCTATCATCTAAAGCTAGAACGTCCAAATTATACACTCTCCTCCTTCCCTGCGAGTCGAAAGACATGGGACCGGTAGCACCATCTGTCGGCTTGATTTCTATCAAATAGACTATCTTGTTTAAACAACTACAAATAAATGAAGTAGACAAAAAGGTTTGTAACACTAAATAGAGAAAGGAGGCGTGCAGATTGACGGCAGGGGGAGGGAGCATGGGGGCGAGCGGTGAGGAGTTTGACACACATGAGCGGGAGAGAGTAAACAGGAGGGAGGGGGGTATGCCTCACAGGGTCGAACGATAGCTATAGAAAAAAATCAATAAAAGATAAAAAAAAATTAAAAAAGGGGCGTAGAGGGTGGGAGGATGGAGTAAATTTGCTTCTGTTAGTATTTTATAGAGCGGAACATAAAATTCCAATAATCGGATTAAAAGACAAGACATACGAGTAAGACGATCAGGTTAAAATCAAAATAAAAACAAACTGTCAAGAAACTGCATTTTCCATTTACAAACTCTTTCACCGCTGAGAACCTTGAGCGAAACGTCTGAAAGTAATTGCAAACTGTCGTAGACCGTCGCGAACTGCAACGGATCGTAGTTTGCCGTGTCGGTTCGGCTTATTAGCTGAAAAGTTGTTAGGTTGACTTGTGTATCAACAATTTTCGCCAGTTTAAGCTTAGAATGATCCTGATGAGGAGGAAAAAAATTAATTTTCTTAATTAGATATACTTTAAAAGTTAATTATTAATTAGTAATAATATAAAAAAGAAAGCACAATGAATTAGTTAAAAGGGTGAATAGGGATAATTTTAAATTAATCGCTCCAATCGTTTACCCTTGGGGGAAATCGGTCTGTTGAAATATGTTTGGTAATTTCCGTAAATATAACCCTTAAACGAGATTTATTGTTAATACTTCGATAATTTCTAAGGTTAAATATAAAAGGTATGTAATTACTTATAATAAAGAATAAATTAGAGCGGAACACGGATGATCAAAGATGCGAGAAGGAGAACGTTCTGGAATGAGTATCAGGGGAGTAGAAATTGCTATAATTACATACGCTAACGATACTATATTTAGCATATGTCTCTCAATACTTACAAAAATCGGTAGAATCCACGAATATTTGTGTGACAGCATACTCAAATGCAAAGCCTGTCGACGAGAAAAATTCGTATAAAGACATTAATAGAAAAATCTGACTAAAACCTTATTGGAAGATAATAAGATAAAGTAGGAATAAAACCTATCCATTTCTATATTTTCTATCTTTATAGTATATATATATATACAGTATACCGTATATACAGTATGTATATACAGTATATATAGCATTTTGTTTTTGTTTTTTTACCTGTTTTTAAATCAATCAACATCATGGTCAAAGTAATAAGAACTAATTAATATTTATGACCATAAAAAAATTACCTCCTCTAGGATTCGATTTGTGCAATTCGCCGATGCGAGAACTATGATTTTCGTAACAGACATGTTCCTTATAGCCAGCAATTTCTTTTTTATTAGAAGTTTGGTAAACGACTCTTCTACCCTCCAAGAACGCACGTGCAAATCCGCTTCTTGCACGAATACTTCGATAAAATCTGTTCCTGTGAGGCCGAGAACAGAAATTGATTAGGGTAAGGACAATCAATAGTAAAGAGAGAAGGAAGCGTGTGAAGGGGGGAATGGGGGATGAGAAGAGATGCGAAACAAGTAGACATATAGTGACAGAGTATAAAATGAATAATAGAAACTAATTTATACAATCCATATCTATATAAATACCGTATATGTCATTTATATATATATTTGTACATGTACTATCTACAGTTTATATTATATAGCAGAGAGATAGACCTATTCTTGTTTAAACTTGTAGCTGGCAGTTAGAACGAATAAGGCATAGTAAATATAGGGGAAAAATGGATTATGAGAGAGGGGAAGGGGAAAGATTTTTGCATGCAGAAGGTCCCTTACCCAAATCGCGTTCGTAAAGTACAGCTAATTCGGTCCATTTGTATTGGCGAACTAATTGTAGCGTGACTTCCGCCTGATCCGACTGATCGGGTAGGATTGACAAGGAGTTCTCCTTCCACTGCACAAATATAATTGTTATCAAGCCGAGGTGAAAATTCATTACACACTTCCCTTTTTTAAGAAAGTAATAACTAACTTGCATTAGTGAACTGGCTACAGGCGTCGTAAAAAAAGGTACACTAAAATCTTTAGTAGCTGCTGCTAT